TGTAAATTTTTTATCTCGACTGACCTATTGATTTGTTTTTTGTCCTAATTAGGGTGATACGAACGTGATTTGGTGAGATTTCTATCAATTTTGGTCAGGCCAATTTTGAGAATAAAATTATTTAGAAAATTCCTATGAGAAACTGTAAAATTTAAAAAATTCAGTTCTCCTAAAGACTTAAAATTTTCTTGCTATTTCTCCTTGGATCTGAAAACGAATACTAATGTAGAGAAAAAAATTTACTATATTATATCAAAATTAATCGGCCCTTTTTTTGCAAAAGCATCCCGTTAAAATTTGGAGCCAAAACTTACTTAAAGATTGGAGCCTTTTGCAATTCAAGTAACTGTTTTCTATGCCCTCTTTTTAAATCATAAAAAATATTTTTCAAATTTTTGTCTTCCTAAAGCTCTCCATAAATTATCACTATCTCTTCAACATTCAGCAATTTAATTCATTTTACAAGTTGTTGTTTATCAATCAAAAACACGTTGAAAGGCAATCACTTCACTCTAATGACATTCCAGGAAATTCTAGTCTGCATGCTTTGTTTTCCGATGGCACTCAAACATTTTACAAACAAATCCCCTCTTCAACCCTTCCAGCACCTAAACATGCGTCATGTAAGCGCGCATACATGTTTACGAAACCAGTCAAAGACTAATGCCACCATACAACGATTTGTTCCTCGCGCCCGAATATAATTCCGGCTTCGAATCCGCACACAATATTATTTATTCAAGCACCCCCATTCGAGAGGCCCAATTCTAAAGGCAGTTCCCCTGTGCGCATTAATGATCTTTCTGACGTTAATTTATTTCTCTGCGTCTTTTGTGGCATTTGCATTGTTATACTCCGTGCGTTATTATTTCCAAAGCCAACCTGCGTTGCATGTCGCGGAACAGGTGCACAAAAGCGGCGATATCAATCGCTGTTTACTGCGCCAGCTTTAATGATACGCACACACACCCCGCATACTGAATAATTCGAGACCAATTTACGAGGCGCTCGCGGGGGCACAGATTTTTATCCATATTTTTTTCTCATTCAATTTTGGTGTGCAAAGACGAGAGTTCAAAATCACGAAACGTGCGCCGTTTTTGTACAAACATATGTGGCATTTGTACATGAATTATGAAGAAAAAAAGGATCTCCAACACAAGTCAATTGTTCCCAGACCGATTTGGTCAGTAAATTGACATATCACGGAAAGTTCAGTTCGACCTCGAAACAATCTTTTTTTCAATGAACACGCAAACGTGGGTTAATTTTGATATGAGAACGCTTTTGTCAGAGGGCTGATGGAATATCAATAAATACCAAATGACGTGTAGCGTTTTGACAGGTCAATCAAACATTTCAGAAGGAGATTGAGAATTTGAACTGCAGATTTTTAAAATAAGAAATGAATTAAAATAGTTTTCAAAAAGAATGCACACTTAAAAATAAAATTTGAATGATTATTTGACTCTGAAATCTGTTCACCGCAAACCTCTTCTTTTCCGGCATAAGAAGGGCTAATTGGAAACTTGCACAAGAACCGCAAGGTTGCACGTGATTGGTGGTTTAGACAGGGTGTGGTGTGGCTGTAAACTTAAGCTAAGTAAGATTGTACACCCGTAAACAACTCAATACTATCACTCTAAAATGTCTGTGACTGTTTAAAACTTGCAAAGTGAAATTGATAATGGCTGGACGGCACTGCTGGAAACAAAGAACTCCGAAAAGATAATAATAATTGGTATATTTTTTTCATTTGCAAGCTTTCAGTTTGTTTGAAGTTTTAAAACATAAAATTACTTAAAAAAATGCTCTAAACATTAAAATATACAGAATGATGAAAAAATTTAATTTATTCTTCTAGCAAAGTGACGAGAAATTCTGTTTCCAAGGCCAGGTTTACAAGTTAGTTGCATGACGGTTCCCCTTTTCCATTATGCATTAAAAAGTGAAATTCGCCAAGAGAGAAAGAGGGCGGATGGGAAAACCACGGTGGCATGCACATGCAAATGAAGTGCAAGTTTCGCTGTTTTTCCCAGTGAAATTTGCGTGCGGTCGGAAAATAAATATAAGAGGGAGAGTTCACGGTCGTTTGAATGCAGCTTATGATCGCCCACGAGTGCTTTATTGCCTGGTTGTTTCGCTCTGAGCCGCCTTTGTCCATGGGGTGATTTCGCGCAAATTGGATTAGGGGCCGCGGCCAAATCGCCGCCGGCAGCACACATTGAAATGCTTCCTCGCGCCGACCCCACAACAGAATCCCCACACATCGCACCTCCCTCTTAATCTACCTGCAAAAGTGGCAAAAGTGTATATATTCCGGCAAAAATATATATATTTACGTTTTAAGCTCTTTTACCCCCTAAGGCTCTTAATTATGATGAAATGCTCCGTGGATATTGCGAAAAAAGCGACCGACGCGAAAGTAAAAACGGGCAAGATGAATGGGCACGTGCGCCTGGTGACATTTTTATGGTGCGCTTTCGCTTTCATTTTCGCCCGACGCACTCACCGCTATGGTCTTGCCCGGGCGAATTTCCTGGCCAAACCGACGTGTAATGCTATTATATAAATACACCGAGGATGAGCCGAAATATTAAATTAGCGCCACAGAAGCAAAATCAATTTCCCCCGGTGGCAGGTTTATGTTGGGTGTTGGCAACTCGGATTTTCCTAAATAACGTACAGCTTCGGCCACAAATAACATTCAACAAAATTGGGATTTGTGGGAAAATGTCGGCCGTGGTCATGGAAATCTGAACAAAAATAGCATATTTATCCATATCAAATATCTTAAACGTGAATAAAAATTTACTTAGAAATAAGTTCTGGATGCCAATTTTGAGGTTTCTGGTAAAAAATTGCTATTAATTGTGATGATTTTTTTCCTAACTCAAATTCATTGAACCAAGTTTTTATAACCTTAATCAATTTAGCAAAATAAAATTAACAGTTAGGTCGGCAAAAAATTTATATATTGATCTGTAGGATATGGCTCAGTGAACCTTTTCCTCAATGTAGATATCTTTAAGATCCAGCCTGTATTTGATTTTTTTATTCATCCTGTGGTGAAAATAATGTAACCATGGACCTAAATTAACTAAAAAAAAATTAATAATAAATCATTATAATATCGTCATTTGTTTTTTAAATTTAATAATACTGCAAAATCTATCAAATAAAAAGAAATACCGCTTTTTAGCCCTTCTTACGTTTCTTTTTACTTTAGACTTTTGAAACCCTTGTGGGTTGAATGCATAACGCAATTTGACATCAGTGATGCACCGTAAAATGCACCGGGGACTACGTGAAAATTCACAAGTCAGCGAATCCATCATTGGCCTAACAATGTGGCACCGAAATTTTCCCTTGTCAATTCTCAGAAGGCGGTCTACTTATATTCGGTGGCGGATCCCCCGCTGCTATTTTCCGAAATAGTTGCCAAGAGGCCGCATGACAAAATGCGAGGACGCATAGCAACAGTTAGTGAAATTGGTAGGAGGGTTGCCACGCAAGGGGAGCGACCGGCAACGCACACACACAACCACACCAACCCCCTTTTCCTAATGACCATTCCCATTTGGCCGGGACGCATTATTCAAATCAAAAGGCTGCTGCTGTTCGATTCCCACGCAAAAAACCGGACCTTTTTACTCAAATTTGAATAATACAAAAACTTTTCAATGGCGATGCGTGCTTATTTGTTTTGTCGATTGAGTTGAGGACAGGAAGCCTCTAATTAGGGTTGTGGCCAGTCTCTCTTTTTTTGTGCGCCGTCTTTGTTTATTCAATGAAAAGAAGAGGCTTCAGATTTTTCCGTTTTCGTACCAAAGGAAAACAGAAAATTTTGGCCCCCCTATCAAGATTTTCGGCTCCTTTCACACACGCAGCAGAGATTCGGAATCTGGCGATGTGTTTGGAAAGCACCATGTAAATTACAAAACTAAAAGCGCTTCAAAGGAAGGGTTGCCGTGGGCGGATCGCAAAGTAGTGATTCTTCAGCAAAGAAAGCCGAGAGCAGGTTTTCAATTTCCATCACTCGCGTGTGCACCAAAAGAAAAATAAAGAGCTTTCCTCTCCGCTTGCCAAAATTACCGAATGCTTCATCTGCAGCCGAGAAAGAGGAAAAGTTCCTTTGGCAAACTTTTCGAGTTTGTTCTCGGGCAGATTTGAAGCAAATCGCTCGAGCCAAACTCGTAAATTTTTATCTGCGAGAGAGAGAGCGCGCGGAAACTTTTCTGGCCGTACTAGGAAAACAAAGGGCCCTCCTTCTTTTTATTTTATGAACCCCATTCGCTGCGTTTTATTGCGTTTCGGCTCACTTTTATTTATTCCACCTTCCGACGCTCAAAGTTGCTCTTTTCAAACAAATAATCCGCCCGCCAGCGCGAAACGAATAAATCAATCCGAGCGGAAAAAATATGGCAAAAATAGCGACATTTATTCTCCTTGATAAACATAAATGTTGGAGATTTGCATTAAATTGTATCAACAAAAGAATAAAAATGCGATGGAAGATGATGCACTTTTTTTGTTTTAATATTCTTTTGAAAAGTATTTGCAGCATATTTAATGGTTTGTTAAAGTAAAATATTACAAAGTTGTAATAACTAAAGATAAAAATCAAAACTTATTTGTTACTTAAAAAAATAAACTACATTAACTTTTAAAAAATGGCACATTTGAGACTAATAAATAAAAAAAAAAATTAAGAAATATTTCTGCAAGTTTGACAATCACAAAAAAACCAATTAAAATGATTCTTTGTATTTGCAATGAAAAAATCGTTAAAAAATATCAACAATTTTAAATAAGTTGCATTTTTTTAAAAATTTAAATATAAAATATCCCATTTTTTTCTTCTACTTTCTTTATCCGTTAATATTTTTATAACAATAACCCTGTGAAAAGAGTTTTACTCCAGACAAATCTTTTGAATTTTTAAAAATCACTGTTGAATAAAAAAAAACAAAGATCAGAAAAATAAAGGTTGTACTCACAATATCTGCAGAGAATCGGGGTGAGAAAATACAAAGGTTTTTCCCAGTCTATCACATGATGACTCTCGCCTCCTGCAAAAAAAGAACGTAAACATTCGATTAAGTAAAAATTCTTTGAGAGCGAATAAACGGCTGCCGAACAAATTAATAAAACATGACAAAGTTTCCGGCAGCTAAAAAAACGCCGTGGGCCAATCAAACTTGGCAATTTCGCAGCTGCTAGTGCGCGGATTTGATGAAAAATTCTGTTTGAAGAGAAAGAGGAGGCCGCGCGCGCGTTCCTGGCGTTGAATTTTTCATCGGACCATAAAACGCGCCGAAGGCACAAGGGCTTCATTAAAAAGTTGGTTCCCCTGCGCCCGGCTCAGGAATTATACACACACAAATTTAGTGTGCAGCGCGCGCTCTCTCAAATTATCGTCAATTATTTAATTCGGTCTAATGGAAAGTAATTTGGTAGCGCGTTTGTTTCTAATTTGGTTAGAATTTTAAAGTCCCCCTTTGGTCCCAGGCAGCTAGGGACGCCTCTTTCCCTTTTTCTCTGCGTCTCTCTCTCTCACTGAAAGGGAATATTTGATAAAATTGAGTGCCTTCCGAGATGAATGCCCTGCCACATGAAAAATAAAATGCCGAATTTCAGTGTCGAGGATGCATAATGGCCCTCGATTCAACTCGAAAGGGGCAAAAACACACATATCGGCCCTTGGATAAATAAAACAGAGCAGCGCGCGTATCAAAAAAACGCATTTCTGGTGCGTAGAAAGTGAAAAAAAAACCTAAGGGGAGGCGAAACACATTATGTACCGAACGACTGAGGCGAGCAGAATGCACGCGTTTGTGTTTTATAAAAGCAGCGTATATACATGCGAGGAATATGTAAATACTCTTGTGTGTATACGAATGAAAAAAAATATATATATATAAACCGAAGCAGCACTTCGCAGAGCACAAGGTCAACCACTACTACTTCTAATAGAGAATGGGGCATGATGGATCCTGCATCTCTGATAAAAATGCACGCAGGAGGTTCTTGTATATTTATATTTCCTGCGGATAATTGATAAAGTTTTTCATTTGGAAAAGTTTTTGTCGTTTTAATCCAAGTGTTGAAAATGTTTCCATTTTTAAATCCAGCCTTTCTCGCAGTGAAATTCTGATGATTCATCCACAAAAAAAGTTTCTGGCAGCTAAAATTGATTATGCTCTTGACACGGCCCTCTTTTTATAAAAGCAATGTGTAAAAAAAGGAGGAGGCACAGCCGAAACTAACTAACGTTTTATAAATTAATCAGAGGCAAGATGAATTGAGACAGCCTGACGCTGTTTTGATAAGTAATTTAAACTTCAAAGAGGATTAAAAATTTCATACATAGTAAAAGTTAACGAAAACAAACATGAAAAAATATTTTAGTTGCAAAGGAAATTTTATTGGGTTACTGAACAGGGCAACTATTTTATGCTGATGGCTCTTAAAATGAAATCCTCTTGTAACTCTTTGATCTCAAAAAGGAAGTGGTGACACAAAAGTATATCGATTTTCATTCAAGTAGGTTTTCAACTCTGATATATGATCAGATTCTGTAGCACAATGTTTTGATGTGGTTTTTACAAAGGGGAAACAAATTTGATTAATTTGATACCCTCTTCAATTTTGCTTTTCAAAGAGGCCTCAAAATTTGATTTTTCGTCAGTTAAGTATCATCAATTATGTTTTACTTGCAATTAAACTATACATTAGATAATGTAATAAAAACAAATTTGTTAATTTAGCAATTTAAAAATAAAAAAATATATAAATTTTTAATAAATATCATCGAAGTTTTTTGTTTATTGTACTTTGGAGTGAAGCGTTTACAAAAAAAAATCAAACATTTTATCTTCAAATTAAAATAATCTTCTGTAATTATTGATTCTATAAATTTTCTACGCAGTTTAAAAAAGTTGACTCTTGAAAATTCCAATTGAAAGCTCAAACCACCGTTGGACGGTGCAGCAATCTCACTGAGCGTGCAACAGGGCGAGTTTCAATTCACGACTCTCAATCTTTATGCATAAAAATCGAAATAATAATTGCTCGTCGGCCTCGAGAAGTTTCCCAGGCGCCCAGATGTGAAAATGTGAATGCACTCGGCCAGCGTGAATAAATCGCGGTGCATTCAAGTCAAAGAGGTTTTTTTTCTCCCTGCGATGATTTAATAAATAAATTGTTCTCAGGTGTTGCATCTCGCCCGCCCCGAAACCAGTTTCGCTGAATGGCCCTTTAAACTCTTTTGCTATTCAACGCGGAGTGAATGCCGGCGAAGCAAACTTGCAACACGCAATCGTGATGGATTAGATAGAATGTTCCACTACTGGTTTCAACTCTACTTTGTATAGATGCAATTGAAAAGGGAATGATTAAGGCGGGCGCCGTGATAAATCGCCGTCCTGCAGAACTTGAGCCAAACGAAAAGGGGAAGTGCAATTTCAATTGGACCATGCTTGGTCGCTTTTGATCTTGTTCTGCCAAGAAACGCTCTGATTTGGTGTGACTGCTTAAATACGTAATTAAATTTGCTCTCGCCGAGCTGTTCGAGAATCGTCTCCATTCACACCATGTGCCAACGGTACTACTTAAATGCCCGTCCAATTAACTCGGTAATTGGCCCGCTGATTAATTTATTGTCCCTCGGCAGGGAGAAGAGCAAGAGGGTGCTCTTGTGAATTTAAATCGAGTGAGGGAAGAGATGCAGTCAATAATTTTGCCCCGTTTAGAGTTGCGGCGGCGTGTTTGGATTTAAAAATAAAAAACAGATCGAGCCTTGCTGGCTAGTCTACAAACAAAACATCCCCGTTTGAAAACACAAAGACCTCCTTCTCGTGAGACACGCAGCGACGGAAATAAAAATTTTCCTTTAGTCAACAAGGGGCACTATTCGATTAAAAATAAAAACGATGGGAAAAATTAGGCACCAAAAAATGAAATCTGTTCCAGATTAAAGGGAGATTATTTGAAAAAATTGTGTTTTATTTGCTCTGATAAAAAATAGTTTTTTTTTTAATCAAGTTATTGAAATTATGAGTTACGTAATAAAGATTATTTTTTCCATTAATTTAATTTGAGCATAAAAAAAATATAAAGTAAATAATTATCAAAGCTTTTATGATTTAATTAAAATAGAAAATACGGAAATATTTTTAACTTGACATTTTAAGTGAAAACAAGACAAAATGGTAAAAATAAATGTAATAAGAAAAATCCAGAAAAATTTCATTTCAATAATTATTAAATTAAATGTCACAAATTTGATATTCAAAGTTCCTGATAATCTGAAGGTTTTTAGTGAGTAGATTTATTTTTTATCAAATTTCATAAGAGTGAATGATTAAAAGATCGTTCAAATCAAACGCTGATAATCTAAAAAAAATCGGCATTGAAAGACGCGCAACTTATATTATTTGAGGTTATCTCGATTGGCACAATAGAAACTTCTTCTTGATTCCAATAATTCCTCCGATAAGCCGTTGATTTCACCATTTGTTTCATTTCTTGCGACCGTTGTCTTGGGAAAATCGCTAGGCTTGCTTTTTAATTCGCATCGGTCATCAACTGAGAGTTTTTCACTCTCGCTCGCCGGATGAATCGCTCCACTTTCAGCCGTGGTCGGCGCGCAATTCATTAACGACTTATTAATCGCAAGACGCCGTTTGAAGGCAGATGTTTCTTTATCAACCAGAGTTTCAACACCCCGTCGCAAAGGAAGTGCGTGAAAACTTCCAGAGTTTATTTTACTAAGACGCAAAAGACCCGTTAGTTGAATAAATTAATTCAAAATTTCCACGGTAAATTAGGCAGCAATTATGTAAATCGGGCGTCTATTATTGATATTAACCAAAAACATAGTTCTCTTCCGTCCCCTACAAAAATTAAATATAAAATTGGTTTGAAACGCCCTCATTAAATGCTAATAACTTCTAATAATATTATCCACACAAATTACACAATGACTCATCCCACAAACGATGGAAAAGAACACAATTAGAGTCATTTGTGTTGTGATGCATGTGTGATCAAAACGCTGGTATATTATTTTTTTCTGCCCCTCGAACATCTGCAGAGGGCTGATCATTTCTCTTACTCGCAAGAAACTGTGCTCCAATTTGTATTTTGACTGCGCAGTTCTAGGCAAGGAGGATGTCAGTTGGCGTTGATACAAAAAAGAAATACTGCTGCCATTGCTTTTATCGTGCGCAACCACTGACCCTGAATGATAAACCCTCTACGGTCGCAAGTTAATTATGCATGAACTTACTCGAGAACATTTTCATGCGGACATAAAACAGTGACTCATTACCAGAAATATTTGTAACTGTTGCACTTTTCTTACCTTTTAATTCCCTAACATCCTGACTTCTGGGTTGTGATAAATCCGGTGGTGAACACACAAACTTTCCGTATATTATACTTTCGTCTGAAAATATAAAAGGTAAATTTAAAAAAAACGATGAAATAAAATAAAAAAAATAAATTTTTTAATTGCTGTCAGAATTTTCAGCAATTAAATAGACATACTATGGTATTTAATAATATAATTTATAGATTAATCAAAGAATTTTTTGAGAAAGCAGGAAACGGACACCATTAACATTTGACCTTATAAGCATATTATCTAACTCGTAGGCGTAGAGTAAACTTTTAATAAGCAAAAGTAAAAAATTATTACAAATCCTTATTAATAGATCTTTTATGAGTTATAATATTTTCAGAATTACCTCTAGACCGATCAATTGTTAAGGCTTCGTAGTCATAATTTGAACTTGAAGACACAGACTCGGAAACAGAGTAAGGGCTGCCTGTACTCGACGACTTTCTAGGTAAGGCAACTGCGGATAAATTAAATATTAATTATACATTATATTCCAGAAATTTCTTCTTAATCTACCTGGTGGTGTTAATGCTGGGTTTTGAGGAATCCATCTATCCACTATTTCCTTAGTATAATTACCTGCAAATTAAAACAATTAATATTTAACAAATCGTTTATTATTATTAAACTTACAAGGAAAATATCCCTTGGAGTTTGTTCTCCGGTTCCTTCCAAAGAGCCAGCCTGACGGTGCTGTGTGCTCCGGATCCTCCTCAAGCACGTCGTCCACCTCGAGGGCCACCTCTGTGGAGGCGGCCGGGTGGTAGGCCCGGATGGCCTGATGCAGCCGTCCTGAGGGCCTCCGCCCCTCCATCACTCCTGAAATTGCAAAACATTCAATATTACAGTGTAAGCAGCCAGGATATTAAATTAACAATCTTTACACATGAAAATAATCAATATTGAGTAAAAATGATGCAAATGAAATTAATTAAATAAGATTATGGCCTGAACTGTTTGAAAAGTGGTGACTGTAACTTGATACGGTAGCTTTTTTATCACATGTCTGGTGCGATATACTCAAAAAACAAGTGTTCAAAACAAGAAATCACGTCCGGGTCACGCCTCCTTTCTGCGGTTGTTTTATCGGAAGTGGAAAATAGTTAAAGTTGGGGACTCAACAGCCCTAGAAAAGAGGTCCCTTTGAGTCTTATTTCAGCCGAAATGCGCGTCGGGCCGACAAGGCCCCCTGGGCGCCAAAACGGGCCGTCGGCAAGAAGGCCGCAAACGAGTCAAGGGCCGGATTTGAAACGCTCAACTTACCGACTTTGGTCGCAAAAACGGTCTCCAGGGGTGGTTCTGCATGGCACTGCGGCCGAATTAGCACGTAGGCCGGCGAATCGCCGAAAATTCGGTAGCACGCAGTGTGTTTGGCGGTGAGCTTTCACTTATGGTCACCAGGGGGCCAGGCAGCATGAGTGCCTCGAGAGGGGCGCCTCTAGCGGATGAAATCTCCTAACAGGTGGTTTTGGCGCCAAAGCAGGCGTACTCATCTCCTTCGCGCTACCCGCTACGTCGCCGCAGGCCAATCTAAAAATCGCTAAAAATCATTAAAAAAAAATCATGTTTTATTTTCTTTTTCTACTACATATATTTAAAAAATGAGGATAAATTAAAGACATAATCAAGGGAAAAAGTTTGTGTAATCTCATGTTGTGTGCTCGTTAATTTAAAAATTTTCCAAATTTGTAAAGGGAAAGCGGAGAAAAGAATGAATTTAAAATTTAAATATGAACCTTTTTTATTACTTTATAAGCTAATAAAAATGGATCTTCGTTAAATATAGCGTGAAATTATTTAAAATTCACTGAATAAAAAATGAAATTTTTAAGATTTTTAATGCGTATTTTATATTAATATGTTAACAAAAAATAAAAATAAAATTACAATCTATTAAAGAAACATGCATTTCTCTGCTTTTTTTCTGATCAAAACTGCCTTTTTAAATTCTCTTCCATTGTGTAGTGGGGGTGTTGCATCGACACCTCGCTCTCGTAAAGCTTTTTAGCGCCCCATCTGACACATTTCCTCCCTTGTGTTGGACGCCCACACACAATACGCCGTTCCGATCCGCTGTCATTTCCAGTTACATCAGTCGAAGCTTCCTTTCATCTGCCACAGACATGCAGCAGGGAAACGCGGATGACTCGCTCCCACGGGTCACTGCCTCCGAATTAGCCACCCGGCTTCGCAGGATAATGGCCAAATGCGAAAAACACGGCGTTGCTCCGAGCACTGTTGCATCACTGGAGGCGGCCCGGAAGCTGCGAGCTTCGGCCTCCGGGGGCGGCCCGCAGAGAATCAAGACCGTGTATCTGGTGGCCATTGGGGCGGTTTGCTTTCTCGGCTGGTTTTCAGGCATATTCCTGGCACCTGCAACGGTCTCCACTTACCTTTCTTGGTGGGGTAGGCGTCTTCAAGATGAAAAGGTGATGTTTTTCAAAATTTCAAATAGTAAATAAAACTTTTAAAGAAGAAGTAGAAAATTTAGTTATGTAACAAAAATGTTAATTAGAACAAATTTTTTTACAAGTTTTTTGCTTAAAAATGGCAAATTATTTATTGCAAACCTGAATTGATTTACATCGCATAGTTGAGATTGGCTGACATTGTCAATTTACCTGCCAAGATAATTTATTCAAATCAATTTGTGCTTTGTGAAGCAAGACTTTGCATGGCAACTCCAGAGGGGCCTCTTTGCTGTCGTGGCAAACTTTGGATGAAATCGAATTAGCATAGCATGTTCAAAGTTGGAGCGCATCTGGCATCATGATTAAGGTACAATCGAATGAGAGCAATTCGATTTTCCGCTCCAACAAGGGTTAACGCGGTATGCATATATTTCTAAATCCAAACCACCCCTGCTCCCATATCTCTACCCGGCCGCCGACTCTTTATTGAAATTGCACTCTCCCGTTATATGAAATATCGACTTCCCTCTTCATATATTTTCATTTCGTGCGCGCTCTCTTATTGCAGTGCTTGTTGGAAAACCCAGATTGGCTCCAAGACACGACCCGTCGCCCTGAGGATTGCTCCGTATGCGTCGGAGTTGATTCCGTGGACAGGATTACCAAGATCTCTCCCCAACATTTCGAGCAAACGTAAATTATTGGGCGGAAAACGCCACCCTCTCCTTCTCAGAATTACTATGGAAAAAATAATAAGTGGGGCGCACTTGGCAAGATTCATTTTTTCGCCGAGTTTCCTTCTCATTTGTTGTCAAAAGGGAATATTATTTATTGTTTTCCTTTTCAATTTGTGCTCGGAGAGCGGAAACTCGAGATGGAAGCAAAGCTCAGCAAAGTGAAAAATTACGCCGGGGCTGCGCTGCAGGCCCGAGATAAAAAATTCTATCAGCGTTGTTGCGCATAAGCGTTCACGCTCGGATACTTCTCGCTGACTTGCGATTACGAACCTATCAAATAACATGAAAAACGAGAATTTTATTCAATGGGTTATGTAGTAGGAAAAGGGGGAATTTATTACGAAATCCGATGATTTGTAGTTTTTCTCCTGAAGGTACGCTTCGAGCGGGCGGCCAGTGGTAATCGAGGATGCGATGCGAAATTGGACCGCGCCCAGCGTCATCAGCCTGGACTTCTTGCGACGCCTGTACCGCGATAGCCCGCAGCCCAATTGCCAGTTTTTTCCATACAAAACGGAATTCCGAAGCCTGGCTGAATTTCTCAATATGAGCGAGGAACGAGCCACCGGAAAACCGTGGTACGTCGGCTGGTGAGGAAAAATACCAATAAAAATTGATCATCGCATTTATTGAAAATACTTCAAAGGAGCAACTGTGATGACAGGGTGTCTCGTCAACTCAGGCAACATTATTCGAGACCGTATTTTCTCCCAGAAAACTCTGAAAACAGGCAGCTCGATTGGATATTTATTGGAAGCCCTGGATACGGAGCCCATATGCATGTTAGTAATGAAAAAATCAATTGCTAAATTGAAATTATGATAAGTGAAAAACGTGAAAAACGTTAGATTAAAATTTATAAAAAAAAAATCGAGATTGACAAGATAATATTTTCTTATTATGAAACCTGCAACACTAATGTACCGCAGCTTGCAAAATTTAAAAAAATCTGGTGAGAAGATAACTTTTTTTATACTCTGACAGCAGCGTTGCATAAAAATATTATATAATTTAATTTCTGAATTCTTTTTAAAACAATTTAATTCACAGTTGAAAGCTGTACTAAAATGATTTAAATTTTTGAATAGAGCCATTAATATATTTTTTTGAATTTAATTTAATTGATTTTAGGTGGACAATGTTGGTCACGTTTCGTGGCAGGCGCAGCTGAAAGGCCACAAACTTTGGGTTCTGCAACCACCCCCGGAGTGTCTCTATCGCTGCTCCATCATGCAGACGATTCTAAAGCCGGGGGATATAAGTACGGTCTTCTCTATCATTAGACTCGCGCTGATGGAAACTGAATCAAATTACTCTCGATTGCAGTTGTGCTAGACACAGATCGATGGTACCACTCGACGTTGATTGTCTCGGACGATATTTCCATCACAATAGGAGCCGAGTTTGATTAGAAAAAGAAGGAAAAGGAAATCTCGTTCGCAATCAGCCTCGCCGATGGCTTCTCTCTTGGGTAAAAATAAAGTGGATCAAATAATGATGATTGGCATCAGAAATGCATTTTTATTGGAGAGGACTTTAAACCAGTTGAAATCTTATAAATTAAATAAGAGATTCGCGAGCGTATTATGTATTATCACAGATTGTTGGCCACATGTCGGTGTCGTCTATTCCAATGGGCCAAGTAAATGAGAGCCAGAGCTATTGTGGCAAAGAGCATAAAAACTGTTGCTATCAACACCACCTCAATGTACAAAACTTCCGACTGGCCACCTCCATCAACGCCTACAAAAATTAGTTTAACTTTAATTAATATAGCTAATTTTATTATAGTGTAAATTTACTTATTGATGGAGATTTTTCCATTACGGTGACAAAGCCTCCTCGAAATTGAAATCCATGATTATTTGTTGCTACACAAACGTAATACCTAAAGCAGGCAGATTTTTTTTAAATTAATATTTTGTTAAAATATAATATTTTTATTTTAAATTACCCCGAGTCTTTTTTGTTGAGTTTGGCAAGAACTAGTTTAGTGAGCCACGTATTATTAGAAAGGGCAGCAACCCCACTGGGCGTGAGCACCTCGTACATTGCCCCCTCGTACTCTAGCACCTTTCGATGTTTGTGGCCCTGTTCCAGGGGATAATCAGGAAGCAGTCGCAGCCACTGGATATTTGGCGGCAAAGAGCTCACGATGCTGCAGCGTAGAGCGACCGCCGCTCCGAGAGGGACGCTCAAGTTTCCAGGACCCTCAATTTCCGGGGGTCCGGCCACCCCTGCATACACGCTGGGCACCTCTGTCTCCTTGCGGGGAACTGAGATTGACACGGAAATTAGTCAATTTTGGCACATAATTAATATCCCGCAGGATAATCAAAATAGACTCATGTCAATCATCTCTTGCGGCTTTCGTAATTGCTTTGCCCCCCAAAGTTCAAATGCCAGCAATTTACGCGCTAAGCATACAACCAAGTCAACCAACCCCTGCGGATTTAAATTAGGCAACATGTTTGTCACGCATGACGTACAGGTTGCCCACTTTCGCGAGGCGACAGGCGCAAGGGATGAGGGACTTGCGAGTTCTGACATGTTTGAGCTCGAGCGGAAAAATATCCCCTGCAGAGAACGCAGCTAGGCAACCAGCGCTGTGCGGGTGACAGGCAAGTTGCATACTTTGCAACTCTGCAGGGGACGCTTAGCTGAGAGAGGAGATGACAGGACCGAATTTTTATCTGCTCAAAAGACGCGCAGGCATTTACCTATGACTTTGAGGTCGTAAGCGGGATTTGCCGGCAAACCAGGGGGGAGCCAGCATTGGTAAAGCCCGTCATCATCCAAGCTGAGGTTAGTTATTTTCAGGGTAGGTCGACAACCTCCTTTGCTGCAGGACAGTCTTTTTCCATTCTAAACCAAATAATAAATAAATTCATATTAAAAGAGTTATAAAAAAAACTAATAATAATAAAAATTTAAGTATAAATTCCATGTGCCAAAACAAATTAAATATTTATATTTCAATGTTTCACGAGTTTTCAGTCGAATGAATAATATATTTTTTTTATGCAACATGTGTTTTTTTTTTAGAGTGCAAGAACATTGATGCGCAAATAACGAGACACTTTTTTTAAGATAACAAGGTGTTAAAACGTGCTTTCTAAAAGAGCGAGTATTCAATTTGTGTGTAACATCGGTGGCTTATCAATCAGAGCGTTATATTTTTATCATGACACAGTGTCACTCAACGCGTTCGGTAGCTTCCCTTATCAGCTGACACTTTTGACAGGTTTGCTTCAATTTTTATCTCCCCATCTCATTTTTTCTCAATTCTCACTATTTATCCAAACACAATCTCGACAGAGACGCGCGACATTTTCACGCTATTAGCATGAGGTCATTGCGCAAAATTGTCAAATTTATGGATTATATCTTAAAGGATGAAGCAAAAGTTAATGAAAAAAATTATCGTTTTTTTACCTTGGTCCAATGAACCCGGTGGACGGTAGCAGAATTGCATCTGAGTTTGGCTGTCAAGCCAGCGTGTTTCTCCACCGCCACCAAGTCATCCTCTAAGTCGCTGGTTGACGACTTCTCCAAAAGCACATGCGGCGAAACTAGAAAAAGGCCCCTTGTTTATTTTGTGAGCGGTCTTCAACAAAAACAGAGCATTTTTTGCCTTGGCCACAAGCGCAGTTTTTGTTTCAGAGCGTAGATGTTCCGTCAAAGAAAGAGTTTTCTATGTTTATTGTATTTAAAACAAACTAATTCTTTCGTTTTGAACGTTTGCAAATATTGCAGAACTTTGATTTACGACTGTCTAAATACAGACTATTTTTATCAAAATAAAAAATTTGTTACGGAAGACTGCTTACCATTTGATAAATTTGCAATTATAATAACTAGCAAATAGAAAATTGCAACCATTGGAATGCCAGCTTCTTCATCTGAAATGATAATAAAAATTCTTGTTAAAAAATTTCTAAGATAAAATATTTTTAAAGAATTTTTGCGTATAATATATAAAATATATTTTTTACTCAAAAAGTGAACCTTATTCAAATTAATAGGTTTTTACCTGAAATTCAACTTGATAAAATTTACTAATAAAAATGAAACGCGCGAATTACGAGTGGTGGGTTCACAAAGCGTGTTGCTCGCTGAACGAAGTCTATCAGGCAACTGAGCCGATGATCCAAAAAGCAAGCAAACGAGGCTGCGAAAATATTTATCTGGTCGAGGGCTAGATAGATTTACAAGCGCCACCGCGCGCGTATATTTACTTGCACGCTACTTGCATAAATATATTTGAGCGTGATTTATCTCCGCTGATGACAGATTTAGCCCCCTCGGATTCTCATTCAGGCGCGCTATCCCTTAGATATTGTCTATTTTTCAAGCGCGCCTCATCTGCTCTCTGTCAAGTGCTTAACAGAGTGCAGAGCTTTTTGTCTGCGCAACGCCACACGGCTGTAACAAATAAATCTTTTAGATTTATTCGGCACTTTGTTTGACCGATCAAAAATTTATGGACGCTCCCTGTGTCACTGCAGTGCGTTTGTGTTGCGCACCTAATTTCAGTTGAAAACCAAATCTCTTTCACTGAAAGCCTTGTATTTAGAGACAGTAGTATAATTTAGACTGACTTATATATTACAAAATTGTTTAAGCAAAAATATGGTATTTATTTATATACAAATAAGATATCAAGTAATTGTATATAAGCGTTTTTAATGACTTTCCATAATAATTAGCATAATACATGACCAAAAAAGTGTTTTAAGTAATCAAACGTGGGGTTCTCTAATATAAGATTTCAGTAATAGCTAGGGTTTGCATAACTTAAGTTCCCCAATCCTCAATAAATAAGAAATAACTTAAAGGAAACATTTTAGCAGAGCGTAGTGGAAAGTGCGGAATTCATGCTCGACCCACAGCATATGGAGCCACTGAATTGTGGATCATCTTCAAGGCTTCCAGATCCACAACAAGAGGAATCTTTGTGGCGTTCTCTGTGCCTCCAACATTAACGCGACCCACCAAGACAGTGTCTTTTTCCTTCATAGCCTGAAATACAAAAATATCGATTAAAATCTGGAAATACCTCACGTTATTTTAATAATAAATACCTTGGCCATCTCTACTGATGGGAAGGTTGAGAAAAACGACTCAGCTTTGGCCCCCGATTTTCTCTTCAACATCTCTTCTTGTACAGCACTCTGAAAAGATCGCTTTTAATATTGAAATTCACATTTGCCAAAATTTCGTTATTACGGTTAAGGTATCAAAATCTTGAATGAGCTGATTCTCTTTGTTTTTACGTTCAACCAATTGATAAGCTGGAGATGTCTTTTCAAGCAAAGGCTTCTCGCCTGCTCTTCTGTTGCTCAGATCAACCACCCTGGCACTCAGGTAGAAGTCGCTCAGCTCCTGCCAAAAAGGTTAAATATTTCACTAACAAAAATAAATTATTTAAATACTTTGTGCAATTTTGACGCTTTCTTTGACAATTCTGTGAGGTTGCTTGGCTCAATTTCAGTAGGCTTCTTGATCACCTGGTAATTTTAGATTTAGTCTAGTATTTTAATAAATTTCAATGTCCCAATCCTACATTTATAACAGGAAGTTCTGAGAGGATGTTTCGTGCTTGGTGTGCTCGTAATGCCTGAGCCTGACGCTGCGACTCCTTCAATGCTTCCCTCAAGCTCTTGATTTCTTGCACCAAGAGGGGAGAGTCGGTCACAGAAATGGGCAAACTTGGTCCAGTTGAGCTTGGAGTGGTGGCCAGTGAGGCTATATACAATTTTAATCAGGAAAATATTAACAAGCTTAATCTGAACAAACCTCCAGCAGCATTGCTTCTTGCCATGCCTTCGATCAATGCCTTCTTTGATATGCTCTTCATCTTCTCCTTGAGCTCTCCACGTTCCGACTCCAAAGAATCTATATCAGCCTGCAGGTGGTCCATGGTTTCTTCAAACTCCTTTTCTTTCCGTTTAAGAAGCATTTGACTGTCGTCATATTTACGCTGTAAATCGATAATAAATAATATTTAATTTATTTTTTAATCTTGATGAATTCATAACAAGTGATTTAAACATTATTTAATATGACACTTGCAGGGCGTGATCCCTAATGTTTTTATCTGCTATTGCAATCACAATTTTAAAATATTCAATACTGATAACAAATGATGAAAAGTAATCTTTTCATAATTAATTAAAGCTAAGCTATTTGTGCAGAAAATCAGGACCAAAAATCAATAATAAAATCTCTCTTATAAGTTAATGGACATGATTGCATAATTTGAGATTGACTCCAACTATTTAAAAAAAATAGAATTCATGAAATATTACCTGCAGCTTTTCCAGATTCAAGGCATAATCTTTGTGGACATTGCCCAATTTGCTCTCAGCCAAGTCTTTTCTTATAACCATTTCGCTCAATTCTTCTTGCTTCAGCTTCATTGCCTTCTTCATTTCCTGTTAAGAGTTTAAAAATTAGCATAAAAAATTAAAATGCAATGACCAAGTTGTTCACCTTGATGTCAGTCTCTCTGGTTTCCAGTTTCTGTTTCAAAATCTTTGTCTCTTCCAGCTCTTTCTTGACAACTTGAGCTCGAAGCACAATGGGAGGAGTAGTCTAACAAAATTTAATTCAATTAAAGAGTTAATTTTTTAATGGCAGATTAGGCATGCCTTTGTCTCTTTTTTCGGTTCTAGATCAAATTCCGTCTCCTGAGCAGCTACAGACAGGCTGTTCACTCTATACTTCAAAGTCTCAATAGCTGCTTTGATGCATTCAACTGCCCCTTTGTCTTCGGCATCAAAGATTCGATCAACAGCTGATGTGAAGACCTCAAGTGCTTTGTCAGAATTCAATTCAGCACCTATTATTTCAAAAGCCATTATTAACCCTGTTTGAATTTCCAAAGTCTAGATTACCCTCTGAAGCTGAACAGAGAGAGATTGTGTTTTTAGCTGTTTCATGAAGAGCAAGCAATATTTTTGAAGTCAGCTTCAGACACTGTTGAACAGGATCAGCATGAGCTGCAACCTTCGGACTGACGACGTAGCCCTCGTTTGGAAGTCGTCTTCTCGTTTGCTTCAGCTGCTGGCGCAAAAGGTCACTCACTGTGCTGATATCCTTCAACAACTGACCCATTTTGCTATCCTTTGCCTTTGAAATCATTCAAATTTTAATTTGGTGTCAAATCTTTAATAAATAAACTTACTCCTAAAATAGCAAATATAGCAGAGGAGTCGGCAAAGAGTCCATCGGTGGCAGCCTGGAGAGCTCGGCAGCACTCTTTGAGTAGGAGGGATGGTTCAGGGACGAAGTCCGGAAGATAGGTGGTCAACATTCCCTGCAGAGAATTAACGCATTTCTCCAGCCCTTCAAGTGGGATGTTTTCATCCAATTGGTCTTTTCGGAGTAACTCCAGCAAGCTGTCGATGGTTTTCTCTTGAGCAGCAAGGTCGAGGTAAAGAAGGCCAATTCGAAGGAGCACATCTGGCGTGCAAGTAAGAACGCTGCTATTTAGCTGCTGGAGGACAGTCTGAAAATGATTCAAATTCCATTACATTCAGTTAAAACTTATTATATTTTCAAAATACCTGCATGTAAGAGAGCCAGAACGACAGTCTTGATCTGAATGAGTACTGAGCCACCTGATGGCCCTGAAGAACCAAATTCGAATCAATCACAGCTGTCAATGTTGGGAAAATGTCTCTGCTCTTCTTAATTAGAATCTCCGTTTTACACAAGAGACGAGGCACCAGGAGCAAAAGTAGAATAGCATCGTTGTCACCTAAAATGTCAAAATATTAATCCGTTTCTTTGTTTCACACGGAGATAAACTTACTTCCTCTAGCCAGGAAACTTTCTGGCATGAAAGATGTAAGGAAGTGCACATGCTGATTGGCCTGCTGAACGTCAATTCGTCTTAGCTCTAGATCGATTGCCTTTGTATGAGCCTTGGAATCAGCAATCATTTTCTAAACAAAAATTGGAATAAAAATCATGAAATTTCAGCTTCTTGTTGATTCAAACCTTGAAGTCCATCATTTCTGTTACAGACGCCATCGGTTTGGAGGCCTCCCTTTCAACAGAAGTTTGTAGCTGGTGGATTTGCTCTTGGAGTCTCTGGACGAGTTCTCTGAATTTGTTGATCGTCATGTCACGATCAGCCAAGGTCTCATGCAGGGCCTCAACTTCATGCTGAGCTTCCCTTTATTAGAAATTTTGGAACATATTTAAACATACTTCAATTAATAATGTCTACTTTATACCTCTTTGCCATCATAGCCATGTCCAGTTCTTCTCTCAACTCCATTTCCATCTCTTTGGTGCCCTCTTGCAGCTGCTCATTCATGTCAGCCAGAGCCTCCAAGTCAGAGACCGTCTCCTCCAGTTCATTGACCTTTTCTTCAAGGTTTAAATTTTTAGAAGTCAAAGCCTCCACCATTTCTTCAGCGCCCAAAGCAGCATCAACTTGCTCTTGAAGTTCAGCAATCTAAAGAGAGAGAAAATAAAGTAAGTTATACAAAATAAAAAAAAAAATGTTTACTTGTTGTTCCAGTTCTTCAACCCTGGTGCTCAGTTTCTCTTTGGTTCTGCTGAGCTCTTGGATTTCAGAACGTCTCATCTCAAGTTCTTTTTGCATTTTGCTTGATTCGTGTTTTTCGTGGGCAGACAAATCTCGAAGACTAAAAATTTAATAATGACTAGAGGGCATGATTTTTTAACTCTCTGCTTACCGAACAAGCGTCTCTTTCAGCTTAGCATTTTGCTGCATCAGCTGTTTCATTTCCAGAGTTGTGGTGCTCGACTTCTCTGTCTGATCGTTATTTTCAGTGTTCATCTCTGCTCGGAGCAGTTCAAGATCCATCAAGGCCATCTCGAGCTTCTCCTTTGCCTGATCCAACTCTTGTTGCAAATATTCTGCCTATTAAAATTTGAATAGCTTAGACACAATATATAAACAAATTATTTCTAAATTTGTACCTTTTCTTCAGCCATTTCCTTATCCAACGTTGCCATTTCAACAGTCTCTGCCAAATCAGACATTTCATCGGCATGTCTTTCTTTAGCTTCAATAGCCTCTCTGGTCTCTTGCCGAGCCCTCTGCAGGTCTTTCTGCAGTTGGGCCTGAGAATCCATGATCCTTGATTTAAACTCAACCATTTGCTCCAGCTGAAGGCGCACTTTGTCGAACTCTTTCAGTTTTTCCTTGTCTTGCGCTCGTTTGACTAGTTTCAAAAGATTTTAATCAATTTAAGTTGCATATTTCTTTATTTTAGTACCTTTCAAAGTCTCAAGTTTTTCATTCAAATCCTTATTTTCACTTTTCAATTGAGCAGCCTCAGCCGAGGATGTCTTTTCTTCAACTTGGAAACTCAGAGATGAAATACTTGGTGACAGGACTTGGCCTGGAGTAAATTGGGGCTTCAGATTCTCAACAAATCCAGTCTGAAAATCAAATTTTAACACAAATGAAGTCATAATAACGGGCTATAAAAAACGCACCTCTACGAATGAAGCTCTCTTGGTAGTTTCCGGGGGTGTTTCTTTTAGCGGAGTGACTGAGAGTCCCTCATCTTTTGGCTCCACTTTAATTCCAGGCACAGGAAGTCTAAATAAATAGTTGAAAACTAATTAGAATTTCTAAAGAGGGTATAGGCCTAGACTAATCAAGGCAGCCATTCATTTGATGCAGGGTAAGCTGGTTTAACAATTATGCCAATCTTTCCAAACTACAAGCAAACATTGAAATGCAAAGAGGCGAAATTTTGTTAATGCAGTTTAGAGTTTAGCTAATTTGTCGCATGTTAAAGTGGGTCTATAATGTCTGTAGACAATGGTGTGTTGTGTTACCTCATCTGATCAGTTTTCCGAGCCTGAGTAGATGTTGTCAAAGACGATTTCCGTGATACACTTGCAAAAGATAAGTGTACACTTTAAATTATTAAATTAATCTTCAACTTCAAATCAGCTTGCAAAGCTCCTGATTTAAATTTTTGTTTTTGAATTGAAAGCTGATGAAAATTTTCAAATAGGTATTTTAAATGCTAAGCAAGTGTGATTTTGTAAAATATTATATATTAACAAAAAATACCTTGTGGGCTCGGGTCTTTTCCTTTTGAGCACCAACCGGAGAGGAGAAGGAGGAAAATAATTTTAGAGACAAGATACAGATTAATATTGAAGGTGTCAAAAATACAATAAGTGGTAAAACTCTCACAAAACACGTGCAAAATTAATTTCAAAAGTTTCCATGCACATATTGACTTGGACATGTTACATAAATTAAAATGGTCATTATTTAATAGAAAATCCTGCACCTGCAGGGTCAATTTAAGTGATCCACCTGAGGTGACTCGAATTTCAGATTAATCAACTGAAAGCAAATAATAACTATGGTATTGCAACAAACCTGCTGGTCCTGCCAGTGGGCGTGGTGGAGGACGATGGAGAACCACCAGAACTTTCCATAGGTTGTCCAGAATCGTCGAGGATGGTAAGTTGAGAATGCCGGACAAACATTCCATGATTCTCTTCACACTGAAAATTTTGAAATTCTTCAAAAGAGTTTTCTTGAATTTTTTCCCAATTTTTTTTATGGGACTCTCAAATTGGATCTTGATACAAAATATTAGTAAAATTAGCCTTGTCAAAAGGCTAAAAAAAAATTTGGTAATGCCGCATTGAAAATGTTGAATGACAGGTGGAAGAGGAACAACAGCCGCACCTGGAAATATTGCTTGTTCTGAAGGGTTCCGTTGTTTTTGCCTCCAGGGGTGTCCAAAACAACGCCAACCCACTTGCCAGGGGCGAATGACGTGGTACCGATGAAGGCCACATTGCCCTTGAGGCCCTTGCCGGTGATCTCCACCCTTTGTCCAACTTTCAGGTTCTGGTTTGACATTTTGGCGGCCACCTACACACACACAGAGAACACCTTTGAGACTTTTTACACGCTTTGTAAGAGGTAAAAACTTGCCTGATTTTCTGTCGGGCACAAGGATCAATATATCATTTCCGATCTGAAAATATCATCTACTCAATATAGTCGCTTTTCTGTCTTATTTTGCAATTAATTTGTGCGAAAGATCCACATCAATATTTCCAAAGGACAGCGAGCTCAATTTTTGGTTACGCCCTTTCTGTATAAAAAACCGTTTTTAAAAATTATTAAAACCGATTTTTAATAGAAAGATTTGTTAATAAATTTTCCCATTTAAAAAAATAATTAAAAAAAACTATTTTTTTTTTCAAAACTTTAATTTTTATAAGTTTTTGAAAATAATAAAATCAACAAATGTTTGGAATAACAATTATTAACTACCGCTAGAATGTCAACCGGTTAATTTATTTAACTTCCATCTGCGCATGTGCTCTGACCCAGCTGGAAACAATGGCTGCTCTGGGAAGGAACTTTTTCAGCCTAGTCGCTCGGGTAAATTTGAATTTTCTCTCATATCAGTTTATAAAGTGGAATAAATAAAAAATTATTCAGACTCAAAGTCTTTCTTCTTTTAAAATAAGTAATTTTGTGCAAATCCATGCTCAAAATCGTCAAAAAATCTCTCTTTTTCTTTTGCAACTTTTCATCTATTATTTCTTTCTGCAGGGCACTTTAGGCCTTCCAGGTCACCATGTCAGGTGCCTCCACGGATCAGCACCTAACGAGAATGCCATCGTAAGTATACAAATTATTTTTGTTCATACTTGCCTGGAAAGCAATACCAAATCTCACTCAATGTATTTTTCTCTGCACCCTTTCTTGCACCTCCTTCGTGCGCCCTTTTAATCGTAAAGTCTGAGGATACGGTAAGAGAGATATTAAACCTTTGGTTAACTCTATAACAACCATCAAATTTACTCTTTACTGTTGTTTGCATGTACTAGCACTAAAATATCTAGAAGTTTTCCTCTTTTTAAAGAACCAATTGAAATTTAAAAATAGTTAAATATTTTTTCAGTTTTGTTGTGTCTCTCCATTTTATTCATAAGCTCTTGATTTTTCTAATTTAAATAAATTTCTGCAGCAAGCTCCAGTTTCCAAGCCAAAGTCTCGCACAAAATGCACCCTGATCCCTGGCGATGGTGTTGGCCCGGAGCTCATGTATGCCATGACAGAAGTTTTCAAGGTAATTTTGTTTTTAAATAATTAATGTAAGTTAATTTTTACTCCATAAAATTTCAGGCGGCTGGAGTGCCAGTGGACTTTGAGCAGTTCTTCTTCAGCGAAGTAAACCAGCTGATGAGTGCGCCCTTGGAGGACGTTGCCGCCTCCATTGCCAAGAACGGCATCTGCCTCAAGGGCATCCTGTCCACACCTGACTACAGCCGAACCGGCGAACTGCAGACCCTGAACATGAAACTGCGCAGAGAGCTTGACCTTTTCGCTAATGTGGTGCACGTCAGGTCTCTGCCAGGCGTAAAGAGCAGACATCAGAACATCGACACTGTTGTCATTCGAGAGCAGATTGAAGGCGAATATTCTGCTTTGGAACATGAAACTGTCAAGGTAACGAAATTTTGTTCAAAGTTTCACTGTTTTTTAAATTTTAATTCCATAAATTTAAATCATTGAAATATTTCAACTTTTTAGGGTGTTGTCGAGTGCTTGAAAATCGTTACCAGGAAAAATTCCTCACGCATTGCTAAATTTGCGTTTGATTACGCAACAAGAAATAACCGCAAGAAGGTATATTCATTGAGATCTCTATTTAAATGAGTAAATCTAAATTCATGAATAGGTCACTGCTGTGCACAAAGCCAACATCATGAAATTAGGTGACGGTCTTTTCCTTCGAAGCTGCCAAGAAGTTGCAAAGCTTTACCCAAAGATCCAGTTTGAAGCGATGATTGTGGACAACTGCACCATGCAAATGGTGTCCAACCCAAGACAATTCGACGTTCTTGTGATGCCCAACTTGTACGGCAACATTATTGACAACTTGGCTGCTGGTCTGGTTGGTGGTGCTGGAGTCGTCGCTGGTGCCTCTTACAGTGCAAAATGCGTCGTTTTTGAGCCTGTAATTTGTTTAAATTTTAGAATGGAATCAATGGAATAATTTTTATCTTTCTATCAAAGGGTGCACGACACACTTTCTCCGAGGCTGTGGGCAAGAATGTGGCCAACCCAACAGCTATGCTGCTGTGCGGTGCTAAAATGTTGAACCACGTCAACCTTCAGTTTTACGGAGACATGATCAGAAGTGCTGTCGATAGAGTGCTGAAGGCTGGAAAGGTAATTTTTGAGTCAAATTTTGTCCCTTTAATTATCTGAAATTGTCTTTTAAACATTTCAGGTGCGCACCAAAGACTTGGGCGGTCAGTCGACCACCAACGAGTTCACTTTCGCCATCATCAACAACCTTAAGTAGATCTTCGAATCTTCTCTCTCCCTCGAAATAATTCAAAGTAGTCATTAATTGTTGGTACTATACAAAAGCCTCTACAAATCCAAAGAATGAAAGAAAATCTTGCCTGGCGCACGAACAACCTCAGACAGTATTCTACAGTTAAGTTTCTTTTACTTTATTTATAAACACTTGAGTCTAGTCGCAACAACGCTCAGAATGTTAACCTAATTACCAAGAATGACAGAAAAGTTAATAATAATAAAGAGGCTGTTATACTGTTGGCAGTTGTAAAAAAACGTGAAAAAGTTTATTCATTAATTTGCATGTGTAAAAAAACTTGAGCGACTTGAGCAATGAGTATTTTAGATTTTCGGGTCTTCGGCCTGAAGTTTGACCATCTTCTCGCTGATTTCCCAGAACTTCTTTGCAAAATCTCGGTCTTGGACTGCTGCATTCAAAGAACTTTCCTAAAGGGGGTTTTATTATTTTTATTATTTATTGCCAGACGAATAATCTTCATAAATATCTCGAAATATCTTACCTTGCAGTCTGAAAAGTATTTGCCGGAAACACCCTCAACTTCCTTGGAGGCTGCCAAATGAATCGTGGTCTGGGCACCTTCTTTAGGTGTCTGAAAAAAAGCAGATATAAATTTTTCAAAATATAAAAATTTTTCCTCAAAAACCTTGAAAAATCCTTTGATGATAACTTTAAGGCCGAGGTTCATTGGGAACGGGACGCTGCGCCAAATACCAGTGTCCACTAGACCGGGATGCAGACAGTTAGCGGTCACGCCTACCAATTAAAATATAGCCAATTATATTTTCCAAAAATTAAAAAAGCACGCACCTGTTCCTTCGAGTTTGCGGGCCAATTCAAGGGTGAACGCTATGTTGGCAAACTTGGAACGATAGTACATCAACGCAGGCAGACCATCGACCAAATTGACCTCGTCCAGGGTCAGGTGCTTGATGACGTACAGGCTGGAGGCGACGACCACAATTCGGCTTGGTTTTGATTTCTTCAGCAGATCTGTAATTATCATAATATATAAAAAATTGAAAATTTTGATATACAAATTTACCGATAAGAAGGTGGGTCAGAAGGAATGGGCCGTAGTGGTTTGTGGCCAAGGTCAGCTCAATTCCGTCTGGAGAAACTTTTTTGTTGAATGTGTCTGCGCAGCCAGCGTTGTGAATCAACACGTCGAGGCGTTTCTCACTTGCCAAAATTCCTTTTGCAAATTCCCGCACCGAATCAAAAGAGCCCAAATCCAGGCGTCGCACTTCGATGTCATTATTTCCGGTCTCTTTGCTGATCTCGGCTGTAATTTTTAAAATTTTAATCTGATTTGTTATGCAAGAGGCTGAATTCTGACCTTTGACTTCCTCGGCTGCGCTGACAGTCCGACAGGCCAGAATCAGTCTGGCGCCTCGTTTGGCCAAATCCTTTGCTGCCTCTTTACCAATTCCTAAATTTAAATGTTAAATATTGATTTTATTAATCCTTGGAACCTTTAAGTCTTTATGCGTCATTATTTTTTGCTTTGCTTACCTGAGGTTGCACCTGTTATGATGACCGTTTTGCCCTTCATGTTTTTGCTGCTGGTGCAAACTCCACAAGTAACTTTGGCGTAAAGAGCGATCGCAACCACAATCGCAACAGCGGCAGCCGCGCCGGCAGCCAATAGCTTCAGGCAGCAAAACTCAAACAGCATTTCACTCCTACAGAATATAATAAAGAAAATCCAACAAAATTTCACTTTTGCCATAAAATAAAAAGAGAGAATTTTGAAGAGAAAAAAAAGTGCTTAAGTTCACAATACTTTTTATACAATCACTCAAGTGCTGACTAGGCACAAACTTACAAACATGTATACATAATCTTAATGGTGGATGAGGCAAGTTAAACAAACTTTAGCTTCTTAAGTGCATGATTTTTCAATTTACATGATTTAAAAATGCGTTACTTAAAGAGACAATATTGACAATATTATGTTTTTTTTATCAGAAAATTTTTAAAATTTTGTATTAATTATAATTTTTATAATTTATAATTCCACATTAAGAAACAATCCTTCTACATTCATCCGGCACACTTAAATAATCTTTGATCTAATAAATTGTTTTAAATCAATGCAATCAAGTCAGCTAAGGAGAGTTAATTACTCAAGTTCAATAAAATATTAATTTATGCAGACAGTTAGTTGCAGTCTCTGATATTAAAATGAATAATTTATTAAACTTTCTTTTTGATGTTTCTGATAGTTTCAATTTATAATTGCACCAATTTAATTGGAATATTAATTTTGTATTTCAATTGAAATTGATTGAGAGGATTCAAAAATTATGCGTGTAAGTAAAAATATAAAAAAAAAAAAATATAATTAATGGATTTATTATTACATTATTACACTATGAATGAAGAATAATTATTAATTAATATTTTTACTTGAAAAACAAATAGTTTGGTGCCAAGTGAAATCTTTTGTGGCATGCAGTCTAGTTTTCTCTAAAACCTCTTGCACCACAGCCTAAACTAAATTAATAAATTCTGTGAATGCGCCGATTCGCGTGCTCACCTACCTGTCGGAGTGTAGAAAAGAAAGTGCGAGTTGGAGATAAGTGGCCGGACGACTGCGGCTCGAGTAGTATTCTCGGCATGCCTCGGTGCTCAGCGCCGCTGGAGGAGGAAGTCCGACGACGATGCGAACTCACTTTGGAAGTAAGCCGGTCATCGACCCCCACCTGATCGGCCTCGCATTTGAAGCTCCCCAGCCAAATGACTGACCATTTTAATTTGATGCAACTTGTTAATTTTGATTCCGATCGAATTGTTTTGTGTGCTTAATTATTTTAATTTAAAAAATTTTCTTCATTTTCTCGATTTCTAATGCAAAAAAGTAACATTATTTACATTATATAAAATATAATTAAAAATATTTCAAAAACATAATTGAAATATGTGGTTTTCAGTTTTTCTTTATCAGTTTTTCATAATTAATATCAGGTTTATATTTAAATTTATAATTATATTATTTAAATTATATGAAGGTGAAATTTTTAAAATATGTTGTAAAAAAAACGATCAAATTAAAATATTATATTAATAAAGATTTATAATTAAAAATAAAAGCGGCTGCATTTTTTCACGACAATAACACAAATTACAAAATATAATTTATGTTGCTTAACTCTTTATTGCAGAATGCCCTACATTTGATCTTATCTTCAAATAAAAATATTATTATCTGTGGAACATCAATCATTATGCGTGATCAGATCACTGCTAAATTGATAGTGCTCGCTAAGTAAGGAGCAGTCGAAGGACTGACGGCGTTGTTCTAGGTCTTCAGTTTCCCAATAATTCACGGGTTTCACATCGTACAGATAATTTGAATTCATACGTGAGTATAGGACTTTTTGGAAATTTAACTTCAAAATTATACATTTTTTCACCATTTCCCAAGTGTGCATTATTCTGACCATTTTTTTTTTAAAGCGCTTTTAAAAATAAACAATTTGATTGAAAATGTAAACCAATTAAATTTTCAATAGTCAAAACATTTTCGATATAATAATAATAGTAATTTACTGATTAAATTACTATTTTACTCAGTAATAAAGGAAAATGAAAATTATTACAATAAAGTATTATAATAATAGCTTCTGAGCACCTTTGGCCAGATTGGAATTACAATCACTTCAAAATATTTTATTAAAGGATTTTTTAACGAGGAAACATGCAATTTTTAACGCTAACTTGAATTTGGGTGAAATTATCAAGTTTTTGCGTCTGATGTTAAAAGCGAGCTTATTTTTAGACCAGACAAATCTCAAACAATAGAGATATGATAACCTCATTACAAATTAATTTGATAAAATGTTTTCTAATGATGCAATTTACGGACCACTTAAAAATGTCTTATCATTTATAGACGAGAGCAATTCAACCAAGAAAGGTTTACAATTGAAAAGAAATATGACTTGAAAAAAGAAATTTTAATGGCAGGAAAAAATAAAATGATAACTTTTGTGCTTTCTTTGCTCTAAAAGTCTGAAGTCTGAAGCGCAATTTTTATTTTTTTTTATAATTTCACATAATTTATTTACTTTTAAATACATACCTATAAAAAGAAATGATTTTAATAAATAATATATTTTTTCTAGAACATGCTAGACCTTCTAGCGAACATCCCCTTTGGAGTAAAAGTCACGTGCACACTTCTGGGCCTCATCATTTATCTCGGATACAAATTCATCACAAAAAATTTTGATTACTGGCAAAAGCAAAACGTTAAATTTTTGAAGCCAGTACCCGTTTTCGGATCAATCTCGTCGGTTTTCCTCCAAAAAGAGCACCTCTGCCAGTTCATGCAACGCGCGTACCATGAAAATGAGGGTGAACCTTTCGTCGGATACTTCCAGGGCATGACACCTACCCTCTTGGCCATCGACCCCGAACTGATCAAGAAAATTTTCGTCAAGGATTTCTCACATTTCGTTGACCACGGATTTCAAGTAAATAAGAAGAAAAAATAATATGAATTTTATTAATTGCAAATAAAAAATGAATTTCTTAGTTTAGTGAAGAGGCAGATCCATTACAGGCAAAGAATCTATTCCATTTAGGAGGGCAGAGGTGGAAAGACATACGCACAAAGTTAATTCCAACTTTCACGTCAGGAAAAATCAAATCCATGTTTCCCTTGATAAATGAGTGCAATGAAAAGTTTGATGAATATTTGGAAATACTGGCTGAACGTAACGAAAGTTTTGAGGCCAAAGTAACAAAATTTAATAATTTTGTGATATTCCGTGATATTCTAAGCAAAGAAATTTAGGACCTCCTAGGCCGTCTATTTACTGACATAGTAGGTTCGTGTATTTTTGGAATTGAATGCAACTCTATCCAAAACCCTGATAACCAATTCCGATCCATGGGGAAGAGACTGACAACCAAGAGCGTGGTTCAAGCTTTCAAAGTTCTGTTCGTCGTGTTTATTCCAAAGGTTATTTGAATTTTAATATTCTTCTGATTTTCTTATTAATTATTTTTATAATACGTGATTAGGTTTTTGCCAAGTTCAATGTAAGAATTCTCGATAAGGACGTGACTGAATATTTTAAAAAAGTTACCAAGGATATGGCGAAGACAAGAAAGGAGCGAAACATTGTGAGAAAAGATTTTCTGCAGTTGTTAATCGAGTTGAAAGATAAGGGTAGCGTTGCAATTGATGAAGATGACGAAGACAAGTACTTGAAAAAAGAAGCCTTCAATCAAACCACCTCTAACGCTACATTTAGTACTAAAAATTGACTAGTTAAAAATTTTAGTAATTATGAATAATTGCAATTTAGAATTTGACGACATTGATTTGGCCGCCCAGTCCACCGTTTTCTTTCTAGCTGGGTTTGAAACGTCATCTACATTGATTTGCTTTACATTGCTGGAGTTAGCAATGAACCAAGATGTGCAGAGAAAAGCGCAGTCCGAAGTTGATAAAATTCTTTCCCAATCTAATGGAAAAATCACTTATGAAATTCTAAAAGAAATTAAATATTTGGATTGGATCCTTAAAGGTAATTCCATTTTTTGCTAAAGATAATGCAATTATATCATAAATACTGAAAAGTGATAATATTGATGGTTTTGTTTTCACATTATTTTGAAATAAATTTTTAGAAGCTTTGCGGAAGTACCCACCGGTTGCATTGCACATGCGGATGTGCACCAAAACGTATAAAATACCAGACACAAAAGTTACTCTACAGAAAGGCACATTTGTTGCGATTCCTAATTACGCACTTCAAAACGATCCGAAGTACTTCCCAGACCCTGACAGATTTGACCCTGAAAGGTTCAGTGACGAAGAATTGATGAAGAAATATCAGTACATCTACACGCCTTTTGGAGAAGGACCTAGGCAATGCATCGGTAATCGTGAAGTTTATTTTTATAAATATTTTAATTAATTTCATGTGTTTGGTTAAAAGGAAATCGATTCGCACAAGTTCAATCGAAGCTGGCGCTTTTCACGTTCCTCCGAAAGTACACGGTTTCCAAGTGCCCAGAAACAGAATTCCCAGTCAAGATTGAAGAAAAGCAGTTCATTGTTACTTCTAAGAGTGGAATTTTCTTGAAAATTGAAAAACGCAACAATCTCCTTGAAAAATTATCATAATATTATTCATAAGAGAAGAGAAGAAATTCGATTATATCTAATGTTTATTGTTGGCTCTGTAGCTTTAGAAATGCGGAACACTTTGGAGCTGTATTTATACCATTTGCATAGCACAACACCAGCGCAGGTTGCATACCAGTTGCGTACTATCCTCTTTGTAACTTAAAAAAAATACATAATTCTTATTATTTTTTTTCAATTTCTCATAAAAAAAAAAAATAATAATAATTGCTTTGAAACATGAAGCTGAAAGTTAAAATTTGGAAATTTGGAATAAAACTGAATATAGCTTTTGACTATTTTTCTGTGGATAATAAAGGAAAGCAAAGTAATCAATTTTAAACCAAAAATCCTTGATTGTACAACACTACTTCAATTAAAGAAAAACTGATTATAATCTCCAGTTACCCCAAAAATAATTATATACCAACTGATTCTTCTTTTTAATCATAGAAATAATTGTAGTATTCTCCTCAACACAGAGTGGTAAGCGTGCATTATTAAAAAGGAAATACGGACAGCTCAGTAAATTGTCACCACGATCATTTGCGCATCCCAAGGTCACACATCAAGTGGCTCATGACGTAACCCTTTTTATTTTTAGGCGCTGGTCGCTGGAGAACGCCATCAAAATTGGAGCGCAGTATAGATCGGCAACGTGAAGTGCATACCATGCCATAGCTTAAGGCAGAATTAATCATTCAATTTAATCATTATATCATCATTATCAGTGGTGAGGCAATATTACATAAAGGACAAAAACCAGTTAGCTGATGTCAAGAGCAAATTTGGTTTTTGACAGCCTCATTACAGAATGGAGACAGTTAAGTGTTACTTTGTCTTTTTCTGAAACACTGGCGCACACTGACGTAAAATTTAATTTAAAATCAAGCTTAAGATTGAGAAAGCAATTAAAATATTAGTAAAATGCATTTTTTCATATTATTTTTTTTTAATTCATATCAATCAGCACGAAAATGTTTAAAAATTCTTATTTTTATTATTATTTATAATATTATTTAATATTTTCAGAAAATGCTGGCATCCTTAGAAAACATTTCCTTTGGAATGAAAATCACCATTTCACTTCTGGGCCTCCTCATCTATCTTGGATACAGATTGGCCACGAAAAATTTCGACTACTGGCAGAAACGAGGTGTAAAATTCCTGAAGCCAGTGCCCGTTTTTGGCTCGGCCCCGTCGATTTACATGATGAAGGAGCATTTCTTCCAGTTTTTGCAACGTGCATATAGGGAAAATGAAAACGAACCTTTTGTCGGATATTTTTCTGGCACGACACCAAACCTGATGATCATCGACCCCGAACTTATCAAGCGAATTTTCGTCAAGGATTTTTCACATTTCATCGACCACTCGTTTAAGGTGAATTTTTCTAAAAATAAATTTTTTTCTTAATTATTATATGTTTTTAATTAGGTTTGTGAGGAGGCTGATCCCTTGCAAGCGTTGAATCTGTTCAACTTGCAAGGACAGAGGTGGAAAGAAATGCGAACAAAACTGATTCCAACTTTCACGTCTGGAAAAATAAAAGCCATGTTTCCTCTGATGCAGGAGTGCACCGAACAGTTTGATCAACACTTAAACGAATTGGCTGATAGCAAAGAAATTTTTGAGGCAAAAGTATTTAAAATATATTTAAATGAAGAATTTGTTTATTAAAATTTATTTCAGGACATCGCAGGTCGCCTCTTCACTGATATTATCGGCTCGACTAGTTTTGGAATAAAATGCAACTCAATCAAAAATCCGGACAATGATTTCCGTCGGATGGTGAAGAAATTGCTAGGCGCTAATTTCATTCAAGTCATTAAACTAGTGATCGTCATGTTTTTACCAGAGGTATTTTTTTTTATAATGTAATTGCAATAACTTAATTTATTTTTTTTTCAGATTGCTATGAAATTTAAACTTGGATTTTTGGACAAGGAAGTGACCGAATTTTTCAAAAAATTAACCAAGGACATGGTTGAAAAGCGAAAAAAGGACGGCATTGTGAGACGAGACTTTTTGCAACTGCTGATTGAATTAAAGGACAAGGGCAGTGTCGCAATTGATGAAGACGACGAGGATAAACACTTGAATGTTTCGAATGACAACGCCAGCTCAAAAACTCCGTTCAGTAATTAAAAATGAGATAATCTTCCAATTAAAAAATTAAAATGTAAATTTTTATCCTAGAATTTGACGATCTTGATTTGGCCGCTCAGACGACTGTTTTCTTCCTGGCTGGTTTTGAAACGTCCTCCACTTTGATTTGCTTCGCACTGCTTGAATTGGCAATGAACCCAGACGTGCAAAGGAAAGCGCAACTGGAAATCGACGAATGTCTTGCCCAGAATGACGGAAAAGTGACTTACGAAGCTCTTCGAGGAATTACATACTTGGAGTGGATACTAAAGGGTAAAACTGTGGAATTTGAAAATTTTAATGAAAAAATTAATTAATCATAAAATACATCTCATAATATTTTTAATTTTTTCAAAAAAGCATAAAATTTATCAAGAATGCATAAAAAAATTTATTGAATTTGGCACTCTAGCTTGAAATTGAGGGGGAGCTAAAAGGGTTAATTTTAATGTATCCCCCTTTGAAAAATTTCAATACAGGTATCAAAATTGTCATTGCATTGCTTGTAATCATTTAATGCAAAGCAGGTAAATTAATCAAAATCAACCCAATCTTTATGAATTTTCACCATTCTTCTGATGTTGTTTAAAAAACTAAAAAATTAAACTAATCATTTAGACTGATTTTTTAATTTCGAAAATTAATTTTTATTTTCAAATTTCAGAGACGTTGCGAAAGTATCCACCTGCTTCAGTGCACGGCCGAGTGTGCACAAAAAAGTATGTTATTCCCGATACGGACGTAACAGTGGAAAAAGGAATGATAATTGCAATTCCGAACCACGCCCTTCAAAACGACCCAAAATATTTTGCGGATCCTGACAGATTTGACCCTGAGAGATTCGGTGACGAAGAACTGATGAAGAAAAACCAGTACATTTACACACCCTTTGGAGAGGGACCGCGACAATGCATTGGTAATTAAATATTCAATATTAGTTGACAAAAATATAAGAAATTTCCAAATTTTTGTAGGCAATAGATTTGCGATGCTTCAATCGCAACTTGCGCTTTTCACCTTTCTCCGCAAGTACACAGTGGGAAAGTGCTCGAAAACCATTTACCCTGTTAACTTTCATCCAGTACAATTCACCTTGACATCCAAAGATGGAGTTTGGTTGAAACTGGAGAAACGTAATTGTAATGACCAATAATGATTGAACTGATTGAAGTACATGGGGAAAGAATAAATAATAAACTTAATAAAGGAATCACAATAAATTAAAATATTTATAACTTGTATATAACTTTTTAATTGATTTTTAATAACATGCTAATTATTATTTTGATTGAGAATTTCAATATAACATAGAAGTATAATAGGATTTAAATAAATTTTGATGGTACAAACTACAAAGGTGATTTTTAGACAATCACAGGTCTTTAATCATCATTTGCGGTAAAAATTGACATAAATATTTTATCGAAAGTGAAAAAAGTTGCTGGGTTTAAAGTTCTTTATATTATTATTAAAAAAATAATCTTTTGCATTGAAGATGCTGTTACATTATTGTAGGCTTTTGTGCATCCCAAGGTCCCCCGCCAATGACGTAATACTGTGTATGTATTTTTGGGCTCTGCTGGAGAATGCGCAGTATATCTCATTATCAGACTAAGCATTAACACTGCGGAACTCAGTTGTTCTTTTATCTCACGTTAGACGAAACTGGTGGGGCAAAATAAAGAGTTAAGGAATTAACCCCACCGCCTGTTTATGCGCCTTTAAAGGAGAATATAGGCAGTCTTGCTTGGTCTTCGTCAAAGAACACAAACCTCAACTGGTGAGTTTATTTAATTCAGTCTAAATGAGTAAATTTAGACAGGCACAAAGGCAACATTTAAGATAATCAAATTACAAGAAAATAATTAATTTGCCAAATTTCAAAAGTTTTTTCATTACTAGAAAAAAAGATTAAATGTAAATATTTTTTCCAAATAATAAATTTCTATGATGAACGAAAATGAACATAATAATAATAATAAGCCGACGATATTTAGCAAATCACGTACTTAAATTGTGTTGTTACTGTTATTTTCAAAGTTGCTCAACTGAAAAAATCTGCCCAGCAACAGGCCAAACCAAATGTACCTTGCCTTTCTCAAATCATTTCTACTCTCGATTGGCGCAAAAGTTTTGTTTAGGAATGACCAAGCACGAAAAAACATTCGTACGCCCTGTTCTTATCGCCCCTTATCAAAACAAATACAGCGAAAGGTCAATAAAGACAATTCACTTCTAGCTTTTTTTTAAGCAGTGTTTTTGTTTGTACAGAGAAACAACACAGCATAATATTGTGAAACTCGTTTCCAAAGGAATTTATTATATCCAATTTGATTATTTTAATGTTTTTTTCTTTCTTCGTTAATAAAAATAGAGAATTTTAAATTACAAATTTTCAATTTTTATTAAAAATTCTAAAATCCACGTTTGATTGAAAGTAATAGTTGTAAAAATGTGTAATTTTAAAATATCGTTTTACACACTATTCACAACTAAAAAAGCGAGAGAAATGCATCAGTAAAATTTTGTGTTCCGTTTATTAAAGTAAAAATATGCTTATTTATTTTTCTTTCAGAATATGTTATCCTTAGGAGTGCAAATCTCCTTATCACTTCTGGGGCTCATCATCTATCTTGGATACAAATTGGCCACAAGAAATTTCGACTACTGGCAGAAGCAAGGTGTCAAATTTTTGAAGCCGGTGCCAATTTTAGGATCAATTTCGTCCCTCTTCATGCTCAGAGAACACCCCTGTCAATTTGCGCAACGCGTGTATCGTGAAAATGAGGGCCAGCCTTTCGTCGGATATTTCCAGGGAACGACGCAAACCCTGATGGCCATCGACCCTGAGTTCATAAAGCAAATTTTCGTCAAGGACTTCTCTCATTTCGTTGATCACGGATTCAAAGTAAATTTCTGACAAGGTATTGGCTTAAAAATTTCAAGAAGAATTTTTTGATTTTAGATCAGTGAGGAGGGTGATCCATTACAAGCGTTGAATCTGTTTAATTTGGAAGGACAAAGGTGGAAAGACATGCGAACGAAACTTGTTCCAACTTTCACATCGGGAAAAATAAAGGCTATGTTTCCTCTGATGCAGGAGTGCAATGATCAGTTTGATAAATACTTGGATAAATTGGCTGAAAGCAAAGAAATTTTTGAAGCCAAAGTAAATAAAAAATTTTAATTAATGCAATTTTTTATTTATATCTATTTTAATAATTTATTTAGGACGTCCTAGGTCGACTTTTTACCGACATTATCGGCTCGTGCATTTTTGGAATAAAATGTAACACGATCGAAAATCCAGATAATCAGTTCCGGAAAATGGGAAAAAGATTGATTGATGTGAATATTTTCCAGGCCATAAAATTAGTGTTCATCATATTTTTGCCCGAGGTTTATTGATTATTTAAATTTCAAATAAACTGGAATTATTTTTCCACCTTTTATTAAGATTGCTTTGAAACTCAAACTTGGAGTTTTGGAGAATGACGTGTCCGAATTTTTCCTAAAACTAACCAAGGACATGGTCGAGAAACGAAAGAAAGAGGGCATCGTGAGACGAGACTTTTTACAACTGCTGATGGAGTTAAAGGACAAGGGAAGCGTCGCAATTGACGCGGACGACGAGGATCAACATTTAAATGAAGAAACTGCGGACCACAAAACCACATCAAACATTCCATTCAGTAATTAAAATTCAATTAAATAAAGAGAAAAAATTATTTAAAAAAAAATAACGTAGAATTTGATGATATTGACTTGGCCGCCCAGTCTACCGTTTTCTTCCTGGCTGGTTTCGAAACGTCATCCACCGTAATTTGCTTCACACTGCTTGAATTGGCAATGAACCCAGACGTGCAAAGGAAAGCGCAAATTGAAGTTGACGAATGTCTCGCCCAGAATAACGGGAAGATTTCATATGATACGCTTAAAGACATGAAATACTTGGACTGGGTACTCAAAGGTAAAAGGTTTATAAGATATTTTCGTATATTGTTGATTTATAAAAAATAAAATCATTTTGCATTTTAATTCTTCTTTGACATTTAAATTATTTATTTTAATTTTTATTTTATAATATTTTCTCGCTTTTTTGTATTTTTACTCAGTAATACGGAGTATATTTATAAATTTATTATAATATTATCTTAATCTAATAATATATAACTTTTGGAAATTTTAGAATCAATGAGGAAGTACCCGCCTGTCGCATTGCACAGCCGGTTGTGCACAAAAAAGTACGTCATTCCCGAAACGAATGTTGTCTTGGAAAAAGGAACCATAATTGGCATTCCAAATCATGCTCTCCAAAACGACCCGAAGTATTTCCCGGACCCTGACAGATTCGACCCTGAGAGGTTCAGCGACGAGGATCTCCTGCGCAAATACCAGTACATTTACACACCCTTTGGAGAGGGTCCCAGGCAATGCATTGGTAATAATTTAAATATTATGTATTTTTGGAATAAAGAAAATTGGAATTTTAGGTAATCGATTCGCGTCAATCCAATCAAAACTTGCACTCTTCACTTTCCTTCGCAAGTACACGGTTGTTGCTTGCCCCAAGACCGTTTATCCTGTTAATTTTGACGCAAAACAGTTCATCTTGACTTCAAAAGAGGGAATCTGGTTGAGAATGGAAAAACGCCAGTGAACTTAAAATAAAGATGAAAAATATTAAAAATTTCAAAAAATTCAATAATAAGACTGCAAATTTGATAAATTTAATTACTCAAAATTGCTTAAATTTTATTTTAAATTTATAAAAATAGATATTTTTCAGTTTTTTAAATGTAGAATTTTTAAAGTAATTGTGCCTAATAAGAAAGATTTGACAAAAAATCAAATGTGTTTCATTTCCTTGGTTCAAATTTTCAATTGACAGTAACCTTTTAATTGGATCTATGCATCCTGCCAAACACTGCAGCATAGCAGGTTGCCTAAATTTCATTTTGATTGAACTACCAAAAATAAAAATAATTAAAGAAAAACCTGACCAAATGCATTTGAAAAGGTAATCAAATAAGAGATTTTTCGCATTCAATTTTAGAACTCTCGTTTTTGTCACACTCATGTGCGTAGGAACGTCAGACAAAACAACGTGTGGGCTCATTTCGTGACAGGCACTCGCGCGCGGATACACAATTATATGCTAATTTCACAAAAGTCTACACTCTGTGTACACACACATGCACTCTTTGTGAGTCAACGAACTGGATCAATTTAATTTCCCGTGTTACATCATCATAACTCTCGAAAAAGAAATACTAGAGCTGCATTTTAAAAACCAGCTTGTCAACGGACGTACTCAATTTGCTAAAATGATGTATTCGCCGTGTAATGAAATGAGATGCGATAATAATCTTGCGGGCATAACCGAAGGGAAATTAAAATTATTATGTATGAGAAACGGTGAAAATTTGCCAACTCACTATGCAAGCTACGAGCATGCTTTGCCCACGCTTGCGGCAAATGAAATTAATTATAATTGTACTGCTGATTTTGTTTGTTAATAAATTCACTTCAAAGTTCATTTTGATAATTCATCTTTGTCAAAATTAGTGAGATTGAGAATAACTATTTCGAACTTTGAAGTTGAGACGTTAATTGATTCATTTACTATTTGCAGAATTTTAATTTTCTATTGTTAACTTTTTGACTCCATTTATTTTAAACTACAAGCAAATGATCAATAATTAAGTTTTAAGGAAAATGCAATTACCATGCCATGTCTTCTTAAAAATTAGTCGATCATAAATTCGAAAAAATAATATGATAATTAAATCTCTTTTATGATTTTTACTTTAATAGGCTTTGAAAAATTATTTGTTTAGCAAGATTTTTTTGCTGAAATATAAAATATAACTTTTTAACTAAAATTTTAGCCAAATAATAATAGCAATGTGAAATATAAATTTAGAGTAATTTATTTAGTATTTTGAAATCATCATTTTTTTTTTCAAAAAGATTAAATTTATAAAAAAAATGTCCGCAAATAAATTTAGAACAGAATTTCAAAATTTATTTCTAACTGTCATGCGTGATTCATTTCAATTCTGATAATTATGTTAAAATTAACGTTTTTCAATCAAATTTTCAAATATTTGCGTTTTTTATGAACCTAGTAAAAGTCACTTAGCATTGCACGGACAATTAGCACTGCAGGGTTCATTTTCTAGATCAACTATATTTGCCAATCCTTGTGAAGTTTGTTTAAATTTCATTAGGTCGTTTTGCTATTGCCTACGAAGCAGAAGCGGAGTAGGCCGTTTGTGAAAAATGCAAAAGTGTTCCAGCACCGCGGGGGCAGAACGTATAATGATGAGCACTTTGTGATCCGCCGCGCAACCTCTGTTGCTCTGCGACTTTCACCACTCGCTCGTAAAAAAGTAAGCATTGACGAACAAGAGGTGTCGCGCCTCCTCTTCAGTCTTGCAGTTTTTGCAATTTTTGCCACTGATGCTGAATAATAAGTGATAAATTTATGAAAAATAAAATTTAAATAAATTGTTGTATTTTCATACAAATTTTGTAAAAAGTTAAAAAAAAAACAACCTTTGAAATATAATCAAAATTATTCTAAAGCTCATGAGAAGGTTTTTTTATTAAATACCAGTTTATTCATTAATTTTTATTTTTTACTATATGGAAACGATGTAGTTAATTGCCAGTTTATATTGAAATGGCAATAATTATTGGCATGTCTACGATTTTCAGTGAATTTCAACAATTTTTCCTTAAAGATAAGACTAATTGGATTGAATCTTTTTGTGTTGTTAAAATAAAGCTCTTATATGATGAAAATTTCAAAAATTATCGTTTCAAGAAATAACAAGGAATTTTATCTTGGATATAATTCAAAGAACCAGGAATTTAAAGATCGCTGAACCCAAGTAAAAGAATAATGGAAAAATTAAAATATAATTTTATTTTGTCATTTTTATAAAAATATAATTTCTGCTCTTAAAACTGTGAAGACACAGTTCTGCTGTTGAACAAAAAGTGTTTGTCTTAGTGGATTCAGTTTTTTGCTGTTATTAAGAAACTGTCCGTTGCTACATAATTTGTTTGATTTGCAAAGATCATTACTGAGTAACCTTTACATGTTAACTTCTTCAAAAATAAAAAATCATATTATTGGCAATATTTAACTTATCAAGTCATCCCTAGTAAGTTGATCAAATTGAGCTAAATTAGGAACTTGCTAAAATTGTTTATTTCACGAAATTATAATTTTTTAACTTTTCTGCTGGCGGGTCAGTGGCGGCTCCTCTTTCATGCCAAACGGTCTGCGTATAATTATATTGTTTTGATTAGGGTTTTCTCCTTTCGCCCAGCAAGGCCACACGGCGGCGCGCAATTGTACAAATTGTCGTCGGCTCGCGGAGTTTTGTAACCAAATTGCGTGGCGGCGCTCATAATTATTTTATAGTCGAGCTGGCTGGACAAGCAAACTTCTTTTTTTCTCTCTGAAGAGAGAGATGTTCTCAATGGCTGAGTAAATAGCATGCTTGATGGAGCTCGTTGCGAATTGCCATTCATGAATAAAGCTTGGCTTAGCGCAAGCCAGCGACCTCTGCGGATGAGATGCAATTTTGTGACGAAAGTGAAAACAGGCTACATACACACACAAGCAAGCGTGATTTTTATATTTGAACAGGGAAACTACTTGTATGGTGCCGCAGACAGTCCTTTCCTTTTCCATAATCTTACTGACATTTGATGATAATAATAATTTAGCAAAGGTCACATGCATTGAAAAGCAGTTTTTTTTATATATTTGTTTAAAAATTAATTTGAAAATATTATACAATATTTTTATAACGGTTTCTTTTTACCTTAAATCATATTTTACAAAGAACTGAACCCACGATTCAAACCTACTTAATTTAGTTTGATTAATTTTTATTCTGAAATTTTTGTATTATAAGAACTGAAACAAATTGAAAGTTGAAAAAATATTGCATTAATAAATTATTATAAACCAACTATTCATTCCATTCAGAATATAAACTACTAGAAATAATAAAAATTATCAGATCAACAACATTAAAATTCAAATTAATATGTGCAAAAATATATTCGGAATATATTTTAACAGCAAGTAAAAAATGACTTTAGCAAAAAATGGATCATTAAATTTTCATTGATACATAAGACTTGATAAAAAAAAGCTGCAATAATTGGCAGTTAAGAGCACAAAATTTGATTTTATAAATTTTCAAATAATGAAACAATAAATTTTTAATAAAACAATATGGAATATTTTGTTGCTTTTTTCTTTTTTCATAGACACATATTATAATTTGTGAATAATAAGGAAAACAATAAATTAGAAGCAAACTTTTAATTTCAAGATAGGATTGCAATTTTAAAATCATTTAGTGATCTATGACAATTTTGACAGCATTAATATTTTTTTTTTTAAATATGTACCAGAATGGAAAAGATTTAAATAGTAAAAAAGTTTCGAATTTTAAATCTTTAAGTCATGAAAACAATCATTAACTGTTAATTTATAGAGATTTCCCTGCATTATTTCTGTTATAAACGTCGTGGTTGAATCCCACGTGGATAATCGGTCGTGTCGAGAGAGGCGAGGTCAACAGCACCCGCGATGTCAGCCAAGAAATTCGCGACTCGACAATTTTTCATTTTTTATTTATTGGCAGGCTGCGGAGGGCAGAGTTGAATGATCGGAGCCTGCACGCAAAGACCAGTTTTGAGTCTGTGCAATAAAATATAGGGAGGCGGATGAAAAGGACGAATTTTGAGCAGACGCCCCTCTCCAATTGCGCAGAGAGCTGGACCGCTACCTCTCTATATAAAAGACTTGCGAACGCCAACACGCGAGTTTTGTCGAAAGTAGTAGTTGCTGCTCGACAACGAGCACTCTTGATTCCGATCGTCGCACAGGCCAGATGAAGTTACCCTTTCCGGCCGCCGCCTTATTTTGCACCCTTCTGCTCGTTCAAAATGGTGAGTTGAAATTTGAAAAATTTATTACTTGGAAATTAACTGGAGACTTCAACGCCCGAAATTTTGAGCAATATAGATTTAATTTTTTATTTTTGTTATAACATTTCAATTTTAAAAAAAGTTTAAAAATTTTAAAAGTTTATTTTTTTCAGGTTTAAAATGAAAATTATATTATGACATTTTACTTTGGATTTTGGATAGGAAAAAATTGTTTTTGTTTGTGTCATGTTTATTCCCACTCGTCATTGAATTTACTATTTTGGCCTAGCTTTGACCCATTTTTGCCAAACAAACAAAGCTCAAAATATCCTCTCATTATGCAAACGCCAGGCACGTGTTAATCGTGCGAAATGAAATTACCATAAAAAGCGTTCTACACATTTCCAAGTTGAGCAAAAAATGTGCAGAAATTTAGCAAAAACCAGCAGCGCAAAGAGATATAATAAATTAATTTCAAAGGCTCATGAAAATCATCAACCGTGAAAATTATTGCGGCTATAAAAACAACAACTCAAAAGCCATTAAACGAAAACAGCTGCGGGTGTTTTGTTGTTTATTTGAGCTGCATTTGAATTATCAAGTCGCGTGCCAGGAAATTTCGACAGTCCACATATATAATATCTGTCCATCTAATAACTCTTCGAGAAAAAGTGTATAAAATTCAGTCAAGGCCGTTGCACGTTGTTTGTGCACCTCGCTTATCGGATAGAATAAATGAGAAATTAATACCGTGGCACGTGATGAATTCGTGCTAAAAATGCAATCAGGAAAAAAGTGCAACGTTGAGAAATATATATGATTATAAAAGTGAGAAATTCCTGCTTTTCTTCAAAAGATCTGTGCGTGTGATAGACAAAAAAAATTATTCCGTCCGGTGTGAAAAAAAAACTATGAATTAAGTCAGCTGTTTTCTGTCCTTGGTGTATTGCGATTCATCTCCATTAAGGTTGAGAATTATTAATAAAGAATTAATTTTAATTTAGAATTTTACAAATTATATTTAGTTTCCACTTTAATGTCTTTTGCTTTTTACTTTCTTAGGATATAATTTTTATTTCTTGCAAGTTTTTCCGCAGCGCTCTTTTTGTCATGCCTATGATGAACAGTAATTTAAATTGATTTTAAATAAAATTAAACTCTAGTCAACATAATAATTGTGCTTAAAATAAATTTAAAAAAATTTATTTACCGTAAAAAAATTATTTATAAATTTTTGAAAATCAAAATGGTATTGATATAAATGGACCAATTTGTATTTTTCTATTTCATTTTTTACACAACAAAGTCCGAGTTATTATAAATACTGATTGGATCGAAACCTCGAACCAGTTATAATCAAAATTTCACTCTCAAAAGTACGTCCTATTTCATTTCAAAAGTTGTTGTGATCTCTGCCTAGCGTGCCGCGTGAAATTTGGCTGCGAAATCGAGCTCGGAGCGAACGAAAAAAATCGCCTCCGAGGAGTCCTCTCTTGACAATGCCTTATGTAGGTGACCTTGAAATCCCAATTTCTTTTCGTTTTGGATCTCTTTCTTTCTTTCTTTCTTTTCATGAATTGCCGCGTGCAATTAAAAACAAACGTTTCAACAGAAAAAGCAGCGAAACAGCTTTTCCTATTTTTTTTTCTGCCGTCTCCATTCATTTATTGACTTAATTCGCTTTCGCCATTAATTAATCAATTATTCACCAGTGAAATTACGGCAAAATGAAATTTAGATCACGCTGCGATATACGCCCCGCCGGGCACTTAGGCAACCGGCCGTCCGCCCGCGTTTGTTGCATAAATTGCATAAACACCGTTTTGGGCATGAAAATCTATAACGTACGAAAAACATCCGTCGTCGCGATCTTTTGTTAAATAAATTTGCTCAACACGATTTTTTTTTAAGTCGCAAACAGGTTAATTTCTTTCCTCGGGGTCTGCACGACTCACCGATACAGGCGGTGCACCTGGAAATGTGAATTTAATTGATCCTGATTAACGTGCAGCCGAATTGTAAAGGCACAATTATGGTCTTGCCGAGAGTTAAGTAATCGACGTAATTACACGCTTTCAATTAGAGACGGGGAAAAGTTATGGTCCTAATGAAGAAAAATAAATCATTTACTCCCTGCCTTTCTCAATTGACTCACATTCTAAAAGCAGTGTAATATTTATTTCGATAATAAAGCTATTGAGTTTAATAAGAAAATCCATTGACCAAATATGAAACATATGAAGATAATTTTTTAGTTGAAAAATAATTTATTTTTGTTAATATATCTTTTAATCTTCCCATTTCAAGAATTAGTGGTTATTTTTCAACGAAATTGTTAATTCAATGAATAAGTTTAAGGTTTGAAATTATTTCATTAATAATATTTTTTTTTAGATTTTGGAAAATGTTTCAAATTTTTAAATATTATCAAACCAATATATTTGGCCGTTTTTATAATTTTTTTTTTATGTAGAACAAAGCACAACTGTCTTTCAATTTGCGGCTTTCTTAGTTTCTTTTTGATTCAACCGTGTGTGCATTTCTTTCTCTGAAGTGCAATTTTGCAATTTGACGCCGGCAGCATTTCTCCAATTTTCGTAATGACACCGCGATTCGAGCTTGTTGCTCTCTTGATTTTATTATATTATATTGAAATTAATATGCACATAAAGTGTCTTTTAGAGAGGCGGGTTTTGCTCTTTGTGTACGGAACGAAATGCATGTTGACTTTCTACGACCTGATGGACTGGCACTTCAATAATAAATTAAAATGCCCTCACCATTTTCCTGATTGCACTTTAGAAAGGCGCGCGCGCGCCGGGATCATTTTCTGTTGTACTCGGTGCATTTGAATATGAAATAATGCTCTCCCTGCTGGCGCGAGAGATCGTGCCATCATCGCTTGCACAAAGAGAAAAAGGCTCGAAATTTCTCCCTTGCAAGAAAAGCTGCAGTTGTCTCAAGAACCAGAAGAGTGCTTTCTTTTCAAGTGGCATTGATTCCAACTGTATAAGTTGCTAGAATCAGTTGTAAAAATATAACAATAATTAAACTTTATTTAAAAATGGAATAGGAACAGATTTTAATTATGAGAAAATGTGTAAAAATTTATTGAATAAAATTTCTAAATAATATTTGATTAAAAAAAATTTGAATACATTTCACCAATCATATTTTTAAGATAAAATATGATTCAAAACGATTGAATATTTATTTTTTTAACAATGATTCCAAAATGCAGTTTATTTGAATCAAAACTAAAAGAGAATACATAAGATGAAATTTGATTTAAAAAAAAGCATTAAATATTCCCATTCAATTTATAAAAATTTTAAATTTCTATTTGAATTAAAAGAGTAAAAAAATTGTGAATGATATTTAAGTATTGAAAGTTTAAATAATTTTATAAATAATGAATTTTTTATGTTTAAATTGGCAGTGATCGCTGAAGATGAAAACAAAGCGGAAGACGAAGGCTACTATGGCAAGCCTCTAGGCGCCCTGAGTGAGCACCATCACGCAGTCAAAGGTTTCGTTTACGCCGTCGACTCACGAACTCTTCACATCCGCCACTTTTCTTATGATGGACTCGGTCCAGGTTCGTTTAAATCATTTTATTTAATAATCTGGATCATTGCATTTTTTAAATTTCCAGGGGCGTATTTCTACGCCGGAAACTCAAAATCACCAAGCGGTTCCGGATTTCGGTTGCGGGACGAAAGGGGCAGGTGAGTTTTTATACATTTTCTCTCTAAATTGAGATGAGAATTTCCGGATCACTTCTATTTTGGGTCACTTCAATTCTCGTTTATTTTTGTGACAGTCTCACTCAAGCACGCACTCGAATTTTAATTTAAAAAAAATATATATAAATGGCCCGGCGCCTTTCGGTCGTGGATTTTTGGCCAAGTGGCGGCCGGCAAGATCGTAAGTACAGTTAAATGGTGCTCCAAATTCAATGTTGCAGTCCGAAGGTGTTGAGAAAGTACAACGACGAGCACATCACTTTGTCCCTACCCGAGGGCAAAACCTTGAACAGCATCAAGTGGTTCTCCGTCTGGTGCGAGGATTTCTCGGTAAGATTTATTACACCGACTTGTTTCTCTTCAACTTTGCACGCCAATTCCACTTTCTTTCTTTCTTTCTATTTATTTCTCTTGTTCACCCGCCGGATTAGTTTATTTCTTTCTTTATTCTTTCTCTCGACAATCCGTTCGTCTTTGTCACGCAATCCGCCGAGATAAGCAGAGACGCTGCTGGGAAAAGTGATTTCGTTTTTACCGTGCCGCTGCCGTTCATGCCCTCGTTTACGCGACCATAAAATTTTTCTCAGCCAGCTTAGTGGGCCAGCGGTACTTTGCAACAACTGGATTGTGTATATAAATACTTTTCGTCTCTGCAGGTGAACTTTGGAGATGTTAGGATCCCGAAAGGTTTCCAGTACCCGAAACCGCTCAAACTGGGCTCTCTGTCCGGAATCCACCACGTCTCATCCGACCCTGTGGTCATTGTTGACGCTCAAACCTTCCTTGTGCCAAACTTCTCTTATGACGGAGAAGCTCCAGGTAAAATTTTGTCCACTAAAGAGATTAATTTTGTTCATGTAAAACTATAAATTGAATTCCCTTCAATTATAAATTAAATAACAACTGTATGTAATAATTTTCAAATTGAAAACTAAACTTTTTTAAAAATCATCCACGTTGTCTAGAAAATTAAAAAATATAGTAAAATTAAATTAATTTAACTTATAGAATAAGCAAAATGAAATTAATTTAGGGCCTTGAAACACTTCACATTTATTTATATAATAATATAAATAGATAATAAATATAATTTTAGGTCATTAATGTAACTTGAGATTTGTTCAGAATTTTAATAAAATTGCTATATTTAGAGTTATTTTTTATTCTGAAGCTATCAATAAATATCATTCCTTTTATTCAACGGCATTAGAAAATCTTTACTTGTATACATGAAATTATTGATTTTTTTTTAATCAAATTTTCTCTCAACCTATTATTTTTTTATTTTTAATTGATATCTAGATGCGAAATTCTGGGTTGGAAGTGGAGAAAAACCAACGTCTCAGGGCATCAAGGTTGCCGACGAAAACGGCCACTTTGAGCCTTTGGGCAAATACGACGGCAAAACCCTGGTCATCACCCTGCCCGGCGGCCTCACCGTCCACGAAATCGGTCACTTTGGTGTGTGGTGCGAGGCTTTCGCGGTCGATTTCGGCCACGTGGAGATTCCCGCCTCGGCCGCAGTGCCTCCTTCGCTCAGGATGCTCGGAGTTGCACCTCAGGTATGAAATTACAATCGCACGATTTGCGACGAATTCGAATAATTGTTGAAAATAAACTGGCTTTGCATCAACTAACCTACACGCAACAAAAACAGGTCTCCACAGGTTGAGCATGCAAAAAGTTTGGAATGAAACAAAAGAAATGTGATATATAATTATATGAAAATTAATTTTAAGATAAATCCTTCCTCGATTCTCTTACGAATTAAAAAGGTGTTTTGTTTTCTCTCCTTGCGCCTCTCTATTGGATTGCATTTTTTGGACATTTTTACCCCCTCCCTCCCTACCCTGACTTTGAGACTGCTGACGATGACGGAAGACGGATATATACATTGAGACGCCGTTGGCCCGAGAGTCTGACGCGGCTTTTCTTGCAGAATCCCCCAACCCTGGCCGAAATCGTCAAAAAGTACCCTGACCTGAAGGTTGCCCCGAAGTCAGACCGCAGATCTTCGTCCTTTGGTAATTTCCTCGTCACAAACGACGGTCCGACCACTTTCCGTCCTCCCCTGCAGTTCTACCACCCGTCAGCCGCAACTTACTCCGTCCAGAATCAACAGCCCCTCGTGTACGTGCCACCGCAGCAACCTCAACCTGCAGTTTACTTCTACCACCACCCTCAACAGGCCTACTACCTTGGAGAACAGCACCAGCCACAGCAGCAGCAACAAGATCCTTCGCAAGTGTCACAACATCCCACTCAAGAGCCCCAGAATCCCCAACAATCCCACCAATTTTACTACACTTATTAAATTAATTCATTTTTTTAGACTAACTGTTAAATTTTGAACGATCAGGACCCAGGGTGTAGAAGTGTATAAATTATTGGAGGATTAATTTATTATTTTTAACTTATTGATTTTGTTATACAAATGGTCACAATAAGAAGCAACAGAGGCGTTTAGGAGAGAATAAAGAACACGTTTTTATATACCCCTAGTCTCATTATTTTCCCTTCCGCTTCGTCGGTCAAACTTTGCAGTCGAGATTGAACTGCGAAGTTCTGCACAAACCGCTGGAATTTGAGGTGCGCTGGGCCATTGCTGGGGAGAGCGCCGTGATTCAGTTGGTCGGGAAAGTCGGTAAGTTAAATATAAAGGAAGAATTAAAAATTTGAGCAAAATTTGAAAAAAAAAACTTCTACAGAAACTGGAGATTACATGTCATTTGGTCTCTCCGGCGACGACACCAAGACCAAAATGATAGGTGGTGACGCCGTCGTGGCGTGGATCGACCCTGAGGACAATCAAGGCTACGCCGTCGACTACTACTTGGAAGGGAAATCGCAATGTGCCGGTTCCAGAGGCAGCTGTCCTGACACAAAACTCAAAGTGAGAACCAATTTGTCAAAAGAAAATTTTAACAAAATATCCAATCAGGAAGGAACTGAGAGCATCAGACTGCTGAATTCTGCCCTGGTCAACGGATACTCCATCGTCACCTATCAGCGATCGCTCAAAGGTGCCGACGATTTGGACAGGCCCATTTTCAACAACGGCACCGAACAGGCCATCATCTGGGGCGTCGGACCTCTTAACTCGAAAAAGGAAGTTTCCTTCCATTCGGCTTACCCGAAAGGTAAAAATGAAAAAATCAAATTTATTATTTATTTTATTAATTTCAATGATCCTCCTCAAAAGGCAATGTGAAGCTCAATTTCACACGCGTTCCTGAGTGGAACTGCCCGCAACCTGAAGACGGCACTCATTCGTCTGCAATGTCCAATTTGGAGAAAGAGATGAGTTCACCCGTCGCTGCTGCGACCCCGAAACCAGTCGAGGCGCCTAAAGATGCCTGGTCCATTCCTCCGATTCCGTGCTACGAACCTGACGATGGAGTTTTCTACGCCCAGATGGGCCCAACTGGCGGAAAGAGGGGATATTCGGCAATTACCGGTACCAATTAATTTAATTAGAAAAAATCTAAATATCCGTTTTTTTTTTTAAATTTGTTCAGGTCATGTTGGTTGGGGAATTTCCTGGTTCATCAACGGACTGCTCATTCCTGAAATCAACGTGGTCAGGGGGAAAAGCTACACGTTTGTCGTGGAAGGGGGTGACAACCCTGAAATACCCGCCAGGTACCACCCCTTCTACATCACTGATGATCCTGTTGGAGGCTACGAGCACAAAACCGCCCAGGAGAGAAAGGTATAGAAATATTTTTAGTGGAAAAATTATTAAAAATTAAATTTTCCAGGCTGTGAAAGTTTACGCTGGGGTCAAATTCGACAAGAGGGGCAGGGCCACCCCTACCGGAACTGGTCGCCTGTGCAACTGGACACCCGATCCGAATCACTCGGCGGACGACAGTCCTTCCTTCGGTGCCTATCAGCAAACTTTGAAACTGGAATGTGACCCCGGTGAACCTGGAATTCTCAGGTGGACACCTGACAAGGACACTCCGGACACCATCTACTACCAGGTAAATGACCTCCCATAAAAAAAAGAAGGATTGATACAGCTCAAAGTAACAAATAAAATTAAGTAAAGAATCGTTTCTGAGAAAATTTCAATTTTAAAAAATTATTTCTTAAAAAATTCCGTTAAAAATAATTATTTTGGTATTTAAAAAATGTCATAAATAATTGAAAATTTTAATTTTTTAAATTATTTAATATTTCTTTAGTTGAAAACTTTAAAATTTTATCAAAATTAGATAATTTATTTCAATAAAAAAACAAAGTTTTGTTTAATATAAGCTTTAAGAAACCAAAAAGTACTTCAAAAAAAAATTAGATATTTAATTATTATGCAATTTTGCTAAATTTTTGTTCCCAATAGTGTTTCACCCACCGGTACCTGGGCTGGAAGATCAATGTCGTTGACAGCTGCGACGAGCAGCCATCTTCAGACGACCTTCCTGAAGACTCAATCGACCGCCACGGAACGTCCGACGACCACGAAGAAGCGGCCAGCGTGAATTTCGAAACCAGAGTCAAAGTTCCTGTGGGGGAGAAAATCGAGACGCCGTCTCTGTCCGCCGCCCACGATCTTTTTCCTCCGTCCGCCGCTCAGGTCTCGTACGTGAGCAGCCTGACCTCCCGCGGAGACGAAATTGCCAAAAACGCCGACGCGTCCAAAGAGCACCCGGACTTCGAAAGCCCCAAACACACCGAAACCCTGGAGCCCATGTTTGTGGCGTCGCCTGTCGACCGCAACATCAAAGAGACTCCCAGGGTGCACAACTTCCGTCCGCAGGTCAACAAGGGCAAGCACTTCATCAGAAGGGCGCCGCCCCAAAGACTCCGCTACCCTCCCACCACGCAGAAAAGGGCTGCTCCCTACTACAGACGCCCGCACCACCACCTCTACTGATCAGTAGGTTTTACTTGAAAATCGTCGTTTGAGAAAAGACTAGATTTTTTTTTTTTAATTTAGACTAAATGAAAAAAATTACCAAATTTAAACAAGTTTTTTCCAAAGGAAATGTTTTTAATATTTTTTTAAACTTTCGCACACAAAAGAAATTAAAAGGACTGTTTCTTCTAATTTTTATTTGCTTTGGAAAAATTTTAAAATTGAAATTGTCGTAGTCAAAAATTATATCATTTATTTTAAGAACGCTAACGCAACAATTAAGGCTTACCATTCTCACTAATGTGCAAATGAGATTAAAATTATATTTTGAAAGTTGGGTCAAAAAAGTTATTATTTAATGAATGTAAGTGATCTTGACAAGTTTTTCTTTGCCTAAAAATTATATTAAATAAATTTGTCACCAAAATAAAGTTTTGTCTTTTATTGCTTTAAAATGTTAACTTTGAACATTTGTTTATAAACAATTCTGCTAATTCAAAAGAGACTTCAAATCAAAATAATTGTTTTCTTTATTATAAAATAATATAGGAAATCGTTTAAGAGTTCTTCTTTCTCCGTTTAAAATTTTAAGTTCATTTATAATATATAATTACATTTTTTTTAAATTAATTTTGAATATAATTGTTTAAAAAATTAATAAGCTCTGCTAATTCAAGTGATCACAAATTTTGTCCTGCTCTAAAAAAAAAATTAATTTCGTTTTCAATCTTTGACCTGCATGCTCTGAGGATTCTCATAAGGAGCAGTAGAACGGAAAGAGCAATTAATTTATATTTTTTCCATTAGTAAAATTTTTGAAGATTTTATTATAATCTCGGTTGGTGCCAAGCTATCTTACCTTGGATGCAGCCTGACACGAGAAGGGGCTCGACGGGGCTAAACTTGGTGCAGGCGACCACATTGCCATGGCAAATGTTGGTGCGCACCTCGTAGAGGCATTTTGATCCTGTGGGGGCGTACACAGGGTCGTTGTTGCCCCAGGGATCGTCACATTCGGGGCTGAAGGCCAGCAGTCGCACCCCGAAGCCAAAAGGCGAGCTGACGAGACGGCCGTCCGGACTGAAGGCCTGTTCCTTGATGAAGCCTTGGCCAACGTTCGACTCTTCGCAAAAGTACAAAAGGCGACGCTTGTTTTTGTGTATGCGCAGAAAAGAAGTTTGACTAGAATCGACTCCTTCTGGAAAGAGAATAAACAATTTATATAATAATTTTGAAGGAAAAAATTACATAGTTTAATTAATTTTTATTCAATTTAATGTGTCATTTTTTTCAAAATTGTTATGATTTACTGTCCAATGTGGAACAAATGTGAAAGGCAAACATTTGTGGTTTTGAATGTACTGAAAACAATGTTATTTATTTTGAAAACATTTTAATTATTTGTAATTATTATTATTATTTTTTAAATTTATGTCAACAATTCAAAAAGTTAAAATTAACACCCAATGGAAATTTAGCAACTTTTTAAGTTAAATTAGGAAAGAATGGGTGTTACAACAGCTTTTTTATAAGGATGAAACTACCTGTATTAGAGCTATTTTCCATAAGGTCAGCCTCAATTCTCTCTCGAGAATATGCTGCATTACGTCCAGCAATCAGTATGTCCTCGTCATCATTATTGCAGTTTTTGGACGGCAACTCTTGGATGTCATGTAGACAGGTCCACTGCGAAATTTAATTTGTCTTTAAGTAAAATTGATTTCCCTCTTATTTGTTTACTCACCTCCGAATCTTGGTGGGCGCTTGTATTGCGGCTCAGGGCACACCAGCCTTTTGGATGGACTTCTAAGGAGGAAATCGAGGTTGCTTCATCATCCCTGGGGAAGTCTGATATCAACTCGATTCTGTTTCTGTAGCAGTCCCGCTTGAACCGGTTCGTGTACTTGGCCAGCTCCGGAATCATAATCAGCGTTTCTTGCATTAACCGATACAAACTCGGCTGTGAAAGTCAATAAAAATATTCAATCAGTATCAATTAAAAAAAAAAAACATTATCACAAAGTTTTTATTACTTTAAAAAGTTTGAGATCTTCAGGGAGTTTGCCTACATCAAGATCATGCACAACCATCAAGTAGCCAGAGGAGGAGCTGACGATGAGTTTGCTGCCGTCAGGAGACAATTTTGTACGCATCAAATCGTTGGCTTTGAGCAATGTTGTGTGGGGACATGAATCCTCAACCAATCTGCAAAAATTTTAAAAATATTCTAAAGAGGAAAAGCCTGTTTTTCTCTACTACGAGAATTAATTAATCGAGTTTGACTTTTAAGAAATTTCAAAATTAATTCCAAAATTTTTGGATCAGAAATTTTTTTCACGGACTCACTTGTTAATGTCCCAGCAGACAATTTTGCAATCGAACCCCGAGGAAAGGACGAGACCCTTGGACGGAAGGACTTCAACATTCTTCACCCAACTCGAGTGACCTCGAAGCCTGCACAGAGGCTCCCGAGGTGTCCTCAAGTCCCACAAAGCAACTGTGGTGTCATCACTGAAGCTGAAGAAGCACCTGTCGTCGAGGAAAGTGACGCCATTGACGCAGTCTGAATGGGCCTCGCGCAGGGCCAGCACCTGCTTTCGACTGACACTGTCCAGGACGAGAACTGTCTGCTTTTCACAAGCGGCAACCAACGTCCTCCTAGAAATTATAGACACAATTTCTATTAAATTTATTTACAAATTAAATGTAATTTTTACTAATTGTAAAAAATTAGTTTTTATTAAAAGTAACTTAAGTTGAGTAGAAAAATACAAACCCATCAGGAGAAAACTGGAGGTTGAAGACGGCGCCATGTGAGGGGCCGGTAGCTGCGGAGGCGGTAAAAGAATCAACGGGCTGAATGTTGTAATAAAGCTTGAGACGAAGGGAGTCCTGGAAACCCACTGGCTGCTGCAGGCCCAATTCTCTACGCCTCAGGTACTCCCTGAAGGTCACCCCTGACATTACCTGCAACAACGAGATTGAGATTTGAGAAAACCCTTTTTGCAATATTCCACCTGTTTTAAAATCAACTTATGTACATCAAATCAATTTAATTCTTTATACCTGTTGAAACCCGGAAAACACCTAGAGAAAAATTCTGAAGCGTATGCGGCACCTTTAGCAGTTTTCTGTAAATAAATTTGGTGTTCCCGAAGAGTTGTGGGGCCTGCGGAGGAAAAATATTTGTTAAAACAGGAGTTCGCTTTCAAGGCTAGACCTTGAAACAAAATTCATTATCATCAATGTCTATTGTGAAATTATGAATGCATCGACGGATTAAATTCCATCAAATTGTATCTCAGAAATAACGTTTGAAATAAAAATTTTAGGCAATATTTGTATGATAAAATTAATGTTATATAATTCTTACCTTTCCGCATGCCAAGTGTCAAAAATTCTCCTTCATCTTTTCGGTCTTCAACCTTCACGCTCACAATTCAAGCTGCACTTTTGTGTTAAGTTAAAAAGCGGGACCAGACCAGAGATGATTGTCACTCGTTTGATTTCAACACAAAGCAGGTTAGATGCACGTGCAATTGAGCAATTAATAGCGACTCAGTACGCGCACTTAGGAAAGGGATAGAATTGTGTAATTGACTTTTCACATAAGAGATCAGCCGGAGCCTGCCAGAGCAGAGGATTGGTTTCTCAGGTAGCTTCTCAATCAACTCAGGTGTGTTTTCTTTGTTGACGTTCCCAGCAGTTGGTAGCTTCGTTTAAACCAAAAATCACAATTCCATCATCCATAAGCTTCGATTTAAGTATTACATTTATTCAAAAGGTTGCAAATAAAACTAAATATCTGAAAAAAACACTTGAAGTAAAGCTAAATAATTAGTTTTTCACAATAATAACGTCTGAATTGTATAATTTTTGATTTGTTGGTACCTCTGAATATTTGTTGTTTTCAGTTTTTATTTTGCCTCCTCTTTGTTGACAGAAATCTGATTATTTGAATGAAGATTTTCACCGATTTCCGGCAAAATTTTGCAATTTGGGACATAAACTTGAATCGAATTTGAAATTCGACATTATGGCAGATGATCGAGTAAAAAGATTTCGGGAAATTACAGGCAAGTTGTCTTAGGTTGTCTCTCAAAAAGATGGAACAAATTTGACGGCTTTTAATTTTTCAGGGGCTTCGGAAGCGGAGGCGGCTTCGTTTCTCGGCTCTAGGACGGACGTGGAGGCCTGCGTGAATGAGTTCTTCGACGTACTGGCCTCCGGGGGTGGCCCGCCTCCAGCAGAGCCAGAGGTTCGAGCGCCAATCGCTCCGATGGAGGACGTCATGTTGCCTCCGGAGGCGGCTTTTCCACATGCAATCCCCATTGTGGTCGACAATCTTAGAGACTTTCGTGTAGAGTCTGGTATGTTAAATAATGTCTAAAAAAAGTGGCCAAATATAAAGCATTATTTTCACCCTAATTTTTAGAAATTCAGACTGCTAGACAAGAGGCTGCTTTGGCCGGAGGGTCTGACGAAGCCTCCAAAAGATTCGAAGATCTCTTTAGGCCACCCATTGACATTCTCTTCCGTGATGGAGATTTCACAGAAGTATAAAATAATTTATTTGAAGTGATTGGATGTATTTACCAATTTATTTCACAGGCCAAAGAATTTGCCAAGGATGAAAACAAGTGGGTGTTGATAGACTTGCAAAACAGCAAAGTATTTTTAAGTGTGGTTCTAAATAGAGATTTATGGCAAAGTGTTTCCCTCAAATCGTACATACAGGAGCATTTTTTACTTACTCAGGTATGGCATTTAACATAATTTTTCTCTTAAATTCTCCAACAAAATATATTATTTTTCCAGTATAACATCGAAAGTGTTGAAGGCTCAAAGCTGCAAAGACTGTACAAAGTTGAAGACACTGACTTCCCTCACATTGAGGTTATAGACCCACGAACAGGCGAAAGCCTCGAAACTCTAGGCGGAGAGGGTGTAACCCTTGAGCCAGTCTATGTCACCGCCTTTTTAAAGGCATTCATTCATCTGAATGGTTCACCCGATAAATTTGATCCTCCAAAGAAAGTCACAGTAAGATAATTTTCATAAAAATTTCTTTTTCTTATTAAAGGCTTCCTTTTTTAGCCTAGAGACGTTAGGAGGCTGTTAGAGGAGGAACGAGAACTTCAAGAGGCCATCCAGAGATCAATGACCTGACCGACTTATGTATCGGATTTTTCTCCGTAGAGAAATACTCACATTGTTAATTTCTGTTTTTGTAAATAATTGTCTCATTTTTTTTAAACGCTGACCTCCAAATATAAAAGAAGAATCGAATCAATGAAACGCACTTTGTTCCATAGCACAAATCAAGAGATTTATTATCAATGCATGGTCAATAGTAATAATAATAAAAAAATCAATCAATCATTTACACATAATTATACAACAAGTCTCTAGTGCAGGCGCTTGTATTACTTAATATTTTATCCCAAATACATTCAGCACTTCAGAAAATTTGACAAGTCATTTTTTCCATCTTGGAGGCTCAACAATCAATCTAGCCGATAAAAAGATTCTAGACATGTACTTGCTCACAAAATTAAAAATATTCGCCTAAGGCGTGGGGTGGTTTCCATTATTTACTTTTTTATCGGTTTTGATTCATTTGAATCTCACACGATCGATCATTTCGCTCAGAAAAAATGCAGTTGATGCGAGCTTTTTAAATTGCCCTCCCGCAAAAATCAAAGGTTTGAGACTGATATAATATTCTTCGTACTTGGGAAGGAATAGAGTTGGGAAGAGGAAAAGCAGCAGCTGCCTTGCGGCTGGGTGAGAAGAAGCAAAATGCGCGTCCTTTGTGCTCTCGCCTTACCAGAAGCCACCTGACGAGCGGCCGCCGGGCGGGTTCCTCACCTTGACGGTCGTCTTACCATCCCCATGAGTGGGTGTGGAATCACCTATATTTGAGAATACAGAAATAATATTAGTAAAATAAGATTACTTCCAGTTCATAGAAAAAACAATGCATTTCAAGCAAAGGGTATGCAACTGGGCAAACACAGAAGTAGTGCAGGGTGCATTTTTGAGAAAGGTTCATAACAGCTAGCAAATTAATAAATGTGCAAAAATAGTGCCCACGAAGGTCACAAAAGAGTTAAAATAAGAAAAAATCCTAATTTCAAATTTTAAGAAAGAAAAAAAGTGCAAAAGTAAAATTTCCAAATAATTTAAATGTAAATACACAATTGTTAAGAAATAAAGTGCAAAAAAAAAACAACACTAATCACCTTACGTGAATTTTTTCTGAGGTCCATTTCCATAACATATATTTTTTTAATCATTATTTTACTGGATTCATTCTATTCATGGATGTTTTTGCACAAAATTAGCAAATAAACAAAAATATTCTAGAATTTACATTTTTTAAATTATTATTTTTTCCTCTTATCCAAAGCCGTTGCAAAGCTTCTTTTCTGCTTTTTAATTTTTTCAGAGTAATTATTTTCAAAGGACCAAGAAAAAACAACAAACCACACATACGTGCAACATCGTCATCATCATCATCCCGTTTGGGGTACTCGCCGGCAAGGGTGAATGTTGTGTCCTGCATGTGGCGACCTCCGGACGCAGTGGGGCCGTGACTGTGTCCGTCTCCAGCCACAGGAGACGCTGGAGTGGCGATCACGGCGTGTTTCTTGGCCCCACTGGCTGAGCCGTTCTGCGTCGGTGCGTAGTCATCGTCGTTGGGGCCTCTGACGACTCCCTGGGGTCTTCGCTCCTTCTCTCGGGCATCGACCAGGTCGTAGACGTGCGGGGGGAAGGCTGGCGTTGGCACAAACTTGCCAAATCCGTGAACGGCCTTCAACTCTTCCTCATCAACGCACACTCGGCCATTCACAATGACAAACTCGGGCACACCATGGCACTCCATTCCCTAAAATTAAAACAAAATATTTTTTGATTAATTAATTTCAAAGATCTTTTTATAGTTTATTGATATCATTTGAAAGAATAAATAAATAAATTTTAATAAATCGACATCATAAAAAAAATTAAATTATTGGGAGAGTTGAACTTTTTTTAAATAAATATATTGCTTATTCTTGCGGAATTTTATCAAAATCTGACTTACAAAAATTTATAAAATATCATCAAATTTAATTTGAAAAATAAAATCAAAAGGTTTAGCCAGTTTAGCTTGAACTCAATCAAAATTTAAATTGAAGATTTCGGAACATTTGGATAAAAAGTAATAACTGTAATAAAAATAATTTCAATTTTACACCTAATTTGACCCTTTCTTAGGAAATTAACCATTTTTAATCATGCGTTATTAAATATTTTTTATCAATAATTTTTGTGAATTTTTAGAACTGATTTAACCTCGAAAATGTTGAAGTCCACGGCCTGGTGGTGAGTCTGTGCGGAGATGACCCTGGTCTTGCCAGGGTTCCAGATGACAATGTCAGCGTCCGATCCGACGGCGATGCATCCCTTTTGAGGGTAAACGTTGAAGATCTTGGCAGCGTTGGTGCTGGTGACGGCCACAAAGCGCGCCGGGTCCATTTTTCCAGACTCCACGCCCTTCTCCCACAGAACAGACATGCGGTCCTCGACGCCGTTGACGCCGTTTGGAATCTTGGAGAAGTCGTCGCGGCCGAGCTTCTTCTGCTCGAAGTTGAAGGTGCAGTTGTCACTGCCGGTCACTTGCAGACCATCGCTAAAATAAATTAAATTTAAAATTTTGAAATTTGCAGTAAAATAATAATTGCCACTAGATTTTTTTTTTCATTATGAATGATTAAATGGGGATGGAAAATGATCTTAAAATATAAGTCAAAAATACAGTTTTGAATGATAAAAAAAATTATTGTGCTGTGTTAAAGAAATAATTGTTGTGGTTCCAAATGTGTGTAATCAGCTCTCTTACGAAGCCAGTAGGTCAACTAGGTGTCCTGGGGTTTCAGGGTCTGGACGCAAAGGAGGGCTGGTCACGTGTCCAGCCGCGTGTCTCCAGCACTTGTTCCAGTAGTTGGTTCCGTCGGTGCCTACAGAGGCGGCCAGGGGCTCGCCGAAGACGACGCAGCCCTCGGACTTCTTGGCCGCAACAACGTCGCCGGCCGACTTGCTCATCACGCGCACCACATACAGTGGGCAGTTCACCTGCGATTCGGCAAGAAGGGGTCAGAGGTCGATTAAATGACGATGGTGTGCGACACGGGTGCAAAATTTCATGCGTTTGTGCGACGAAAAATTTATACAGTAAAAAATATAATATAAAATGCTATCTACAAAAAATAGAAGAGAAAGTCATTAAAAGCTCAAAAAATAAAAACACCAATTTTCAATACACTTTTAGTAAATATATATAAAAAAAAATCACTAAAGAATTTTAAATTTTTTCACAATGTGTGCTGTAATTTTTTTTCGCTTTCAGAGACTTCCCTCACAGGGTGCAACATTTTTGTGCTGAGGACTTACTCTGCGAGCATTTGCATCAGGTACTGTGGGGTTTCAGGGTCAGGACGGAGGGGCGGGCTGAGCACGTGACACGCAGCATGCTGCCAGCAACGATGGTGGTAGTGGGTGCCGTCGGTGCCAAGGGAGGCGGCGATCGGTTCGCCAAACACCACCGCCCCTTGGCGCCGCTTCAGGGCGATCACGTCCGCCGCCATTTTACTCATTATGTGCACTACATACAGGGGACAAGACACCTGTCCATGCCATGCACGCCAAAAAATATTAAAGGAAAAAAAATAAAATTGCAAAAAAATTATTTACAAAAAAATCAGAGAAGGTTAAACAAAACTACAAAACCAGAAAAAAATTAAGGTTTATTCACAAAAGTTAAAAATTTAAAAAATAATTTAATTTACCTGGTTTGCAATGACACAAGCTCTGTGAGTGGCCTCGGCCTCAACGTCCTCTGGCCTGGACATTTCGTGTCCCTCTGGTCCCGTGATTCCGGCGTCGAGCAATTTCTTAGTGTTCTGATTAAATTTATTTATTATTTGTATGCCTCTTATTGAAACTGGTATTATAAATCACCTCAGCGATAATGTCACCATTCTCAGCATGCACCATAGCCACCGCGCCCAATTCTCTACAGTGCTCGAAGATCTTGTAAAGGTCAGGGTCTCTGATCATGTACAAGTCCTTGTAGGCCATGAACATCTTGAACGAATTGACTCCGTGGTTCTTGACCAAATCGGTCATTTCCTCCTTGACCTGCACCCAAATTATTCAATAAACAACTCAATTACAAATTAAAAAACAAAAAAAATTATACCTGATCAGACCACCAGGTGACTCCGATGTGGAGTGCGTAGTCGCAACAGACCTTAGGATCGGCCTTTCTCCTCCAGTTCCCAAAAGCCTCCAGGAGACTCTCACCCTTTTTTGGCAGAACAAAGTCCACTAAAATTTAATGAAAAATTTATTCAATAATTTAATATTAACAATATTGTGGGCGAATAAAAGAACAATATTATATTTTAAAAGAAATACAATTTTTATGCTTTTATGGCTTTTGCGGAAAAGCAATAAACTTGAGAAGAAAGGCTCAAAACTGTTGGCGTGTTACATTAAAGTTCCCCTGAGTGTCAGGGAAAACCCTAAGCGCAGGAGCGTGCAACAGAGCCATATATTACACTGTCTACCCCCAACGTGCCAATTCAAGATAAGCTTTGCGAGTGTTCGTTAAATGGCTAATCACCATTCTCAAAATGACGCTGTTCCCATCCAACCACAGAATTCAATAAAATAGAACACGGAAACTCAATACAGTCTCAATTGTCGTGCTTTGCACCACAATTGCTTTCCTTTCAGTATATATGTATAAATTGGATGGAAAGATATTTATTTCACCCGAATCAAGAAGATTGATTTCCAACTTACTGATCATGGTAGTGCCACCCGCGATGGCAGCCTTGGTGCCCTGATAAAAGTCATCCACCGCCGTGGCCCCCATTAATTCCAGCTCCATGTGGGTATGTGTGTCAATGCCACCTGCCCGAAAAACAAAAATAATATGTCCACTCAGTCAGAACAAAATACTTTTGAACTTTCTTATCATATGAAAGTAAGAAAAAACAATAGCAAGTTTTCGCACCTGGCATGACGTAACGACCCCTGGCGTCGATGGTCCTGGTTCCACCGGGGATGATAAGGTTTCGGCCCAGTTGACTGCAGAAGCATGATTTGGTATCAAATATATTAATTTAAATAATAAATTAAATTGTACAATATATGTTATGAAATGAAGAAAAATTCTAATTTTATAAGGATTTTATGGAAATTACAATTTTTACTGAAAAAATGTAATTATTTATAAATTATTTTTGCAAGCGCCCTTACGTGATGACGCCATTCTCGATGAAGATGTCTGCGTCTTCAATTCCGTCGGCGTTCACGACCTTTCCGTTCTTGATAAGCAGACGATTTTGTGAGCTCTGCAAACAAAAAATAAGTATGATTAAATAAATTGTAAAACATTAAAGTATTTTATTCTCGGTATTGATTTATCCTCCTGATAACAAGTACCATGACGTTGATAAAAGCCCGAGTAATTTAAATTAAAAATATTAATGCTGAAAATTAATTTGATATTTTTTCCGTATGGTGAGGGATCTCGTTAGTGTGTTTTAGCGCGTATGGGAGCGGGGGCATGTGCGCGTCTGCACTAATAGAAATGATCGTCGTAAATATACATATGTGCTGCAGCAAGAAGCTGTGTTGGATGCTAATTCAAATGCTTGTGAGAGCGCGCCCTTATATCCGCCACGGCTAATTCGGTCTGAATTAAACACAAATAAAGACTGCTTGCGTAGGGCGGTAGAAAAGTTTCAAGGGCGTCACACTCTTTGAATTAATTTAAAAAATTTGCAATTTTAAACAAAAAACAATGTAGGAAGGAATGTAATAAAATAACGTGTATAAGAAATATAATAATTAATATTATCTTATTAGTTGCTTTTTAGATTTAAATGTTTTTTTTTAAGCATATCAAAAGGTTGAAAACCTAAAAATTGATTGATTAATTTTAACAATAATGATTATTTTTTATATATATCTTAATTCAGACGTTTAAATTGATTGGAATGAGAATGAAAAGATTCGTGAGCAAAATGAGCTGTAAAGTATGAAAGAACGTGAGAAAATCGCTGTGAATCTCACGAGTAAAAAAAACCGCACAATGAAGGTTCACCGCACCAACGAATTAGTGTTTTAAAAATAACACATAATCTCAAATGCGCCAATTAATGTTGCGAGCCGCAAGTGGATAATTAATTTGCGTTATCTCACAGCGACAACTACAAACCGTTTCCGGTTCTAAATTTTTTTCGTACAGATTTAAAAAATAATAAATTTTACTACGAAATTCTTTTAAATTCAATTAAATAATGAAAATGGAAATGTATTTTTTCTTGAGATAGAAAGCAGGAAAAATTAGTGCTAGAATTGTGACACTTTATTTGTGAAAAATATTGAGTTGTCTAAAACTTGTTATTTTTATTATATTATCAAATGACCGCCCGTGGGCAGCTGCAGGTGAGGGGTTTATCACCTCCAAAACGCGTATTTCCAACAAAAAGTGACGAGAGTGATTTTCCAATCAGTGGCGCGTGTGTTAAAAAGTGACTCTATTTGCAAAAACAAGTCAGTCGTCGGCCGAAACGCGGTGCGGAGGAAGAACCGAGAGGAGGCGAAGCGAAAAAATCATCCACGGTCTGGTGAACAAAAAACAGGTAGTTGAATTAGTTAACATTTTGCGTCTTTTTCCACAACATTTACCTGATCAAAAATTAGTTTAGTTGAATTAAATACTCCCATGGAAAGAAATAGTAAACAAATAATAAATAGAGATGACTTAATTTGTTTAAAATACATTGAAAAATTAATTTATTTAAAAATAAATTTAAATAAAATTATTTAATTTTGCAAAAATTGCTTTTAATTTGAAAGGAACGATACTATATCATTGAAATCAATAGTCAATGTATAAATTTATCAGATTTTATAAAAAATGAACCATTCGGATGGGAATTCCATCAGAGCTAACACGATTCTTTCATTCGCGACCCAAACAAGTCTGGTGCAGATTCGCCGATCAATGATTCAGTCTCGCCAGCAGGGTTGCCAACCACCCTCCCTTAACAAGTGTCGACCGCACCCTCAAATGTTCCCACTACCCTCGAAACGTTTGCCAAAGTTCAAACACGCGCCGAGAGAGAAGAGATAAATAAAAAGGAAAGCGGTAAATACAAAATGAGCAGCGAATACGTGCTGCGCCTACTGTGATAGTAGTAGTAAAATATATTTCGCAACTGCACAAAAAAAAATATATCTCACTAGGGAATAAATTTTTATCACTTGGACAAAAAAATAGGCGAGATCAAGCAGACCTCATGCAGGGTGTCTTGTTTTTCTTCTCTTGTAAACAAAAATTTAACACCTGAATAATTTAGCACCTTTAAGGACATTTTTTTTCTTCCTTCTAAAAGCTTAAAATCCAAAGCAAATTATTTTATGATTTTTTTAAAGCAATTAAAAAAGTACAAATAGAAAGCTTCCATAAATTTATGTTTAAATGTTATGCGAAATTTTATTATTATTATTTTTAAATAAATTTATACAACTAGAAGTGTTTCAAGAATTAAAATTGTTAAAATAAAAAATAAGACACAAAATTTATTCGTCACGCAAGATGGCAAAATTGTTTTAGTTTTTAATTCAATTCAAAAGTTTTTCAATTATGAAAGTGAGATCCTTAGAAGCTCGGTTTGGACGCTGCGAGAGATTACGCACCACCCCTCATTTATGCGATGCCACCCCTCGGGAGATGCATTTTCTATTTTTATTCACCCCTGTGCTGCGTGAACGAGATATGGTTAAACACAGAGGGTTGAATGGGAGAGTTGAAAGAGAGATCGTTTAAATAAAACCGTGTGCGCCCTCAGCTGGAGATAGATCATCTTTCAGTAAATATTCTTAGCCTTTTTGACAGCAAAGTCTCCTTTGAATGGATTTTAAATTTTAAAATAAATTTAAAGTAACTTAGAAGAATTGACAATTATTAAATAAATTTATAACCCTGAAATATAAATTTCTCAAATGAAAAAAAATAATTAATTTGTTTAAAAGACTGATATGAATTATTTTTTAAACTCCGACGCGTTCTTTGATCAGATAATTTATTCTATTAACATGACCGACGCAGCTGTCGAATACATAAAAGCCGAGTTGAGAAACTTTTATCCGCACTGCTGCTGCTGTGTCAAATAAAACGCCGTGGAAGCAGAAGTTTTTGCCTTGAGCAAAAGAGATATTCATCAAAGGAAAAAAAGAACCACGTGACTTCCTCAACGCCGGCCGGTATATTTCTTTCCGATTGTGAACGAGAGAGAATTCGGCGGGAGAGTGGAAAAAAAATAACACCTGCCGCTAATGAGGAATGCTCTCCCAGATGTGTAAAATTGTTACACAAAGAAAGGTCTCTGTGAGAATTTTCTTGCAGAGTCACGCAAGGCATTTTTTTTTTCGAAGAGAGAAATTCCCTCCGTTGACCAAATTGGGAAGAAAAACAATAAAAATATTTTGGGTAATTGGTCTGTGAAGAAAGAGAGAAGGCAATTTGTATCAGTCTCACTCAGGTGATTATTAAAAATTGCCGCCGTATATGGACGGAGAGATAATCGACCCAGTGCCCGCGGCTGCGTTGAAGAAATGCACGGACGAGAAAAAATCTGGGAAGGAGCGCAAAAATCGTGGCTTCGACCTAACGGAACTTTGCATAGATGAGATGCACAATAGAGAAAAAACGCCTAGAGGTAAAAATAGTCGAATAGCATAAAAGAAATTTGGATCATTCAAAAAATTTGGACGAGCAAAATTACCCAAATTCTTCCTTTCAAATTTTTAGCTCTCGGATTTCTTTGAATTTTGCCGGTTAAATTAAAAATTAATTCAAGCGCCAATTACTTCACTTTTTGCGAGTCTTAGAGGCAATTTCGGGCTCGCACAGAGAGTGCACGCGGCGGCCAGTGGCTCTCTTTCAAGTGAGGCTACTTTTAGCCAAATGGAAGTGGCACCTGGCCAAGCCTTTTCGGATTCGCCGGCCGTTTTTCGGCTCTTGATCCCGAAATCAAAGAAATTTGCTATGCTAATTAACTGGATACAAATCGAAGGCTTTTTCCGAGAGTGCCGAGAAAATAAGTGAAGCGAAGCCGGCTGGTTGTCGGCAGTATTGATTTTCCACCAAAGGCACGCACACACCCAGAAATATTGCATGCAGAAAATCGTTGGGTTTTGCCGCAATTCTCAACTATCAAGGGGTGCCTCTAATCAGGAAAATACAAAAACTTTCAAAATTAGAGCAATTCCAGAATAAATTTTAATATTAAATTGGCTCATTAAATAAATTATTAAAAATTTGTCCTACTTTCAGAGATTATTTATTAATTTTTAATAACAATTATGATTTCTTTAATCGTAAATTACAAAAATAAATTCTAGTTTTTCTTTATACAAAACGTGATCGTACCTGCAAGTGGATTGGAACCTTCTTGACTGGTGTCACCGGAGTGCCCATTTTTTAATCCCTTGGACTGTTCCGAACTTCTTGCTCTGCTCGAAAACACTACTGATTTTCCGCAACACGTTTCCCGAACAGAATCTGTTGTGGATTTTCGGTTGAACTTTCTCTCCCCGGGTCGTGTGCGCACTGCCGCAGAGAAGAGGGAGCACTGAAAAACGGCAGGGAGAGAGAAAGAGGAACCGCCACAACTAGTCGAAGGAAGCGCGCTTGCGTAATTCTCATCCCGGTGCAGATGAGAGGAAACGCGGCAGTGCCGCGGTCACTGCTCCTGCACTCGCCCATTGTTCAACCGCGATGGCAAAAAAATATATCAAAATTTGTTAATTTATTCGCGAATCTCGACTTCAATTAATTAATGATAATTTTAACTCCTTGGAAAAAAATATATATATTTTTTTAAATTTTTCTCGGCAAGTGGAAACAAAACCTTACGGAAATTCACGGCGTGTTTTTGTGAGCAAATTCTGACCCCTGATTGCAGGCTTCGGACTCTTTTAATTTCCTATCAAAATAAAGAGCATTAAAGCTCATCAGTGAGCCTCTTGACCTGACCTTTTGCCCGCCGATCATTATTTTCGTCAAATGTCTGCGGGTACACTTGACCTTTATTCAGCTGTGCACGGCTTAATCGAAAATTAAATACATTTTCTCATCATTAGAAATTTTGGCTTTTCAAATAATCTGTCCGTCATTCAAGATTATTTTATTTCTCCCCCGCTGAGTCAGTGACAAATAAAAATACATCAGCGGAAAGGTCGGATTTGGTCACGCAGGGTGTGCGACCTTTTAGCAATTCAGGTAGCGTAGTAGGTGGGCGTGAAATTTGAGCTCATGGACGAGGATATCCTGCGCCTGTCATTCCCTAATTTTTAATTCATTCAACTTTTATTTGAAAAAAAATTTAATTTATAAAAACAAAAATGTGTATCTTCTAAGTGAGAAGCGTTTTTGCCAGCGTTGTGTTTACTTTTATTTCTCTTTTCCTTTTTTCTAAAATGTTCTCAATTTTCTCATTTTAAATCCAAATTCCTTATTTCCCCATTAGACTTCAAAATTTTAAATTTTAAATTAAAATTTAAAATTTAATTTTTTTTAAAGTTTCTACTTATTTCATGTTTTTTCACATCCCTGATAATTCTAAATTTCATTTGTAAATCAGTTTATGATTTATTTCAACAAGCATAAATAAAAATAAATGTTATGCATTTTTAGTTTTTATTGGAAATATATAAATACGGACTGCTTCTAAGAACCGGACAGAGAGTTGTGTTACATGCTAATGAGATTATATTATTATGTTGCGAGAGCACTTTCTGGTTTCGAGGAAATTGAAAGCGTATTATTTTATTGGCAACGTGCGTACGGAATGCCAAGTTTAGCGCCACCTGCGAATCCAATAGCTTTGCCCGACACTAAGGGATAATGACAAGCGTAAATAATCAGCACTTCGAGCACTAAAAAGGTTTCGGCACACCCAAAAGAAAAACAAGTATAATATTGCCTAACAAGAAATGCGAAGGACAGCGTCAACATTATTTCCTACCAAGTTATGGCAAAAAATGAGCCTGATACTTTTTGTAGGAAATAAATAAATAAATTTATATATTCAAATTGCTAAGATTAATTAATTGGGTTTTACAGTAAATTTTACTAAAATATTATATCAAATTCTTGGCAAGAAAATGACAAATAGTTTAAATCCTACATTATTTTACATTAAAAAAATTTAAAATTTGTTTTAATTTTAAGCTCAATTTGATTCCTTCGTAATTATTTTTAGCAGCTAAAAAATTAATAAAACTTTTTTCGTCAAAAACTCACCCCATCCCCTTCGTCGGCAAAAACGGGCTGAGCAGACATTTCCGTAGCATGTTCCATTTTGATTTCTTCAATCACACCTCCACTGTCCACGGTGACCTGGAATATTCAAATAAAAAATTTTAATGGAAACCAAACGAAAATTGCGAATTCGTGCAGAAAAGCGAGAGAGTGTTGTTAGTTATTAGTGTTGAAAGATCTATTTCATTTTGCGTTGGCCTGTATTATATAGAGTTGGTTAGTGCAGGGAAAGCACAAAGTCGCTGAGGTGTCTTACTTGCAGAAGGTCCTCTTGAAGACTGTCCAGCCCCTCCTCCGTTTCGGTGGCTCTGGTGCTCGTTGGAGAGGAATTAGCGCTCGAGATGATGGTCTGTTATTTGAGTTAATTTTTAGCCTTTACATGCGACAGAGGTCGAGGTCACGGCTGACTGCTTAAAACTGGGCGGGCTTTACATTAAAATGAAACGTCAACCATCGGTTCTTACTTAATAAAGACAGCAAGTATACAAGTAGAAGTGTATCAATAAAAGCGTTGGCGCAGAGAAGAGAAAAAGGAGAGGAGATAACATGTAAGAGAGAGAGAGAGAGAAGCCGCCTACTCTGGTGCCACAGAAAGATAATTTTGCTCACACAAATAAGGCACTAAACACATGTTATCTTGCATTATTACATTTATTTATAGAAAACAAGTTTAAGATTAAATCGAAATTGTACTTGGTGCTACAAATGTTTTGCTTAAAAATTCATAGAAGTTAGAATTATTTAAATTTAAATTTTGAACTTGATTATTTAAGCTTAATATTATTTACATCCTAATAAAAAATCAATAAAAATAGATTGTTTTATTTAAAAATTCAGTGCCAGTTTTAAAATCTTATCATATGTTAGGCTAAAAATTTCAAAATTTTAAGCTGTTTTATCAATTTGTTTTTATTTCGATTGAAATTTATTTCTCAGTTTCATATTGACATTCTTAAAGATAGGAATTGCCGCAACAATAAATCAAGAAAATAAATTAAAATTCCATTAGAAATAGCAAAATGCGGTTTTATATAAGGGAAAATATTCAAAGCAAAAGATAGTTGTGACCCACACTGGTGAAACGAATAAGGCAATCTAAGCTGATTAGTTCAGAAGAGAAAATGTTAGTGTTTTTGGTGGAACGAGCATGGCACACAAAAACATTGGGTGGTAATTGAGTTAGGTTAATAAAATAACGCCGAGTGGTGCGACCCAAACAGCAAAACTACGCGGGAAATATATTAATAAATTTTGGAAAATCAGTCGATTGGTCAAAATCATGATTATTTTTGGAAGACAAGTGCAAGGAAATTGAAATTTTGAAAAATCATGCACAACGATTTTTTTTATGGTGCTGCAATGCAGAGGGTTTGATCCAGATTCACTCCAAGAGGAAAAATCTTTTCTCTTCAAGAAGTTGTACAAGTGCGCGAAAAACTTGGCAAGGTTCCTGAAAATTTTGCTCATTTGCATTTAACTCGTAAATCAGGTGCGAGATTATCCTAATGAAGTAATAATTCGTCTGCCATCGCGGGTGTAAAAAGTTGCAGAATTAAAGCCAAATTAATTGCACACGACGAGAGGAAAAAAATACACACTGACTATATATTGAGATGAAAAGTCGCATGCGAAGGTTATTAAAGCAATTAATAATAGTATGATACTGTCTATGGTAAAACCGGCTTGGCTCGTTTAAAATGTACAACCGGAATTGTTATAAAAATTCTCACCTGCTGGGCGGTGGAAATGTCAGGTGTGGACCTGCCGGAGCGGTCTTCGTAAAAGTCGGCTTTGCCCATTCTTCTCGGTTTTGGGCGATTGTTGCCCAGACCGGGGAACCATCCTCCGTCGCCATTGTTGTCCATTTTTGCTGAAAAATAAATATTCCAAAATTAGTAGAATAAATTGACATTGAAATGACTTCAACCATTTTAAGAAATTTAAAAAAAATTTTGTCCAAATTCTCCCTCGATTTTTTTTTTTTTATAAATTATCGCTCTTTTCTATGTAATCAACTAAACGTTTTATATTTTTAATTAATTATTACACATTAAAATATAAATTACAAAATTTAATATCAATACAGACTAAAATAAAGTTCGAAAAACCCCACCGTATATATAGACTGATATAAGACGAGGTTTTTATTTATTATCTGCAATTTAGAAGTCTGAAGATCCTATCAAATAGTAATAATGTAGGCTATCAATTTGTCAGCGAGGGGTCTTTATACTTTTTCCTTTTATTTACAAAAAGCGCGAAAGTAGTCACGCTGTCAATTAACCTACAGAATAAAAAACGCCAAAAAAGTAGTCATGCAAGCGTGACGAATGGTAATGATTACACTCCCCCATTCAGAAGAGACCACCCCACGTCAGTCTGTTGTGGAAAGTTTATTCTTGTAAAAGAATTTTCCAAGAAGAAAATGCGAAAACGGAAGCAATCTCGACGCTTTAACGTATCAATTTTTGAGAGGGCGTTCGAAGAGGTCGAATTAGATTTGGCAGCAATTTGTGCTCACGCGTCTCGAAGCTTCACCCCCGAGTCGATTTCGGAATTAGCGTTTAGAAAAATATTCCGACGAGGGGGTTTGCGTGTGGAACATTCTGCTGATACATGCACGGTTCGACGCAACACACAGAACCATATCACTTATTTACAAACGCGGCAATAAAAACAATAAAATAAAAATTGGGGCCTCTGACCGACTAGCAGATATTGGCCCGACTGCGACACAATGAGGACAAGATGAAAATTATAAAATCAATGGAAAGGAAAATGGAAGAGAGTTGATGATTTCCGCGTAAAAAGAAAAAATTGCAAAAAAAAACGCGCAAGGAATAGTATAGGGGTTAAATAATAATAAATAAATAATAATCTTATCTTGTTTTTATATTTAAAATGTATAATTTTTCTTTTGAAATTGTAAATCTGGCTATACTTGATATTGCTGAATTTCCTTTTTTAAAGCAAATTAAAAAACCTTGTGAAAATTTTGTCCAAATTTATTAAGATTTATCAAAACTGAATATTTTTTTTTTAATTTCTTTTTGGAACTTTTGGAAGTGAATCGAGTTGAATGAAAAATGATCTCGAATCAACACAATAAAACCATTATGATGTGACATTTGAAGACCACGTGTTGAAGGACGGTTCGAACGGCGCCGTGATAATGTGCACCCCGCAACCCACCCCCGCTAGAAACCAAAATAAAAACGATTTCGCGTCCTAATGATTACAAATCCCTCGTAAATTTCCCATAAATTTGAAAATTGTGGGGACAAAATTATTCTCAGTAGACTGACCTGCTGTCTTTGGATGGAAACGACCTGTGCGTCCTGAGGTGCGGTCCTGAGTGAGCTTCAGGAGAAATGCAAGTGCTCTTCTCGCTGCTGCTCCGCCACCGCCCTTGGGGGAGGGGGAGCGACGGGGGTGGGTCCTGCGGCAGGTCTGTCTTAGTCACACATGGGCTCGGAAAATCGATAGCGGCAGTGTGACCAACTTTTCCGAACACCAAAAACAAGGAAAATTGAAACATTTGCAAATTCTGGAATTAAATTTAATTTCATCTGATTTAAATTTTGAGTTTTGGTTCCAACATTGCAGTAAATTCAATAATTTTACGTTTAAAAGCACAAAACTAATTACTAAAATATAAAAACAATTTTTTATTTTGGATTATTTTGAAGCGTGTTTGGTTTCACCACTTTCTGCAATCTGAAAGCATCTTTTAAATATCTTTCATTCAGTTTGTTTAAAAAATTAAGAACGATGTTAAACTAGTTTTGTCAATAAAAAGAAAGTTACTTAAAAATAATAATAAATAGAGAACTCTCATTGCCAGTAAAAAAGATAAATTCCAATTAAGATTCAAATCTATTTAATCTAAAAAATATTAATAATAAAAGTCGTATTTTAATAATTGGTGAATTAATAAAATTCAAAAGACGAAGAAATGCATTTTAAAGATTTTAACAACTCACTTGTCCTAACAATAAGAAGAAATTTAAATTTTAAATTAATATCAGGAGCAATTATTTATTTATTTTATTATTCATGATGGAAGATTGTAAAAATTATAAAACTATACAAAAATAAGTTTCAGATTTATAAAAATAGAATATTTCAAATTAATATTTTTTTTTCGTATTTCCAGCAGAAAAATGGCGCTCACCGAGCCGAACGTTTACTATCACCCTCACACGTCCGACCTGCGGATTGAACGACCCTACTACAGTCAGGAAAACTTGCACGAAGCCACCGATTACTCAAAACCCAAAATCAACAGTAATTTCCTTTTTTCTAAATTGTCATTATTTTCTAATATTTTTTTTTTTGCAATAAACAGGGGCTAAAGAATTTTTGAAGAACACATTCAGTGACATTCGACCACTCAAGGCCATCCGCAATGTGCTTCCGATTTTCACCTGGTTGCCTACCTACGACTGGAAGCTTGACTTTCCGTGTGACATCATTGCCGGTGTCACTGTTGCCATCATGCACATCCCTCAGGGTCTTGGCTACGCGCTGCTGGCCAGCGTGCCCGCCGTCGTCGGAATCTACATGGCCTTCTTCCCCAACATCGCCTACTTCTTTCTCGGAACCTCCAGACACAATTCTATGGGTACAAAATTAAATTATTAAGGAAAAAACATTAAAAGGGCAGATGAAATGTAAATAATTACTCTGACAAAGCCATTTAAGTTAGTATTTTAATTTAATATATTATTTTGTCATTAAATTAAAGTTAATTGTTAAAAAACTTTATTCAATTTCATACTTATTTGAAAAATCTACTTTAAATCTTCTTCAAACCATTTTTTTATTGGCTGGTTCTATATTATATCCAAATTAAATTAATTTTTTGCATTCAAGGTACTTTTGCTGTGATCACTCTGCTAGTCGGTCGGTCTGTGGTGGAGTTTTCTCAAAATCCAGCCTACACTCATTCCGTGGCGACGGAGGTGAACGGAACTTGGGTGTACAAAGATGTCATGTACACAAATTTGGAAGTTGGCTGTTCCGTCACCCTCATAGTCTCATTCTTCCATGCAAGTTTTTTTTAATAAAAAAAAAAATTAGCAAAATCAACTAACATTTTTTAACCCTTTAGTTCATCATGTACTTTTTCCGCATGGGAATTGTGTGCTCGTTGCTGTCGGACGCGCTTGTCAACGCTTTCATCTGCGGCGCCGGAGTGCACATTTTCACTTCGCAGATCAAAGAGGCGGTCGGTGTCAAACCCAAGAGGTACAGCGGGGCCGGCAACATCATTTTTGTACGGTTAAAGAAAAAAAATTATATAGAATTAATTAATTATTAAAATTTTTTCAGACGTGGATTGATATGGTAACCCTTCTCATTAACGCAACGGACAAAACCAGACCTGCAATTTTCGTCGCGCTTATCATCACAGCGATTTGCCTGTCAGTTCTGATTTTTAACTTTTATGTCTTAAAGGTTGGTGAGAATACGATTCTAATTTTATAGTAAAGGTAAATTTTTTATTATTTATTTCGCAGCCCCAACTTGAAAAAATAACCCGCATCCCCTTTCCCATGGAACTGGTGCTCGTCGTGGCCGGCGTGTTTGCGGCCACAGGGCTCGAGCTCAAGAAAAGCTACGGCACGGCCGACATCGGGAACATCCCAAAAGGGTTGGATTTTTATTTTATGCTGAATTTAATTTCTTAAAATTTTGATTCCGTTCAGAATTCCAGGGCCCATTTTTCCGTACTTGTACTTATTCAAGGAGTTGCTGCTCAATTCTTTTGTCACGTCCGTGGTCGCCTACGCCGTGTCTATGTCGATGGCTCTCCTTCTGGCCGAGGGCGAAAATTATGAAGTGGATCCCAATCAAGAGTTCCTTGCTCACGTGAATTTTTATTTAATTTTTTTAGGCAATGAGGTTTAATTTAAATTCTAATCATAGGCTGTTGGAAACTTCTTTGGCTCGATTTTCTCATGCATTGTCTACGGCGCCTCCTTATCAAGAAGCATGGTGCTGAGGGGTGTTGGCGGCCGCACGCAAATGACAGCCCTGGTGGCTGCGGGGATTATAGTAATAATACTACTATGGATAGCGAACTTTTTCGAGCCTTTACCCAGGGTAAGATCTAATTATTTAATTGCACGAATTGGCGCAGTGAGAAAAAAAACTGGTGAAAAATCCATCTTATTATTTAAAAGGGCGCTCCAAATTATTAAAATCAAAGAGGGTTGCAATTTAGAAATCATGGGCCAAAAATTTAATGAAATGTTGAGAAAATTTTATGAGCGCTCTTTGAAAAATAGAAATTGATCATCACGTTTTTTTTTTTTTTAAATGAGTGCCTAATACAATATTTAAAATCCTTTAAGTATCACAAGTTAGTGGCTATCACCAGGAATTCACAAAATAAATTGCAAATCATTTGAGAAATTAATATCAATCTGTGCAACAATCAATTGCAAAAAGTTAAACCGGCTTTAAAATCGTTAGAATAAAATACTTTAAAGGAAATTTGATGTTATCAAATTAAATTAAAAACCCTTTTTCACTGAGGTAGATTTTTAAGCAAACTTACAACCATTCCGTGTTTCTTGAATTGGTCTAAAGAAAAATTTATTTATATTTGATTAAATTCTGATAATGAGGGTTGAATGCTTTCTTAACTATTTGTTGATTTTAAATTTATATTATTCCCGCAGTCAGTCCTAGCGTCGATCATTATGTTCGCCCTCCGCAAAATCCTAATGCAAGTGACTGACCTGCCTCGATTCTGGCGACACTCGCGTCTCGACGGCGTCATCTGGGTCATCGTCTTCCTCTCGTGCGTCCTGGTGGACATCGACTACGGCCTGCTCATTGGCGTCGTCCTCTCCATCGGAGCCATTTTCCTCCAGGGTCTCAAGGCCTACACTTGTGTCATCGGCAACATACCCAACACCGACCTTTTCCTCGACGTTGCCAGGTACAAGGCGGCCAGGCAGTTTGCGGGCATCAAGATGATCCACTATCAGGGCGCGCTAAACTTTGCAACTAGGTAAAATATTCAGATATTTTTCTTTAGAACTAAAAACAAAAATATAACATAAGTTACGAAAGCATTTTAAAATATTGTATTTAAAAAAAAAAATAGTTTTAATTAATATTAATTTGTAATAGTATTTTTTTTTAATTTAAAAAATTTCATTTATTTTAATTAACGACAATTTTATGCAAAATTCAAAGAGGGCACCTGAAAGAGGAAGTCATCAGGCTGAGCGGAATCAACCCGCAAAAAGAGAAGCGCAGATTAAACAGGGAAATGAAGAAAACCGAGAAAATGCTCAAAAAACAGGTACGATTTTTACATCATCAAATGAATGAAAATTTAGCAGTTTAATTTGCAGAATGGTGGCCCTGAAGCGGGAACTTCAAGAGCTCTGGAGGGAGCAACAAATATTGCATTTGTTGGAGACCACACCGAAATTACAGTTCCTCAAAGGGTATGCAACTCGAAAATAATTTTTTTTTTTAAATTAAAACAAAATATTCATCAGACCTACTGCATCATCCTGGACTTCTCTTCATTGAGCAGCATCGATCCTGCTGGCAGTGGGGCCCTGAAAAAGGTGTTCACCGAGTACAAAGACATTGACATCGCCGTCTACACTGCTGGTTGCCTAGGTGAGCCCCTGAAAATGCACCAATTCTAAGTGATAGGAATAATTTTTTTAGGTCCCGTTTTCGAGCAAATTAAAAAGTGCGGCTACACCGAGGGCGAAAATGCCATTCCCTTGTTTCCGACGATCCCGGACGCCATTCACTTCGCCCAAAACAACATTCCGCAGTTGAAGGTAGAAATGCTCTTTGAATTTCTTGATTACTTGTAGAAACAGTTCTGAAAAACTCGTGAAATCTTTTGTTGCAGCCTGCCCCGCATAGCCAACCAATCCAGTTTGGCGCAGCTGCTGGATAATAATTAAAGCCGAACATTTTATTTTTTAATTTAATAAATTTAAAACTATTAACATGAAGGCAGGTAGAGGTTTTGAGAAAAATCGTTGATTATAGTAGATTTACCAACTCTTTTTCTCAACCTAACTGCGGCACGGGTTGAATTAATTTAGAATGAATTATTTAAAATAAAAATATTTCAATTATATGGAAATAATGTTTAACCAATATTATCTGAAATGTACATAAATAATGATGAAAAAAAGAAATAAAATATAATTATCTTAACAGATCTTGACAATAAAATAAAAAAATTTTCTTAATTTTGCACAAAAAACCTTGCGAAGAAAAGAAAAAATACAGTGTCACAATTTCCAGATAAAAAATTAAAAACTGGTTTTATTCAGTAAATTATTTTTGTTCTACTTACAAATTATTTTCTTCACTTTTTTTGTTTGGAAATAAATCCGCAAAAAGTCGTTAGTTGGTGCATCCCATTTTCTAAAAATTACTGCAGCATGGGTTTAATTATTTACGAAAAAATAATTTTTAGTTTAAATATACCACGTCATAATAGGATAATTAATTAATTTCATATTGATAGTACTTTTATTAATATAATTTAATTAAACTTTTAGTACTTTATCAGTTAAATCAATATCTCAAAAGTATAAGAAGTGTTTTTAAATAATTGTGAAAAAGGCTAATAAAATATAATCTCAACAGATAGTTGACAGCAAAATCGAAAATGTTTTTGAACTTTGCAACGTACACCTCGCCAAGGCCGCTTTACAAAGCAAATCAATGCAAAGTGCCTCACAATAATCAGAGCAATAAAACTCACGCTGCCAAAGCAAACATTATTTTTCAAAGGCACACAGCAGCATTATGTTTTTCACCGTCACTGTCTTGCTGATAATTGTTTGCTCTCGAGAAAGAATTTTCGCTTCACTCACCTCATGAAAGGCACGATGGAGATGACATTTCTAGTGAAGAAGAATAGCAGTTCGCAACCTCAACAACAGTCCAGTCTAGGAAGCGTCATCAACGAAAGGGAAATTTCCGGCGTGCGAAACTCGCATAAAATGCATTCGTCTATCAAAGAGGTGACCAAATCCTTCTTATAATCTTCGAATTTTAATCTATTGCATTAAAAACTCAATAGATTATTGCAGTTTTGCTTGCTACCCTGTCAGCTTTGGACAATGGGTTAATTTTAGGATATTCAGCCACGGCTCTACCCCAGCTACAGCACCCAGAAAGTTGGCTCAAAGTTACTCCAGACGAGGCATCATGGATAGGTTAATTTATTACTTTAAATAGTACTTAACATACACAAATAAAGAAAAAAAATTGAAAAATATATGAAAAATTAAAATATAAATCATATAAATTTTAATTAATACATTAAATATTATCTAATTTTTTTTATAATCACAAATTATTAATTTTTATAAATAAATGATGGTTTTCTTCCAACAATTTTGAAACCTAATTGTAATAATTGGCCTTTTTAAATAGCCAGCTTGCCAGCATTGAGTTTCGCCGTCGGTAGTGCTCTGGGTGGATTTTTGATGGACAGGTTTGGACGGATACGGACATTGCAAATCCATGCAGTGCCCTGTTTTGCGGGTTGGGTCCTTCTGGCCCTGGCGCCAAACGTCGAGATTATCTACGCAGGACGGCTCTTGACTGGCTTAGGAGGCGGAATGTTCGACTCGACGGCTCAGGTCACTCTGCCCTTTATGATTGACCAACTCAAATTGAAAAATCGCAGGTTTTTGTTAGTGAAGTGACGACGCCGCGCGTCCGCAACTTCATGGCTCCGACGGCGAGGGTGACTTACGCCACTGGATTGTTCCTCGTCTACACTTTTGGCGCGTTCAATCTTCAGTGGAACATGGTGGCAGCGATCAGTGCGTTGGTCCCTCTGGTGCACTTCTTTGTACTTTTCGCCCTTCCTGAAAGTCCGGTGTGGCTTTGGAGGAAAGGAAAAACTGTAGAAGCGGAAAGAGCGTTGAAGTGGTTTGGACGAAGCGTTGACAGTTTCAAATGCGTCGAGTAAGCATATTAATATTTTTATATTTATTTCAATATTTATCATAAATAATAATTGATATATAAAAACATTAAATAATTTTTTTTTAAATGAATAAATTTTTTTTAACCGAATCAACAAAAAAACTAAAAAAAAAACTTACAAATCGTTAAATAAAAAAGTTATTTTTTATAATAATTACCAATAATTAGATATATTTTAATTTAACTCATTAACAAAGAAATAAATTAATTTTATTATTGTAATGGTCTCTATCTTAAAAATTGTAATAAATATTTCTTTATTATATTTTCATTGGAATAACAACTAAACATGTTGAACAAATTAAATAAATTTTGATCTAGTTTTTAATTTTCGATGAATTATGTATATTTTAATTAAAATCTTTAACTCTATTAACAATTTCTATTATCACATCAGGAATTTTTTAACTTTTATACACTGGTTTTATCTGAAATATCTCGCGTCTCAGAACGTAATTACACGTAAAGACAATAAGTCACCAAAGCAAAAAAGCAAATTGATTATTTAATTAGGATTTTATTTCTACTTAAAAGATTTTTAATAACTTTTAATTTTAATATCTTCATTAATTCTAATTTCTCTCAGTGAAGAGCCTTCCAAAGTCGATGACCTCGACGGTCCATCGCCCTGGCAATCCTTGATCTCCAAGAGCTCAAGACGTCCTGTTTTGACCATGCTGTTCTTCTTCGCGTTCCAACAGTTCAGCGGCATGAACGCCGTCGTCTTTTACGCAGTCCAAATGTTCCAGAGTGCCGAAGCGGGTCTGCTGACCACCAACCAGTCGGCCATGGTCATCGGCGCCACTCGCATTCTGGTCATCCTCATCAGCTGCTTCCTTCTGGCCCACATGGGCCGCCGGACGGTCTCGCTCATCTCAGGGGCCGGAATGGCCGCCTCTATGCTCTCCCTGGGCGCCGTCATCCTCGTCAAAGAGACTCCACCGTTGGCCGCGTCTGTTACTTGCATTGCAGGCTTCATCGCTTTCAACACTTTTGGTCCATACAATTTTAAATTAAATTATGTTTTTAATAAATATTTTTTTTAGGATTTTTTACGATTCCGTGGGTGATGCTGGGTGAGGTAATGCCCGAAAGATGCAGAGGACTGGCCTCCGGGCTGATAGCCGGTGTTGTGTACATCTACATTTTCATTGTGGTGAAATGTTACCCATACGCTTTGAGCGCATTCGGCGAGGGCTCCGTCTTTGTGATATTCGGAATTGTATCCTTGACGGGGGCGTTATTTGTGTATTTCTTTTTGCCAGAAACGAAGGGCAAAACGCTTCAGGAAATTGAGCAGTCTTTTCAGAAATAAGATCTCTTAATTAACAATTTATGGCAAATTTGTTAATTCATACTAGAAAGTCCAGAAAAATAATTTTCAAAATCTCGCAGCATTTGACCAAATTTTTAATTTTTAACGATTATTTGAAAATAAAAAAATAAACCTTCTCCTACTTGACGAAAACAATTTTCATGGTATTGATAATATATTAAATTATATAGTTTCTCTTGCAAATTTTTTTATTGCAGGCGTGAATTTATTATTTTATTATGAACTCTTATTTTATCTCATAAAAAATTAAAGCAAATAAGTTTTAACAAGCGATAAAATAATTTAATAAATCTCAAGATAATAAAGTTTTTAGCGGTGTTTTTAGTATTTTCAATCGCTTATCATTGCAATAATATGTGTTCTTTAAATGTCTTCTTAAATCAAATTAATTAATTGATTTAGAATAAATTCTATAAAACACAATATGCTTTTTATTTTTGGCTCGAAATAATTACCCGTTAAAAATCCTCATTTGGAAGATGGAGCTATCTGGCGGTCAAAGATCTTAGGTCCTGTGCTTTTCGACAGAGCGCGTGAATGTGGGAAGCAAGAGGAATATTATCTTGTCCTACAATAACCAAACGCCTGCGCTTTAGCTTGGAATTGGTATCCTCGAGTGCACCAAAAAAGGGTTAGAGGCGCTGGTGCTCACAGTCAGCCAGTTGGCAGCCGAGCCAGCTTGGTTAAGGCTGGGCATTTTTGATACTGTTTACTTTTGTATGGAGACGATATGCCGGCGATAGCAAATAAAATTCTAATTACGCGAGTGGTCACGTGCTGATGGTGGAAATCAGAAAATCAACTTAAATCTGTAAGTTTCTCTCGTAATTTACGTACATTTAATGTATTTAAAATCTGAATTATTATTTTTTTATGCTTTCTACCAAAGGCATATGTATGTCTCATATAGACTTTGCATATACATAAGACCTTAATATTTAACTCCGACTTTCCTTGTCGTTCAGTGAAGCATAATTGTCTTTCCTCTAGATTTCAATAAGCTTTTTCTTTTTAAGGGCACTCGAGACACGTTGAAAATGTCGGATTGTTTAAAAAACTTTGGTTACTTCTCGGACGCAAGGACCACCCCGGCAAGGTAAACCATTTACATTACTCGACATTGAAGTATAGTTTTTTTTGCGGGATTTTAATTTTAAATTCTTTGCAGAACGTGGGTGCTCGCCATCCACCACACGTTTGAAGGCACCGATGACCTCAGAAAAGGCAATGACAAAGACGTAGAGAACCTGAAAAACGCCTTTTCAAGAAGAAATTGCCTATTTAAGGATCTGAAGTCAAAAAAGAAAGATGAAATTCTCGAAACACTATCGAACCAGGAAAAATTATTACAACTATTCACAGAAAAAGAGCAAAGTTAGTTCAATGCTTAAATATATTATTTTAGAAATAATTAAAAATCAATTTGAAAAAAGGATCTCAAGATGACGCGCCTGATGTTCTATTTGTATTCATTTTGTCTCATGGAAGGATCGGTGGGATCATCGAAACCGATCAAAAAGACGCCACAACAGGAGATTTTGAGGCCTACTACCAAAAGGACGTGTGGGGAGGCCTATCAGGAATGACTTGCCTCCAGCAGTGCTTAAAAGTGCTTTGTCTCGGAGTATATACTAAATTTAATTTTTTTCTGATGACTTCATGGATTGTTTGTCATTTTAGCCATGCAGGGGTTCTAATAGTGAACTGCGGCTTCCTGGAGACGCAAAAACTTTAAGCTCAACAAAAGGCAAAAATGTTGAGCAGCCAATATGGGTATCAAGTGTGTTATGTTGGTGACTAATGTATATATTGTACCGTTGGTAACACTGTAATAAAGTCTAGAATTATCTTGGAACCCGAACCGACCGGACGTGTTATTCCGTTCTCCGCACTGTACAAGCGGCCAGAGGCCGCCAGGGCCGGCAAGTGGCCGCCCTTGTAACACCTCAAAAACAGGCCACCTCCAGACGTAACAAATGGCGACGAGGAAAAACTAACTTCGGTGAAGGAGGAAGAGGTGAGTGGAGCGAGAAAAGTGCGAGACGGCGACCACGTGCAGCGTGTGGTGATTCCCCAAAATTGGCTTGGGTTGGTGTCCGGAGGCGGACCTGTCCGGCACCAAAAGAGACTTCGAAGGAGCCAACGAAGAGTTTCCGGCGGGAGGAAAGTCGGGCAAGAAGAAATTCTCCGCGTGAGGCTGCGAAAAGCCGGGCGTTACATCAGCCAACAAGGTGAGCTGAGCGTCAGCAGACGTTTTCAAGTCGAGGCGGCCAGCCGGCGAAGTGTGAAAGTCGGTTTGGCCAGAGATCAAGAGTCCCGCGGCCCAGAGTGTTTGCGAGCGAAATCGCAGCGGCAAGAGAAGGGTGAGCAGAGTCGCCTGCCGCAGAGTACGAAGCGTGACAGCCGTTCCTCGGACAAGGGAAGAGGACGGTGTGTGTCGGGGCGTCAGGGAAGGGCGTCGCCGAAAAGGGTCGGAGTGCGACCCAGTGAAGAGCTCTCCCAGGGTGGGAAGCTCACCGTGTTCGTCACCTTCAAGAAAAAGGGCCAGAAGGGAAAGGAGGAAGGAGGAGGACTTGGGCTCGTCATCGTGAGTTCGAGTGGAGAGAGACCACGAGCCAAGTCTTGTCTTCAAGTGCAGAGTCTGCTGAGCGCAAAGAAAGCAAGAAAGAGGAAAGAGAAGGGCGAGATTGAGTCCAGGGAAAACCAGCGGCCACCAGACAGAGGACGTGTGGCGCTGTCGTTCGTACGAGAGAGACGCCAGGAGGAGGCAGCCGCCTTCTCTGGCCAACGTGTGAGTGACTCGGAGGGTGCAACCGTATCCTCGAGCCTTCGACCTGAGTTGAGGGGATCTCCTCAGGGGTCGTTTAAGAAGTGCCAGGCGAACAAGAGCCTGAGGTGAAAATTCCTGAGATGAGGAGGAGAGAAAAGAAGAAAATCAGCAACTGGAATTTCAGGCCGTATCCAGATTGCGTGAACATTTTTCGGTGAAAATAAGTTCAGTGAATATTTGAGATTGAGAAGGATTTTAAGAGTTCAGAGTTGAGAAAGTTTAGAGCAAATTTGAAAATTCAAAAGTTGAAAGTAAATTCAAAATTTCTAGTAAATTTCAAAATTGTAAATTTTGTAGTTCCAATTCAAGAGTGAATTTAAAGTGGTTCTCAATTTGCATTTTTGTAACCAAATTCTTGTGCATTTATTTCAACAAAATTGAATTATTGATTGATTAATTGATAGCATGGCATCTTCTTAATTGTCTTAAAATAAAATAATTGAGTTTTTATCTTAGGCGGGAGATGTTATGTTGGTGACTAATGTATATATTGTACCGTTGGTAACACTGTAATAAAGTCTAGAATTATCTTGGAACCCGAACCGACCGGACGTGTTATTCCGTTCTCCGCACTGTACAAGCGGCCAGAGGCCGCCAGGGCCGGCAAGTGGCCGCCCTTGTAACACCTCAAAAACAGGCCACCTCCAGACGTAACAAAGTGCGCCAAACTGCGAGAACTTTATAATATTATATTCAACTGTGGAATGTATTTGTTAAAATAAACAGATGTTTACCGGGATTAAAAATAATATTCATTTTTCAGCAACAAAGGCTCAAAGGAACGCGGAAGGTACTTGGCTTGTGAATGAATTTTGTAGAGAATTGAACGCAATGGATAAAGACTCGGACTTGGCCATTGTTTTAACACGGATCACAAACCGAATTAGTTCACAAATGACAGTAGACGGCAGCTTCAGTCAAACGCCACAATTGCAAATTTTTAAGCACAAAAAGCTTATGGTCTACAGGTATTGGAAATTTAAAAATTACAGATTTGACTAAATAAAAATTTTTTTTTTAACTCAGCTATCCCTTAGAAGAGGGATCAGATGGAAAACAATGTGGAGACCCAAAGCAAGTTATTAATGTAGCTGGAAAAGACTTTTACACGTGGAGGTCACATGAAATGCTCCTCTTCAGACGAGGTCGTGCGCTTATTTTTAGCGACTTGAATCATTCAAACTTCTCAAAAAAAGCCGAAACGAGTTTTAAATTACTTGACTTTGAAACAAGAACTTACGGATTGAAGCAATTAGAAACAATTTTGAGAAACGGTAAAAACAAATTTTAATAAATAATTTGTTTGAGTAATAAGGAATCAATTAGTTTCAAGTGCGGTTGACTGCGGCCTGCAAGAGGAAGGCTGCTTTGCTGTTTGCATCTTGGCTAGGCTGATTGACAATAAAGTCGATGGGCTAACAATCTGCTCTGATGGATTGAGGATACCAGCAAACGAATTGATAAAAATGCTGATAGGGGTGAACTGTCGTGATCTGTCAGGGAAACCAAAACTGTTTTTCTTTTTGGATTCTGGGGGCCAAGAAGATGATCGGCTTGTTGCACAGGTAATTTTATTCAATATATAAAATACAAAAACATAAAAATATTTAATTTTTCTTTCAGTCTGCAAGAGAATGGGAAGTACCAGGAAACAATCACGCTGAAATTTTCACATTTGTCGGAGTGGGAGAGCATGGGAAATTTCAAATTACTAGTTTGCTTGATGCACTTCAAAATCCTTTGCTGAAAAAGAAAAACGTTCTGAGTCTGCAAGAGGTTGTTGTCAATCTCATTCGCCAAGACTATGGCGATTCAGCTTCGACAGATGGCCCTACCAAAGGCACCGAAGGTCAAATCCTGCCGCAGGTTTCAAGCACTCTGCACCACTTGCTAGATTTTCCACCTTGCAAGAATGCTTATATTAGACCCTTATTTACAATAGAAGGCGTGCAAGGTCCAGTTTCTTTTGAACAATTGAGCAAGGATATTGCAGAAACAGCCATAAAGACTGCCCTATTACCAGAGGAGCGGTGGAGAAATCGTTCTTGGTTGGTCAGTGCCCCTGCAGGAATTGGAAAGTCCGCTGCGACAAATGAAATGGCCAGGGAATTGGCGGAATTGCTTCCCGATTATCTGATAATCAAAATTACGCTAATGCAGATGTGCAACTTCTTTCTTGAAGTGAAAGATAAGGTTCCTGAACTGCGCGAGTTTTTGAAAAAAGCTTTGGAGGAAAATGAAATTGGACTTGAAAAACTCGAGGAAAAATATCTCAAAAAAGATATTTTAGTTCTCATTGATGGTTTTGATGAAATATGGGCATATGAAGAAGTCGTTCTGAAGTTCCTTAGGGATATTAATGCGGAGGATTTCTGCTTATGGATCACTACTCGCCCATACCAGCAGTCAAAACTCGATGCAAATGTGAACAAACTGAACAAGTTAGAAATAAACCCGATGAGTCAAGAGCAACAGGTGCACCTATTAAAAACTTTGCTATACAAAAATATTGAGGAGTGCGAGAAGCTCTTGAAAATATTCAAAACAAACAAAGACAAAGGCTCCACTTTTACAGGAACGCCTCTTCAATTGAAAATGGTTGCAGAAATAGCAGACAGATTAGTGGACACCGAAGGAAGCATAACTTCATTAACATCTCTCTACTACCAGTTTGTTTTCTCCAAAGTAGACTCTGCAATTTTGAAATACAACGGAACAGACACGAGCAAACCAAACTATTTGAAAATTGTCAGAGAGAGCGTGGAGCTCCTCATGAAGGCAGCGTGCAACTATTTTTACAGAGAAAATTTGCCGTCTCAAGAACTCAAGCTGTTGCGAGGAAAACAAGATGATATAAATCAACTTGGAATTGCCACTGTCACTTTTGATGGCAAAAAGCTGAAGTCCATCTACTTTGTGCACCAAACTTATGCCGAGTTTATGCTAAGTTTATTTTTCCTAGCAAAAGCTGGACACTTTACCAAGGAGCACGAACGCTACATTGAAGCAATTGAGGAAAATGATATAAATTTGAGTAGCATTTTCCTGAGAAATGAGTTTGAACAAGTGCGATTTTTCATCGACGGCTTCTTTATAGGCGCTGACTCGGAACCAAAAATTCTGAAGACGAAACTTGATGACTGCTGCGAGAAAGAGGATTTCAAAAGTAAATCTTCCGCATTGATGGCCTATGTTTGTAAAGAAGGCTTGGCACGACTCTTCAATTTACTTTTTGAGTCAGAGTATAAAAATACTTTTGGGGACATCGAAGCACAGAAAGCACTGATAAACACACCATTCACTTATAACTTTCGAAACAAAGAATACAAGTACTATCCTTTGTATGCTGCTTGCTTTACAAGTGAAGAATTGGCTCTTCATATAATTGATTTAGGAGCCGACATATCGCTTCTTGACCCGGATAAATGTTTGATAGAGGACAAAGGTACAATTCTCCACCTGGCTGCCAAGAGGGGACTATCCAAAATTATCGAGAAGGTTTTGGATGTGCTTCCTAGAATGTCGTTGGAGGTGAACCAGAACCACCAGATCCCTCTGGATATAGCAGCAGAGAAAGGCCACATTGAATGTGTCAAAGTTCTGATCGAGAGAGCCGTACCAGAAAATCGAATGATGCAAAGAAAAAGAATTTTAGGAATTGCAGCTGAAAAGGGATATTCGGATATGGTTTTTTACTTGATGGGCAATGATTTGTCTTTGCAGGTAGATTTGCATGGCACTTCCCCACTTTACTCTGCCGCTGAACATGGGCACGTTGAACTAATGCAAAATTTGATTGCCATAGCAATAGATGTGAATGTGGAGGACGCCGAAGGATACACGCCAGTCCACGCTGCGTGTAGAGGAGGAAGCGTCGAGGCTCTAATTTCACTTTACCACGAGCACGGAGCAGATTTGAAAAAGATATCAAAAAAGAAGAAACACACTCCACTACATATTGCAGTCAGCCACAATAAAATAGCGTGCGTAGAATTTTTGCTAAACAATGAAGTGGAAGTAGATGCGAAAGATGCTTGGGGTGAAACGCCTTATCATTTTGCAGCTGCCTACGGACATTTGCATTTTTTGGAAATCTTGGAAAATGCAGGTGCTAATATTTATGCAAAAAGTGTATTAATGCACAAAAAAGTGAATAATAAGCTAGAAGAACTGGGACGACTTACGGCACTGGATAGGGCATCCCTTCACGGCGAGATCAAAACTTTGAAATATTTGCTCACACGAGATTATCCTGCTGAAGTGATAACGCACTCTTTCTGGCTCAGTTTGGTCCACCACAATGACAAAGAGAAGGTTATTGACGTCATGAATGCATTTTTTGAAATAGGGTTCTCTGTCGACGCAGACTTGAAAGACGGAAAAACACCTATGATCGTTTTGGCTGAAAAGTCGAAAGAGTTTTCAGCCAAAAACCCTCTATACCGAGAGCCCTATTTCCCGGGCGATAAAATTGACATGGAACAACCGTTTTATGCTCGTCCTCGGGAAATCACTTTTGCTAACGTTATAAATGAGCAAAATTACTACATTAAACACATACAATTTTTAATCAGCAAGGGTGCAAACGTGAATGCGAAATCCAAAAACGACGGAACAGCTCTGCACATCGCCGCTGGAGCCGGAGATTTGGCACTGATGCTGCTTTTGTTGGAAAGTGGGGCAGAGGTTAATTCGAAGGACATTATTGACCAAATTCCTCTCCACGAAGCTGCCAGCAACGGACACTTGGACGCTGTTAAAATTCTGGTTTCCAAAGGAGCAACTGTAAATGCCCAATCCAAGAACTTCAGCACTCCTTTATTACTAGCCGTTAAAGGTGGTCAATCTGAGGTGGTTCGAAACCTTCTTGAAAGTGGTGCTGACACTTCCCTGACCGAAATGTTTGATTACTTTTCACCAATCGCCGTAGCCGCTAATTCAGCTCGAGAGGATTTGGTGGATATGATTTTGACCAAAGTTGCACCTGATCGAAAACAGCACGAGCTGGATGCTGCCCTTTATGGGGCACTAAGAGGTAGAAAAAAGGAATTTGCAAAAAAATTAATTGATCGTGGTGCTAATCCGACGTCTGATAATATTTGCTGTGTCCCTTTAAGTGAAGCAGTCGGTGCCGAAAGTGAAGAGAGTGTTCACATGTTATTAGAACAATTTGTAGACGAAGAAATTAAGAAAAAGGAGGCAAGTGTCGCCCTGCTGACAGCGGTAAAAAACATGAACTTGCCCTTAATTAAGTTGCTAGTCGAAAGGGCGCACGCGGACATAAACGCGACAGACTCAAACGGAACGAGTGCAGTGCTTATGGCCACGATTCGCGGCAGCAGTGAAATAGTTGGCTTTTTTTTACAGTTCGATCACTTAGATTTGGTTAAGCCATCGCAAAATGGCAATATCCCGAGACTCTTTCTCTTTAACATCAATGATAATGAAGTGAAGGAGAAACTTGACCAGAGAAGCAAGGAGCAATTACGGAGTAAAAATGCTTGAAATTTTAATGAATTGAAATCCATAAAGTAAAAAAAATTAAATTGCTTTTAGAATTATACATCTCGTTTATTCCTCAAACATTATCTGCATTATAAATTTCAACTTTCAAGTGACCTGCCTAACGTAAAGGGGAAGAGTTTAAAAAATTTCCCTAAAAGAATGCAAATATTATAAATAATTATACGTCAATTTAAATCTCAAAATCAAAGATGCACATTTCAATGCGCCGTACTAATAATTTAAGTATATTTTAAATGAAATTATTTTGGCTAATATCTTAAATCAAGCAGGCCTGCAGTCTGAAACATAATTCTTTAAAGGCACACTGCTATACTCCAGGATATTGTTTGATATTGATTCATTAAAGTGATTGAAGTTAATATTTTTATTCATAATGTTTAATTTTATCTTTAAATTGGAGATTTAATAAAAAACTTTTATTTTTTTTATATTATAGCAAGTAGTGATTTGATCAGCGATCATTGTCAGGATATTTCAAACTTAATAAAAATAAACAAATATTTCTTTTGGTGTGTATTAAAGAGAAAATTTTGTATATTTAATACTCAAAAAAGAAAGAATTATAAAATTAAAATTAATCCTCGAATAAAAGGTTAGGCATGTAATTTCAAAATTTATTTTATATCTGAATCAATTGCGACTATGGCCATTTTTTATTTACATTATGTATACAAAAAAAAAGTAAAAGAGGTGCGCAATATTTTGAAAATTTAACAACAGATGGAGCAAGCTGGTTGTTTAATTTTTTGAGGAAGTTATTAAAAACCAGCCAGGGTTTCGATGCGGCGTACACTGACCCTCCCATGATCCAAGGTAAAAGGAGGCACCGAGGCACACACTTGCAGGCAGCGCGTTAGGTGAGACTTTATTTAGGTGATGGTCAATCAGGCGATCTTGGCCTTGTTTGGTAAATAAATTTTAAAGATTAAATTCCAAGCACTAGCATTGATGTAATAACAAAATTAGCTTTGCTTTTAAACGAAATCAGTCTCTTACATGAACCAGAAAATTATATTTATTTAAAATTTTCTGAATCTTCTTAACCTGAAAAGAAAGACGTGTACGGGCCAGGTTGGCCAACACAAAGGGAGAATAATAATTAAATTAAACTCCAGAAGATTCTTTTAATTCGTATATTGTAGTAAGGCGGTGTTGTACATTCAGGATGTGTTGACATTTGAATCGGAAGTTGAAATTCGAATCGAACTGTAAAAACATAATACAATCAGTACAATGAATTACAAACATGTTATTTGAGTATTGGTAATTTGAGTGGAGGCGCCGGCATTGCTCGGCCGGCGAACAGTTTTAGGTTCGGCGTTTTGGGTTAAATTCACTGGCGGGGCCGGTGATTATGCACTTATTCACTGGGCGGGTCATTTTGCCGTCAAGGGAAATTGCACAGAAAGGTTCTTACCCCATAAGTTTGGGTTCAGGCGAAGGTTTGTTGAGTGAGCGATTGAGACGCGCGCTCCATGGCTGGCTTGGGGCGCGAGAATAAACGTGGTTGGGCGGGGCTCACATTGCATGGGAGTGCTGCAGGGTGCAGCACAGGGTGGTGGAGTAGTTTAGTCTTGACTAAACGATTTGTAGTGGGCAGCGGGAAACCGCTGACCGCTACAGACGCATGAAAAGTCTAACACATTAACAACTTTCTGAAAAATTTTACTTAATAAAGTCTCTTCCATTTTAGAGCAATTTTTCAACGTGAAGGAGACCACTTTTTACTACAAGAACGTCTCTGATAATGATTGCCTGAGGCATCTGCAAATGCTTTTTTTATATGTGGATGAACCATTATGTCAGATCACATAAAAAGCTTTTGCTTCTCGCCTGGCGGCCGCCATTGTCCTTTGAGGTATGTATATTTAAATAACGGAAATATATATCATGTCTTTTTAATTGCGGTCCTCATTTTAAGAACGTGGGTGCTTATTATCCACCACGAATTTAAGGGTTACGATGATCACAGATTTGGAAATGAAGCGGACATTAATAATTTAAGGGACACTTTTGGAAGAAGAAACTGTGTCGTACGAGATCTTGCGTCTCGACGAAAAGACAAAATTCTCTCAGTATTGAGGGAGCAGGACAAATTATTTTCTCTCTTTGACGGTAATAAATATATAAATTTTATAATACAATTTTTAATATACGACAAAATAAATATAAAGAAAATGATAGCCGACCTCCAGAGGTTTTTGTCATATTCATTCTATCGCACGGTACGAGTGCTGGAATTATAGAGACTGATCACTTAGTAGAAGGCAATGAAAAAGGTCAGGTATTTGAAACGTACCATCAGGAAGACGTTTGGAATGGGTTGAAAGGAATGAAGATTCTCCAAAAATGCACAAAACTTATCTTCTTTGGGGTATAGTTTCCTTATTAAAATATGATTCATGCAAAAATTAACATTTTTATTTAAGCCTTGTCGAGGAATTAACCAGGAATTGAGTCTGCCTCTGCATGAGCAGTGTAAAAATCTTTCTTATCAACAAGAGCAAATTCTTCCGAAATGGATTGCAACGCCGCCAAACCAGGAAAATATGATTGTTTTTTATGCCACAGTTGAATGTAAGTCTGAATTATCTTCGCACTATTTTATAAATAAAATTCAAAATGATAGCGACTAAAGCCCAAAGAAATTCCAACGGAACGTGGATAGTGATAGAATTGTGCCGAGAGCTGAATACAATGACCGATGACGTCAGTTTGCCAATATTTCTCACGCGAGTACAGAAACGTATTTGCGAACGGACTACTATAGAATCAATTTATGGTCAAACACCACAATTGCAGATCTTTAACCACACAGAACTGCGAGTCGACAGGTACCGGTTGAAAGTTTTTAAAATTAAAATTATATGCTAAATAATAAAATTCAATTAAACTATGTTTTACTTCAGTCATCCCTTGAATGAGAGTAAGGACGGCAGGAGTGGAGACTTGGAAAAAACTGTCAAGTACGAGCGGAAGGACTTTTATCAATGGAGATCAAATTCATCTTTGCTTTACCGGAGGGGTCGTGCGCTCATTTTCCACGACGTCAATCATACGAATTGGTCACGTGAAGCGGAAAAAAGCTTCCAATTTTTAGACTTTGAAACAACATCGTACAGTTTTAAGCAATTAAAAATTATCCTGACAAATGGTAAAATTTATATTAGAATTATTAAAAATAAAAATTATCCAAAACTTTTAGTCTCCAGAGCAAACGATTGTGGGCTTCAAGAAGAGGGCTGTTTTCTTGTGTGCATCATGGCTAAGTTAATTGACAGCAAAAGCGACGGACTAGCGGTAATTTGTGATGGCGATAAACTGCCTTTAGACAGCCTGATTCAAATGTTCACCGGACATAACTGTCCTGAATTGATCGGAAAGCCTAAATTATTTTTCTTTTTGAGTAATGGAGGTCAAGAGGATGATCGGTTGATTGGAGAGGTACACAACAAACTTTCGTAAAACTTTCATAACATTTAAAACAAAATTCAGGTTCCAAAAGACTGGGTGATTAGAGGAAACAACCATGGAGAAATTTTCACATTCCTTGGGATCGGGGGGCCAGAAAATCAGCACGACCTTATCAAGAGTCTGCTGGCTGAGTTGCAAAATCCAAAATTGAAAAAAGGTCTCAGCCTGCAAGAAGCTGTTATTAGTGTTGTACAAAAATGCACACCAAGGAGAGAAGAATGCATATTGCAAATTTTGCCGCAAATTTCAAGCACACTTCATTATTTGCTAGATTTTACACCTTGCAAGAATACGTACATTAAACCAACATTCAAAATTGAAGGGTACACAGAGACCAAAACTTTTGATGACTTGGTTCAAGATATTTCACAAACAGTCAAATCTCCTGAAGAAAAATGGAAGAACCGTACATGGCTAGTAAGTGCATCTGCCGGTATGGGAAAATCAGCGGCAACCAAAGAAATGTGTAAAAATCTCACCGACTTGCTCCCAGACCACCTAGTGGTAAACATCGCTCTAACGAAAATGTGCAAGTACTTTTTGAGAGTAAAAAAGAATGCATCAGACCAAGGAAATACCTGTGATTTTCTAAGTGAAGCGCTCGTAAAAAGGGATTATGAGGTTGATAGCCTTTCCGAGAAGATTGCACAGAAGAAAATTGTTTTGTTCATGGATGGCTATGACGCAGTTTGGGCGTATGAAGAAATAGTCCTAAAAATTATAATGGAAATGAACGCTCTCGATATTTGCCAGTGGATTACAACTAGACCTCATCAGCAATCAAAAATAATTGCAAACCTAAGCAAAATTAATTTTCTAGAAATAAATCCGATGACCAAAGTGCAGCAAATTCAGCTTCTTAAAACTGTACTCTATAAAAATGCAAAAGAGTGCGAGGGACTCCTAAAAATTTTTGAAAGTAATAAAGAAAACAATTCGACCTTCATGGGAACACCTCTTCAATTGAAAATGCTTGCAGAAATTGCAGACAAAGTGGTGGACACCGAAGGCAGCGCAACGTCCCTTTACTACCAGTTTGTTTTCTCGAAAGTGGACTCTGCAATCTTAAAACACAATGGTACAGATGCAACTAAGCCTGGCTATATGAACACAGTCAGAGATAGCATAGAATTGCTGATGATGGCAGCAGCAAATTATTTTTACGGTGAAAATCTGCCATCCCAACATTTAAAATTGTCTCCCAGAAAACAAAATGAAATCAACAAGCTTGGAATCGCATCAATTGAATTTGAAGGAAAAAAATTACAGTCAATTTACTTTGTGCACCAAACGTATGCAGAGTATCTGCTCAGTTTATTTTTCCTCTCAAAAGCTGGACACTTTACCGAGCAGCACGAATCCTACCTGGATAAAATTGAGGAAAATGAAATAAACTTGAGTGATATTTTACTGAGAAGCGAATTTGAGCAGGTGAGATCTTTCATCGACGGTTTTTTCATAGGCGCTGACTTCGAATCAAAATTTCGGAAGACGAAACTTGATGACTGCTGCGAAAAAGCAGATTTTCAGAATAAATCTCATGCATTGATGGCCTATGTTTGCAAAGAAGGCTTGGCAAGACTCTTCAATATACTTTTTGAGTCCGAGTATAAAAATAATTTTGGTGATATCACTGCACTGATTAACACGCCATTCACTTTCAACTTTCGAAAAAAAGAATACAAGTACTATCCTCTGTACGCAGCCTGCTATTCAAACGAAGAATTGGCTCTACACTTGATCGATTTAGGAGCCAAAATTGAGCTCCTGGACCCAAAAAAATGCCTCGTTGAAGGAAACGAAACTATCATGCATTTGGCAGCAAAGAGAGGATTAAGTAGGATAATGAAAAAATTATTAGAATTTTATCCTCAAATGAAAAATGTTGAAAAAAGCGATGGTAAAACTCCTATCGACGTTGCAGCTGAGAGAGGCTTCATGCAATGCGTCAATATTTTATTAGACGCTACAGAGCCAGAGAAAAGAATTTTAATGAGAAAAAGGGCCATGAATTTAGCTGCAATACAAGGCCACACGGATGTTGTCTTCAATTTGATGGGCGATGATTTGAAGACGGATTTGTACGACAAATCACCACTCTTCCATGCAGCATGCTACGGGCACATACTGCTAATAAGAGCATTAATTTACAGTGGCATAGACGTGAACATCGAAGACCCGAGAGGATCAACACCAGTCCATGCTACATGCGTGTTTGGAAGGTATGAAGCGCTCAAGGTTCTTCACGAATACGGTGCAATTTTGAATAAAAAAACAAAGAATACATTGGCAGAACCAATACACATTGCCTGTAGCCGTTCTCAAAGCGGGAGAAAGGATATATTGGATTTTCTCTTTAAAAACGGTGTCGACGTTGACGCAAAAGACCATGCTGATGAAACTCCATATCACAAAGCTGCTGCAGTGGGGCTTATAGACGTCCTGAAGAACCTGGAGGAAGCAGGCGCGAATGTTTATGCCACGAGCAAACAACAGGAATGTGTAGATAATGACGGAAAAAAATTTATATTAGGTAAATTGACCGCTCTGGATAGGGCCGCAATTAGTCCAGATCCCAGCGCAGTATGCACGAGACATCTACTGCAGCACAATTACCCATTGGAGTTAAAAAAACATGCTTTGTGGCTTGCAATCGTGGCACCAATAGCAACATATAATAATTTGGAACACAAATTAGGTGCATTTTTAGATAATGGAATTCAAATCAACGAGGAATTGGTCGATGGCAAAAATGCACTTATCTTGCTAGCAGAAAAGTCGGGAGAATTCAATAAAAGGTTGCCAGGGTGCAACTTAAGAACGATTGATGACGAAGAAATTGAGAAAGAGGCACCGTTCCATCCGCGGCCCTCAGATATGACCATTCGAGAAACATTCCTGGAACCAAACTGGTTTTCTTTGTGCATTAAAGTTTTGATCAACCGAGGTGCGGACATAAATCTGCAGAGCAAATATTTTGGTGGGGCTTTACACATCGCTGCCAAGAGCGGAGACATTGAACTGATTCGCTTATTGCTTAAGAACAAGGCTTTTGTTAATTTGAGGAACGACGAGAAGCAAACACCTTTGCACACAGCAGCCAAATATGGACGCCTGCGAGTTGTTGAAAGTATCCTCTTGAAACCAGGCATCGAGATAAACGCTCTGGATGAAAATAACTACACTCCCTTGGCGCTTGCAATTTCAAAGCGTCAAAAAGCAGTGGCAAAATATCTCTTATCGAATGGAGCAGATGCGGGGCTTCCAAGAAAACCTGCTGAGAGCAGGCCTATAGCCGTAGCAGCAAGCACTGACCAAAAGGATTTTGTCCAATTGATTTTAGACACAGTTCCAATGGAAAGAAAACAAATGCACTTGGATACTGCGCTAAGAGGAGCAATATTTGATGACAATGTAAAAATGGTGAAATATCTGATTCAAAAAGGGGCAGATCCAACGTCAGGTAACATTGTTTGCTTCCCTCTGTTGTATGCAATTAAAAAGTTATCGTACAACTCTGCCAGGACTATAATTGGTCAGTTCGACAATGAGTACAAGGACCGTGAGACTGCTTCTGCATTAATACAATCAGTGTCACAAAATGATTTGTCCGGCGTCGAACTCCTTCTTGAGGAAGGCGTTAATGTAAATAAGGCTAACTCAAAAGGTTTAAGTGCGATGTTGATTGCTACTATCTACGGATTTGAAGATATAGTGGATTATCTTTTGAAATTTGATGAATTAGACCTAATCACGCCCTCTAAAGATGGAAATGTTCCTCTGCTTTTCATAGGAAATATTAAATGTTTGACGATTAAAGAAAAATTGCATTCAAGAATCTTGCAACAATTAGAAGAAAAAAGCAAAAAATCATAGTCGTATACATCACAAATTTACAGTAACTATATCCAATGTTTCAACTTTCAACTCTGTATTGAAAAGAAAGCCCTCCAGATCTGCTCCAGATGATATTCTCATGTCTGTGTGAAATACTTAATGTAGTTTATGAATAAGAAATAAAATTTTTACAGTTTAAAATAAATGATAATTGGAATTTGAAGTCCCTCGGCTTGTTTTGCATTCACTAATTATATAAGCCGAAAAACAACAAAACAAACCTAGTTGAATTAGGTGAAAAATATTGATGATAAATATTCTACATTCTAAGAATAATTGAAAAAAAGGTTTTAATTTCTTCTTGGCAGCAAGATAAAAAGTACACACATTTTACTTCAAAAAGAGCAACAGAGATTTTATTTGAATTACTCCATTTTATTTTTGTGGTAGAATTTCACTCCTTTTTACTTTTACAATCATCTTACTTGGATTATTACTTCTGTGGATAAATGCGTTCAGGCTGCGATGAATTGTTGTACAAAAGTGTGATGCTGCATTAATTTGTGAGACAGTCAGTCATGCTACACGATTTTTGCTTAATAGTGAGATTCAAATATATTGCCTACATTTTTGTGTTTACTGCGGACATCGATTCAACAACGGGTGTACTTTTCGTGATATGGCTTTCATTTTTTCCACAAGAAATTGTACAAATTGTTTATTAATTCAGGACCAGAGCATCAGTTTTGCATTTGCTTCTTACACGAAATACCAACGTACGCTGTATAGTGATTACTGTCAGTACGTTACGTACACAAATACACGAGAATATATATTTACAAATCACATTCAATACACAATGTGTTCCCATTCACTTGTAAAAACTAAATAAAATAGCAGCGTCGATAGAGTAAAAGAGAAAAAAAAATGATTAAAATTAATAAAGTTGAGTGCAAAAATGGCACAATCTTTGAAAGGTAAGGCAGTAAGTAGTTGCGTTATCTGACTAAAGTGGTGATGGTAAATGAATAAAAATTTTTATCAAAAACCAAAGATCACAACTTGAAAAAAAAATCCGCTTTAAATTATAAATGCTGTTCAGCACAGAGCTGCCGATAAGAGTTTCGCACAACCTATCATCAAAAATAGCACAAGGAGATTCAAGTTGACTCTTTGTTGGTCGAGTTTTTTTATATATATTAATCCTCAGTCACTCGTTACGTAAATGATGCCTTTGCAAAACTATTGAAAAATAAATGCAGGAAAAGAGACTTGTGAGGTAATTGGCCGCAGTTAACTGCAAAGGAGGGTTTTGCCTCCTCAGACGTGCACCCTGGGAGGGTAGCGGTAGCTGAAGGCGCGCTCCAGCTCCGTCTGCAGACCGTCTAGGGTGCGGTGGACGACGCGAAAGGGCGGTCGACCCGCTGGCTTTCGGTGCCAGCACATTTTCATCAGCTCGTAGACGGGCTTGGGAGTGTTGTCGGGGCAGTGGAGGACGTTGCCCTCTTTGATGTACTTGACCACCTCTTCGTGGGTCATGCCGTAGTACGGCTGAAGTGCAAAGGAGAAAATCTCCCACAGGCACACGCCAAACGCCCAAACATCAGATTCGACCTTGAATTTTTGCATATTTTAGTGTTCTTTAAAACAGGGCAGTATATTATGTTATGCAACTGCATGCAAAAGCAAATCCGAAGAAATTGTCCGAATAATAAAATTAATCAATTGGAATAAATTTTGAGAGCCAAGAATGATAAAATATGGGTTTAATTAAATCCAGAAAATGATTCAATCCTAGCTCACAGTATATCAAAAAAGAGAAAAAAAAAATGCTCTACTTACAGTGTACTTGTTGTATAGGATGGACTCTAGGGGCATCCATCTGATGGGAATGGCGTCATGTTCATCCCCTTTGTAATAATCCTGCAGGTATATTTTCTGTGAGAGACCAAAGTCGGCAATTTTGACCACCATGTCATCGTCGATCAAGCAATTTCGAGTTGCCAAATCTCGGTGGACAAATTTGCGGTCCGACAAGTAAACCATCCCTTCTGCCACTTGTCTGAAATGAGAGACGAAATAAGAATTTGACATTTTTTCAAATTAAATTCAATTAACCTAGCTATGTTGATGAGGTCCAGGTGATTTAGTTGCACATCCTTGAAGTGTTCGCCGTCTCCGTCGGAGCTGCGTACAATGTAGTTGCTCGGAGAACAAGATCGGAGGAACTCGTTTAGGTCGCCACGGCCCATGTACTCAAAGAGGAGGCACATGGGCCTGCCGATGGCGCACACACCCAGAAGTTTGACTATGTTTGGATGCTCGAATTCCGATAGGAGACACGCTTCTCGCTCGAAATCTTCCATCAGGTCGCCCGAAGCCTCTTCTTTCAACATTTTGACGGCGACCAGGGTGAATTCCTCCCCTTTGACTAAGCCAGGTGCTTTTGCCTGTGAGGAAAGGATTAATAATTTAATTTGAAAAATATTAATTTTAATAATTTACTTGGAAAACTCTTCCGAAAGCACCCTGTCCCAAGTCCCTAATATAAATTATGTCATTTCTTGGAAACTCGAGTTTCTCCAACTTGGGATTGAGTTGGGCGCCAGTTCTGTGGTACGCCATGTTGCTGGGCAATTTGTCCAAATCAATATCGGTCTCTTGCTGCAAATGAAATAATTAGATTTTGTTTCAATTGAATCAATTTGCGGCAAACCTGTCCAGTACTTGCGGCGTCATGGGTGTTTGTAGGGTTGTAGCCGGTGCGTTGCTTGTAGATGCGGAAGCAGAGGGTGAGCAGCAGCAGGAAGAGCACCAGACCCGTCAATGACAGAGCGGCCACCACCGAAATGAACTTGGTCGTCATTAGTGAGTCGAGGGTCATTGTTCGCTTCTCCTCGTACTCAACTTTGGTAAATTCTGTTGAATTATCTGAAATAAAAAAGTTAATAAAAATATTGTACATTATTGAAAAGTTGTTTTTATTTTCTTTTAAAGTTTTTTTTTTTTTTTTGAAATTTACAAAATATGAAAACTTTTTTGTTTCAATAATAACTTAAATATTTTTTTTTACAAAAAGTAAAGAAAATTATTTCTTAACAAATTCTCACCACAGATAGGTATGTCGCAGTGCTGCCAGCGCATGGTTGCGTCCATGGTGTAGCACCACGGGCTGGGCTCTTCACCACCCGCGTTACGGCAGTAGTTCTCAGCATTCTGCACCTCCGGGAACACCTCCGGCGGGCGGTTGTGTGAGTGCGGCTCCTGCGAGTCCCACCGTTGGCACGCCATGCCATCCTTGGTCACGTTCATCGAGCCCAGATAAAAGCGGCCACGACCGCGCACGCACTCAGCTGGAAATCAGGATTTATAGCCAGTTGTCTCTCAAGATACAAAAAAAGACTAGCTTTGCATGCAAAATAAATTATAGGTATCATGAACGCGTGAATGATGTTATTTTTTTATAGTTAAAACAGAATTAATTACTTTTTCATTCTTTTAAAAATATGAAAACTCACAAATATTAAAAATTTGTAAAAATAATAGTTTTGATAATATCAAATTTAAGTACGGAAAAAAATCAATAAATTTTGTGTAGCAAACTAAAAATTAAATTTTTAATACAATATTAAAAGTTTAAATTTTATCCACTTTAATTTTAATAATATTAAAGATTTTTCAAATTAAGAAAAAGAACTCATGAAATTTCCACTCACTTGTGACTTGATCTTCCTGCACAGTGGTAAGTCCAGCGTGCGAACACTTTTCCGGCTCCTTAAAACTGGGCAGGGTCGAACACTCGGGCAGCACAAAGTGGCCTCTGGACCTGAAGAAAACGCCACGCTGCTTGTTGTCCTCAATGAGCGCCCAGTCATTGTAGCAGAACAGGTCCTTGACGGCCACGCAGTCCTCCTGGCACAGGGGAAGTCCCACGGGATAGCCCTCGTGGATCTGGCATTGTGGGAATGCATAGGTGCACAGCAGTTTCTGCAAAAAGCGAAATTTTAATTATTATTTTTTTAAAGAATAATTTAAATTTCTTTAGATGATTATTTAAAGTCAAGAAAATTTGATTTAAATGCAATGAAATTTATAAAAATTATTAATTTACCTCGGCTGCACTTCGGCAGGGCTCTTTCAGGTTGTCAATCATCTCGTCCCAGAGACCGGTGGTGATCTGCTCATTCAACCACCCGCCCGAATTGTCATGACTGATGTTGAACCACACAAGTCCAGAGCCGTGCAGATAATTCTTGCAAATTTTGCCATTGTATGGTGCACAGTAGCCGCGAGGAGGTGGTAGAGGTCGTCGAACTGAAACACAAATTTGTCAACTTTTAGATTTTTTCAGTTTTTATCTTATTTAATGATGTTTTTTTCTATAAAAAAAATAATGAAGTATAATATAAGGAATTGAATAAGTTTTTACTACTATAGACACATTGGCTTTAATTTTCTGCAAGCTACGAGAGATGGAGCTCGCTAGCCCAACTTGGCCAGCTGGGGTCTGGCACGCATGTGTTGTGCAGTGGTTGTGCACCAAAATAAAGGCGTGCAACAGCTAGACCTTCTGGTACACCATACTTTATAAAAAGTCTAACATAAATGAATTGCATTGCGGTGAGGGCCCTTTTGTTAGTTGTTAAAATGCTTGGACGAAAATAATAAGAAATTAATGTACAGGTAAAGTGTTTGATAATATACATATTTTACATGATTTTTTGCATAAATAATAATTGTTTCTTGTAGTTAGATCTGGCACGGCAAGCCAAAATGACAGACAAATTAAAAAGATTCTTTTATTTTCCTGAAGACATCAGTAAGCATGCAAGGTAATGAAAATAGATTTTAGTCAATTTAGTCGTTCGTTAAATGTAAATTAAAATTTCTTCTTTAATTATTTTAAATCAGGACATGGGTTTTGGTTATCCATCACGAGTTTAAGGGCTTTGAAGACCAAAGATTTGGAAACGACAAAGACGTTATCAACTTGCGAAGTGCATTTACCAGGAGGAACTGCAATTTCAAAGACTTGGCATCAAAAAGTAAAGCGGAAATTCTGCAAACTTTGAGTGACCAACAGAAATTAGTTGCACTCTTCAATGAAAATGTTGAAGGTTTAACACGATGATTTTATTAAATTTGTAATATAAAAATTGTTTAGGTGATACAGAGAATGAACCTCCAGACTTGTTTATACTTTTTATATTGTCGCACGGCACAAGCAATGGAGTAATTGAAACGGACCATTTGGTTCCCCGCTGCGATCCAGAACAACCTGAATTTGAGAGTTACAACCGCCAGGATGTGTGGAACGGATTGAAGGGAATGGAAGTGCTGAAAAATTGCACAAAATTGCTTTTCATGGGGGTAAATAAATCAATACAATTAAAATTGTAATAATAAAATAATTCAAATCAATGAAGCCTTGCAGAGGAAAAAATCTTGAGCTTCCTCTGCCTGCACCTGCACACATAGAGGCAGCTTATCGAAAGGACAAGACAGAGCCTATTTGGATATCGACTGAGCCAAACTGGGAAGACACAATCGTTTTTTATTCTGCCGTTGAAAGTGATTGATTTTTAATTTAAGACAACAAGTAATCCAACTAAAATCATAATTTTCAGCAACAAAAGCTCAAAGAAATTCCGAAGGAACGTGGTTAGTGATCGAATTGTGCAACGAGTTGAATTCAATGAGGGAAGACCTTGACTTGTTCAGATTCCTCACTCGAGTGCAAAAACGCATTAGCGAACAGAGGACATTTGAAACTGATTCTTTTAGTCAAACACCTCAGCTTCAGATCTTTACGCACAGAAGAATCACCATTTACAGGTTAATAATTTATGTTCAATTTTATGTTTGACTTGTTGCGAGAGAATAAATGAATTGAATTCATAATATAGTAATGGATATAAAAAATGTCCCTTGCAGCAATCCTTTAGTAGAAGGCGCTGATGGAAAAAGCAGTACGAGTCAGGTTACAAACCAAACTGATTTCTACCTGTGGAGAGCGGAATCATTTTTACTGTTCCGAAGAGGCCGTGCCCTAATTTTCCATGACGAAAAGCACGCGCCTTGGTCACCAGAGGCGAGGAAGAGTTTTCAACACCTTGATTTTGAAACTAAAACCTACGGATTAAATCAACTGCTGAGTGTGTTGGAAAATGGTATGAAAATTTTTAAAATTAATCATGAGTTTAAAAATGTACAAGATTAATTTTATAATAAAATAGTTTCAACTTTCCCTGGTTACGAATTGCAAGAGGAAGGATGTTTTGCCGTTTGCCTGATGGCCAAGCTTGTGAACACAAAGGAAGACGGACTCTTGATATTTTCTGATAAAGTCAAGGTATCGGTCAACAAGTTGATTCAACCCTTCACCGGGTTGAACTGTCCTGGTCTCACTGGAAAGCCAAAGCTATTTTTCTTCCTTGACAAAGGTGGCAAAGATGACTCAAAGTCAGAGGGGGAGGTAGGAAAGCAAAATATTATCGATTTTTTTACACCAGTATTTTACAATTAACAGTTTTCATTAATTAATTTAAAGAATTATAATCTTATCAATTCATTCAATTTTTAATTTTACTGCTTATAAATGTTTTTAATTGATGGGGAAAATTTTGCAGGTTTCAAAAGATTGGATATCCAAAGGAAATAACCACGGGGAAATCTTCACGTTTGTTGGAATCGCAGAGCCTGAAAGTCAGCACGACATTGTCACGAGTTTGCTTTCCCAGTTGAAAAAGCCAGCACTAAAAAATGGCCTTAGCCTGCAAGAAGCTGTCATCAATGTCATGCGCAAATGCTCATCAGATGGAGATACATTTCAAATTTTGCCGCAAATTACCAGCACACTCAAGAATTTGCTGGACTTTCCACCCTGCAAGAATATGTATATCAAACCTTCATTCGTAATGGAAGGTTGCACTGAGCCCAAAACTTTTGATGACTTGATTCAAGACTTTGCAGAAACCGCTAAAAATCCTGAAGAAAAATCGATGAACCGAACATGGGTAGCAAGTGCAGATGCTGGTTGTGGAAATTCAACAGCCACAGAAAAAATTGCCAGACAGCTTCATGATTTGCTTCCAGAATATTTGATCATCAATATATCCTTGATAACGATGCGTGAATACTTTTTGGAAGAAATGAAAGCGGGCAAAGACCATGCAGCCCACCATGATTTCCTAAAAAGAGCTCTGGCAGAAAGAGAATACGACCTCAATCGATTAGAAGAAAAATTGTCAAGCAAACAAATCGTTGTGCTTCTTGATGGCTTTGACGAAGTTTGGGCATGTGCAGACTTTGTTCTTGAAACATTGAGAGACATCAATGCGGCCAATTTGTGCCTATGGATCACCACTCGTCCGCATGAACTTCCAAAAATTTTGAGAAAAATCAGGGACCCAATAAAATTGGAAATAAATCCAATGACAAAAGATGAGCAGTTGCAGCTTTTAAAAACAGTGCTCAACAAAAACGATGGTCATTGCAAGCAGCTTCTCGATAAAGTCAAAGCGGTCCAAGACGAAACTGCAACACCGTTGCACTTGAAGATGATAGCAGAAATCGAAGGCAAAAAGGTCTACATTGAAGGCAGTATTTTCTCACTGTACTACCAGTTTGTTTTCTCTAAGGTCGAACCTGCGATTAGAAAACATTACGGCACTAAAGAATCCGATTCTGAATTCACAAACTTTGTTCACAAAAACATTGAGCTTCTAATGAAGGTGGCAGTGAACTATTTCTACAGAGAAAATTTGCCTTGTCCTCAATTTCTGATCAGTCATAGAAGCAAACAGATAATCGATCAAATGGGAATCGCCTCTGTTTCTTTTGAGGGCAGGAAACTCAAATCCATCAATTTCAAGCATCAAACTTACGCCGAGTGTCTGCTAAGTTTACTCTTCCTTTCAAAAGCTGGCCACTTTACGAAGGAGAACAAATGCTACTTTGAAAATATTGATAAAATCAATCTAAACAGCCTGCTTCTTAAAAAAGAATTTACACAAGTCCGTTCATTCATTGACAGCTTTTACATTAGTTCCGATTTTCAGCTGAAAATGGAAATAACGAATATTGAGGAATGCTGCGAAAAAAGTGAGCTTCAAAGCCAAGCAGTCACTTTGATGTCATTGATATGCAAGGAAGGATTATTACGACTCTTCACGTTGTTTTTCGAGTCAAAACTGAAGGAGATTTTTGGTGACATCGTTGAACTTGTTAACACTCCTTTCAAGGAAGACACCTATCAATATTACCCTTTGCACTCTGCCTGCTTTTCAAGTGAGGAGATCGCTTTACGCCTCTTGGAGATGGGAGCTAAAATTGAGAACCTTCACCCTGACAAATGCCAAATCGAGGACGGACAGAATATTTTGCACTTGGCCGCCAAGAACGGGTTCGACAAGTTAATACCGAAAATATTAGAGGTTTTGCCTGAGCTGAAAAGTGCTCAAGATAACAAGGGTAAAACGCCAGCTGACGCAGCCACCGCACAAGGGCATTTCAAATGTGTAAATATCTTGTTGGATTAAATTGAAAAGGGAAAACAGTTAGCATTTGAGGAAGGGCTTCAAAATAGTTTGCAAAATTATAAAAAGTGACAAACACTGAAAAATACTTGTAGAAATGAAGCTAATTTTATCAATAAAGAAAACCAATTTGTATAAGTAACATGTGTTTTTTGTATGCATCGGAGACTAGACCTTGCCAAAAGCAAGCGAGTGCGAGGCAAATTTATCACGTGTCTCGCGGGCCGATTTGTTGTGTCTTTTTGACGCCGATTCGTTTTCATCAAAGAGCGCCGCCGGCACAGACACGAGTTCCGCAGCAATTTTTCTCCGAAATTTGCTCTCCTGCCGAGGCAAAAAAAGATAGGAAGAATGCGTTCGCGTGTGCGGTTTGTTGGCCAATTTGTCCGGCGGGTTGCCTATCTTTGCAACGCCATCCATCCTACTCTGCTGCCGGTTATTTATCATTTCGGCGATTTTCCGAGGCGAGCCCATTACGGGCGGCACACATCTTCTCCGCGGCCAACTTTTTGCCGGCGCGATAAATCAAATTAGCCCACTTTTCAGGCCTTTCGCAGCTCTGCCAGCATTAATCACCATTAGGCGATGCAAAAATTCACGCTTTCTTTCTTAAAAAGACTGAAAAACACCAAGTCTTTTTCTCGTAGGCGGAAGACTAATAACATAAATAACCTTTTCATGGACTTTCGCTCGGATTCGCCATGCATTTTTTATTGCCCAGCTCGGTGGTGTGCGGAGAAAAAGAGCTCCATTAGAGCCGGGTTCACACAGCCGTATATTTCCTCCGGCAGCAAACTTGTCACTTGATTGAAACACTTGATCCTCGACTTGGCACTGGATAAGACTGTGCGAGAGAAAAGAGGAAGACCGCAGAACATGGACTTCTTTCTCGTTCCCCAGCTTCCTGCACCAGACACAGCAATTACATGCCCGGTCGGATGGGTGTATGTGTGTGTGTATTTATATGCTAAAACCCATTGTGGTCGGTGGAATGCCGGCTGAATTGCGGGCAGAGAGAGGGCGGGAGAGTCGTAATCGGATACTGGAAAGAGAGAAACGCAAAGAGCTGCTGCTGGGAAATGGGAAGCTGAATTTAGTTGGTGGTTAAAAAAATAGAGCGAGGAAAAATATTGAGCGGAACATACGCTCGACTGAACTGAGCAAACGGTTTTAATGGGTTTGAATAGGATTATTTATTTCCATTAAAATTTTAAATTATTTGCTTAATTTAATTAAAATGTAAAAAAATAATAATTTATATTTGAGAATAACACCACAATATTCTGATAAATACATTTAAATTCTGTCCTTAAAATAAATCACAGACTTGTGAATAAATTTTAAAAACTTTTATTCATTTGAAATCTTCAGCAATCAGTGAAGACTTTTCTAAAGTTTCATTACTTAAATAATTCACGATTGCATTTTAATTTCACATTACTTTTCTGTCCCGTTTAATTAAAATCCTATTGACAACGTTGCATTAGAGTTAAAGTAATTATTGCATTTTTAATATTAACGAGATGAAAGAGTTTCACAGCCGAGTTGGCGCCGTCTGCAATTTCTCTCGTCACCAACAAATGGTGGGCGCGAACTTACTTAGTTTGATTACATTCGCCGCGGACCGGAGTAATTAACAGGCCGAGCATTACACAATGGCAAGAGAAGGTGCAGCTGCAAGTGATGCGACAAGTTGGATGTGCCGCAGTCGCACCGCCTGCATCGATCCGGCGGTGTCGGTGTGCACGAGGACCCTACTCGAAATCCCATTTTCCATTGTCGAAAGCGGACAAAAGAGGAAAATCCTGAAGGTGGACGAGATGAAAGACGAATACGAGCTCGGCTAGATGAAATTTTAATCAGCTCATCACAAAAAAGAGGATCTCTCATAAAAGCAGGCAGATTAATAATAAAAAAAAAAACACTATAATAAATTTAAGATGTAAAACTACATAAATAAAAAAATTCTCCAACTAAATTTGATTTCAATTTTAAACAATCTTACATTCCATCAATTTTAATTTTTAAATTTGATGCAAACAATATGGACGAATAAAATGAAACTATTAATTTTAGGGCTATTTAATTAAGTAAGTTGAACTTTTTTGCAAATAAAGCAGATTTTGGCTGAAAAAACATGTTATAATTTTTTTAATTGCTGTTTCTAATTTTGGCTGTGGTCATTAATTTAAAAAAATCCAGGAAAATGAAAAAAATAATGTTTGTTTCTTGATAGAATTTGGTAAAAAAAAAGCAAATTAAAAAAATTTAATAATCAGCATTTTTAAATTATTACTAAATCATATTTGAATCCCATACAATTCATTTTTCAAAAAAATGAAGTAAATTTCATATGAATGGGGACATACCTGTAATGGGTCTGGTGACGTTCACGAAAAAGGTCTGCGTGTCCACCGAGATTTTCTCTCCGTGCTGGCTCTGCGCCTGACAGGTGTAGTTGGCACTCTCGGAGGCGTTCAGCTTCAGCACAGACCGCACGTACATGGTGAACGACTGGAACGACGCCTCGCCCTCCACCTGCCAAACAAGCACCAAATTGTTATTAGCACAGCGAACCGCAGCTTGATTTGGTGGGCTGGAAAAGTTTCAGAGTGGCACTCGTCTGTTCGCAATCTAGTACAATTCCACTCTGGAGAGGTCAACTGGAAAGCTCGCTCGGCAAATTTTATAAGGACTTTACATAAAATATTTGCTTTGCTCAAATAAGTTTTGGGGGCTCAATTTTTTATGCAGCGTTTTGAATAAAAATTACTGGCAAAATGAAAATTTATTTAAAAAATCACACTGATTTAATAAATGAAATAAATAAATATGGTGATAATTTTAATTGAAAACAATTAATCTATGTCAAGTTTTAAAAACGCAGAAACAATATGAGGTTTTTTTAAATAATTTTTTCATTTTAACAGAAACTTTTGAAAAATCCAGTCCACTGAAAAAAAATTCAAAAAATCTAAAACATTTCTTGAATATAATTCCCTAAAAATCAATTCAATGTTTTAAATTTTATCATTTTTAGTTCTCTTAATAAACATTTTTTTTTCAGGTTTTCTTTACAAAATTTGGATTTACACAATAAACATGATTTAGTGCTTGAATTTTTGTCTTGCGTCGTCCGTTCTTCAACGCAAAAAATTCATAGCATCTCAAGACTGACCTGGTATATCACAAATGATCATTACCCCGCGAAATAGCCCTCATATCTCTCAAGTCAAAACATCTCCCGTCGGCCGACTTGCAAAAAAACCGACCTTGCAGCTTTCGCTCAGGAATTTTTCCTCCATTTCCGCCAGTCATTACTTCCATCGCTCGCTCCAGTAATTGGATTGAAAGATGATCTGATTACAGCGCACTTGCTCGCTTTTTCCCAGGCAGTCAATCATAAAATCGCTGCCAGCAATTTCCTCTTGTGCGTTATTATTATCGTGGATATGATGAGAACGACTGCGCTTGGAACAAGTGTGCTTAAGCAGACCCTTAAATTTGACTCGCGGGAAGGCGGTTTAATTGTCTGCACAGTCAGAACACCGAAAGGCAGCTTAAAAACTTTTTAGAAAGGAGAAATTTTAAAATCAAACAGCTTCAAAAACATAAATATTTAACCTGCTTGATTAAATAATTATGTATATATGAAATTTTTACAAAATAATAAATAATTTCAATTTTATCTAAATATTGAAGGTTTTATTTAAAATATAAATTAGGATTAAATTTATAGCTTTTTCTTCATTTAAAATATTATCATTGCGAATAAATCACAAAGTCGGATTAATTATGAGCTGCGTGTTAAGATCGGAACAAACACAACCTCTCACGTTCCGCGAATCTAATTAAATTTCCTGACTCGCAGTCTCGCAGCAAATATACACTTCTTCTCCTTCTCGAAAAAGGGTAAATTTCATTACCGAGGAGTTTGCCAAACTCCCGAGACTTTTCACCTGCCTGCACCGACGGAATTATAAATGATGGTGTGGTGCTGGAGAACGCATTTCTCACAAACGGCTGAAAAGCGTGTCCCGTTTCGCGGTCAGCTCCGGTTTTAATTAATTCTGCCAGACGTCCGCGCGGGAACGCTTAATTAATCGCACGAGCACCTGCACCCCGACCTCCATTTTCCGAAGAGGGAAAATTGGCCCGAGTGCTAAAGATGAAATTTGCATGAAGTGAAAGGGTTCATAATTCAAATTCTGTGTCGTTTCAAGTCGACTATTTCTAGACATTTTCAACATTTATTTCTCAAAAGTGGAGAAAATTTTAAATTAATAAAGATAGAATTCAAAAGCTCAACAGAGTATTGATGGATAATTTTTATTTTCAGCTTATTTTCAAACAGGTTTTTATTTCCATTTTAACGATTTTCCTGCGATAAGTCTGATTTTCATCTTGTTCTATTTCAAAGCGTTGTTAGAAAATTTATTGACAAATTATAATTTTTACTTATTTAAACTGTTCTAAAATAATTTAAACTATTGTCAAAAACAATATTTACGAATTGAAATTCTTTTAAAATTTGCTTTCCTAAAATTAAATTGGTTAGTTATTAACATATTTAAATCTTGATAGCCAGGAATAAGACTCAGAATTTAATTAAATATTTAAATATTCTGTAGGCAAAAATTCATTCTCTTTTAAAATAAACTTTTTCTCGTACCGACTTCAAATACAGACAATTTCCCTTTTACAAGCAAAAATCTTGATAAAAAAAAGCGGAGAACGAAAAACATTTGTACCGAAACAACTTATTTTTCATCTCCGAGGCAATCCCGTTGAACTTCTCTTTCTGAAATTAGTTCGGACAAAGGCAAAGGCACAAAACAACTTGTCGCCGGGCTAGAGCAGCATCGTCTTCCCCTTTTATTACATCTTTTTGCTTCGTCCGTGCCAACCGTCGCGATGACGAGGCGGATGTTATCATTTTTATTTCTCTGGAGCTCTTTATTCCTTTCCGTCTTTCACTCTTTTTAAAAAGAAAGAAAGATCGTCTCTTTCTCTCACTGCACCTCATTTTTTTATACGTTTCTCTCTCAGTGAAAAACACGCGGCGCCACTTTTTAGTGTGTACGTTCGTTTCATTTTCGTCTCTTCTTGTTATTCAATTTTTTTGCGGACCAAAGAAAGGCTGTGCGAAAAGAGCACCTCCCTTGGGAACAGTCTGCGAGTAACGTTCGCTCCTTCTTTCCTCTCTTGTGCGTTCCGCTGAATTAATGAATACGTAAGCAGGGTAACGAATTGACGCCTTCAAATATTAACTTTCAATCTAAAACTTTGCCCAGAGAAGATGATCGCAGCAGCCGACGGCATCATCGTGCGCGCGCATAATTTGAATTTTAAATATACGGTCGACGAAAAGAAGAAATAAGGCGGCGACAGCGTAATTAAAGTGAGAGCTTTGCCCGCCGGTTGTTTGGCGGCGAGACACAAAATTGTCGAAAAAACATCGAGAGTTGGCTGAGGGCCGGCGCATCCGCTGGGAAATTAACACGATGGAGATTTTTAGTTTGCCGAAAGGATTGGAAATTGCGTATTTGTCGCTGGCAGAAACAATTAAAATCAGAGAAATATAAATTAATCTGTTTTACAACGGGTATAATTAAAAAAAAAAATTGGTGGGACTATAGGTGAAATAATTTAAAGAATATTAAAAAATTAATTATTTTCTAGAAAAATAGCTAATTATTTTCAATATTTTCATTATTCCCATGGTATTATTAACAATAAAATAATAATTCATGTATAAAAAACATGCAATTTACTATTTTTTGTAAATTCTGAAGTCAATGAATCTTTAAATTTTAATTCATATTATGTTTTATTAATTTTTTTAGGAATGTTGCACACTTTTCTGATGTCAAAAATGACTAAAATCTTGGTAATGTTATAGTACGCGCGACGTGTTTTTTCATAGGTTGGCAACACTTATGCTCCCATGTAAAAGTATCACGTCGCGCGCTCTATACTGGTTTTATGTCGCGCATACAATAATGGTTCTACGTCGCGCGTTCAATACTGGTGGCGGTGAAATTGTTAAGGAAACCGATTATTTCATCGATACCTCGGCAACATGTATAGCACGCGCGACGCAATTCTTTTCCTACAATCTTAATTAATGGGACTGCTAGGAAGAATAGGGGCCCTTGGGATGGGTTCAGAATGGGGCAAGACGACCTCTGGAGGGCCGTGCGCACCCTTATAGCAGGCGCGACGTATCACTATGGGACGCGCGACGGTCGAAAAGCAAACTCCGGAGGGCGCTTTTCACCATCGTCAGAGGCGCGATGCATGGCTATAGGACGCGCGACGTATGCTTATAGTACGCGCGACGCATGCTTATAGTACGCGCGACGCATGCTTATAGTACGCGCGACGCACGATTATAGAAGGCGCGACGCACGACAAATTAATTATTACAAATGGTGTTACACGCGGCCGGAGTTGTGGGCACCCCACGAACCGGCAACTCGGAGTTGGGCAACCTCCAAGATTAATTTTTGCAGAAGCCGCGAGCGAGGGGTGGAGGCGCAGCGAGGTCGAGGACGTGGGGAAGGCCGTGCGGAGGGCGAGGACAAAAGGGCGGCTGTGTTCATGAGGGGGCTCCGCAGGAGCCCCCTCACGAACCCCGCCCTTTTGTCCCGCCCGGAGCCGGCCTTCAACACGTTCTCGGGCAAGCGCGCCTCCAGCCCGAAGCTCGCAAACCCACAACGGAGTTGCCCACAAAAGGTGTTGTCTGCAAAGGGAGTTGTGGGCACCACACTTTTTGCTTTCTAAGCCCTTTTTGCAGACAATTCCTTTTGTAAGCAACTCCGTTGTGGGTTTGCGAGCTTCGGGCTGGAGGCGCGCTTGCCCGAGAACGTGGTGAAGGCCGGCTCCGGGTGGGACAAAAGGGCGGGGTTCGTGAGGGGGCTCCTGCGGAGCCCCCTCATGAACACAGCCGCCCTTTTGTCCTCGCCCTCCGCACGGCCTTCCCCACGTCCTCGACCTCGCTGCGCCTCCACCCCTCGCTCGCGGCTTCTGCAAAAATTAATCTTGGAGGTTGCCCAACTCCGAGTTGCCGGTTCGTGGGGTGCCCACAACTCCGGCCGCGTGTAACACCATTTGTAATAATTAATTTGTCGTGCGTCGCGCCTTCTATAATCGTGCGTCGCGCGTACTATAAGCATGCGTCGCGCGTCCCATAACCATGCGTCGCGCCTCTGACGATGGTGAAAAGCGCCCTCCGGAGTTTGCTTTTCGACCGTCGCGCGTCTCATAGTGATACGTCGCGCCTGCTATAAGGGTGCGCACCAACGTGCGCACGGCCCTCCAGAGGTCGTCTTGCCCCATTCTGAACCCATCCCAATGGCCCCTATTCTTCCTAGCAGTCCCCTTAATTAAGATTGTAGGAAAAGAATTGCGTCGCGCGTGCTATACATGTTGCCGAGGTATTGATGGAATAATCGGTTTCCTTAACAATTTCACCGCCACCAGTATTGAGCGCGCGACGTAAAACCATTATTGTATGCGCGACGTAAAACCACTAT